AACAAACAACAACCTTTTGAAAAGCAACAACGACAATCTGTTTTTCACAACGACAATCTGCTTTTCGCAACGAAAGCTTTACACACAATATTTAAACTAAATCCATCGAAACATCGAATAGATCACAAAATGGGCTTTGATTTCCACCACATTATTGGGGACACGATAACTTGCTACTTGATCCTCTTTGTGTTGGCGTCTGTTGAGTTCTTGTTGATATTATCATGGCCATGATGAAGACAAAGGACCGTCAGGAGCATTATTTTGGCTCTCTTTTGTGAAGAACATGCTGTATTGCATTCCTTCTTCATCTCCAGTTTCGACAACACTTCTTCATCCCCTGACTCAACAATCAACACTGTTCTGTGATGGCTGGTCCATGAGGCTATCGATGCTTTGATTTGATACCGGTCGTTGTTTTGCTTGGATGTCTGTGTTCTCTGCTGAGAAGATCACTGCCAGATGGCCGATATCGTTGTCAAACCGATGACAGTCTGTTTGCAATCTTGCCTTTTGCAGCGAACCATTGGGTCCAGCAGAGATACAAAAAACTTCTGGTTTAAATCCAAAATTGGATTGAGCCCAGAACACTAGTGGCGGCTTCTGTCACGACGAAAAGCAGGGATGTGGTGGAGTGGCGATACCGTTGTTCAAGTTTCGCTCCTAGAATGCATGACTTCATAGCCGAAGGCCTCCATAGTATAATATAACACCCCAGTATAATATAAGATATTAGTTGACTGTGAATCGTTTATTTTTATGTTCTTTTTTCTTGGCACTTCTTCCCTTAGAATCAACCAGACATATTCTCTCCTAAGTATCGGGTCGGCAGCCATCTTGGTATCTATTGGAATACTACGTGTCAATTAATTGAGAAGGGCACATGCACTGGTACCTCACATCCAAACAACGAAGTATAGAAAAATATAACAATCATTTCTACTAAACTTTTTAAGGTCTTCCCCCCAAGATATGACAGGGAATTGTTACTTCGCTCATCTCCTCCTTGACCAAAATGGTTGGAGTATTTTCAATTTCGTCTCATTGTCGGGGCAAGGGTTCGATGATGCACGATGTAGGTCCTTGCAAGACTGATCACCTCTTTTGGGAAGGTAACACTTCTTCTTGAAGTACTACTACTAGAGTACTAGCTAGCCTAGTACTAGTGCTGGGCGTCGAAGATATGCCCCATGGTCCAATCACCAGTAGCTGACACATCGTGTTTCCTCCAGAGAATGCATGCCCCCCAGCTGGCTGAGGCATTCCCTCTTTTCTCTCTTTGCGTGTCCTTGATGTGTTCTTGGAGTGAAATATGCCATGATATTAAAAATTGTGCCATGAAGCATCATACGATATCCTGTGCTTCTATGCACGATAAGTTATGTTTAAATGCTGATGGGACGTACAGACGTTACCGTATATCAGACGATGTACGTTTCAGCTGGTCACTACAGTACGGTACTTCATATTCAACAGCATTGCACAGTATCGTATCCATCAACTAACGTCAGAACAAACAGAAAAGAAACAAAGACGTGAAAATGACAGAGCAGCTCATTGTGCGCTTCAGGGACAAATCAGTTGTCATTCCCTTTCCTGACGCTTCCTCATTCATCAACGAAGAAGAGAGGAACAAGAGCCTTGTTTCACTCTGGTCCAGTCGTTGCGGCTGGCCAAGGGAACGATTATTTGTGGCATCCTGGCAACTTCCGTTTGTTCAAATATCAGTTGTATCTGCCATTCGGGGAGGAAAAGGAGGATTTGGAACTCTTTTGAAAGGACAATCTCGTCAGGCTGGGGCCAAGCTTACTACTGATTTTGGTGCATGCAGAGACCTTCAAGGTCGCCGTCTCCGGCATGTAAATGATGAGATCAAATTGCGCAAATGGAGGGAGATGGAAAAGAGAAAACAAGCAGGAGAAGAGGTCCCTGATGATGAACTGTGGAAGACTCCCAGTGGGCTCTATAATTGGCATCTCATGACCCGTAAGAAATTCCCTTTGAGAGTCTACCTTGCTCTTCCCAACTATCAAACGTCTAATTTCTTCTCCTGTCTTATGTTTAGCCACTTGGGCAAATGTCAGCAAGAAAGCAACAAATCGAATCAAGCGTCAGTTTCAAAAGTTGAATCAGGAGGCATTGAAGGAAGCAGAGATGAAGAAAGAAAGGGATGACTTGTACCAGAAGTCTATGACTCTGTATTTGGATAAGGCGACAAGAGAAACCGAGACCTTGCAGGAAGAGATACCTGATGCGATAAAGCAGGGTCTAAAAGCACGCAATGCAAAGAAACGAAAATATGCTGAAGAACCATTAGTCATTGACCAGAATCCGAGTGCTCTTTGCACACTTTCGGGCGACATGGTTCTGGTGGAGAACGAAGAAAAAGGATCTGCACAAATACAAAGCAAATCTGAGTTTGCTACCGCAGTTTTTGTCTTGGATCAATTGCCAGCTGAGGGAGCCCAACTAATTTATTATGAGGTGACTCTTGTCTCTGGTGGTTTGGCGCAGATAGGTTGGGCATGCTTGGTTGGAGAGCAACGTTTTTTCCCAAACAGTGACCTTGGAAACGGCGTTGGAGATGATGTCTCAAGTTATGGTATTGATGGGTCGCGGAGTCTGAAATTCCACGGTGGAAGCGAAGATAAGTGTGATATTCAGTGGAAGGCAGGTGATCGTTTAGGGACTTTCTTCAATAGCAAGAACAAAAGCATCTGGTTTGCAGTGAATGGGTCCAAACCGAAGAAGGTTTTTCAGTTGTCCGAAGATATGAAAGACACGTTGGTACCGGCACTTTCGTGCAACCTAGGGCAGGTGCTTGAGCTGCACACAGGGCGGCAAGATTGCAAGTTTTTTCCAGATGGACCAGTTGCCTCAGCTGAGGAGATGATAGCAAAAGAAGATAAAATGCAGTTGAAACCTCCCGAAGCGAAGGGGCAAAACAAAAGCTCCGCCAAACAAGCACAGCAAAAAACAAAGATGCCAGATGAGAAAGTTGAAATCAAAACGAAAAAAAAAAGCATTCAGCCAGAACGGCTGGATCTAAGGCCATTTCAAACGGCAACAGACCTGGAGGCTCTTGGTCTTGATCGCCTCAAAAGTGCATTGATGGCACTTCAGGTTAAGTGCGGGGGGACACTGAAAGAGAGGGCGGCTAGGCTATTTTTATTGAAGAGTTTACCCAGAAAGGAATATCCCAAAAAAGTCAGGACAAAAGACTTTATCGAGTAGATTAATCCAATATTGAATAGAGAAAGGATGTGTTTGGAATGTCGGCAAGTTGGATGGTTTCAGCTGAATTCTTGAGCGCAAAAGATTTTCTGATGCGTACACATCGATCCTGCAGAATCACAAATTTGGATAGGGGCAATTCGTTCAGTCTTCCAATGACTGATTGACACGAAGTGCATTCCCAGCGCTAGATTGATTGATTGATTCATCTGGGTTTCAGAGACTGCACTGTAACGAGACCGAGCTTCTCAGTGGCCCAAAAGTTGAGCAGTTCGTCTGGTGGCCTCAAATGTACTGTCTTGTATGCCCATAGAGCATTCGCGATCGATTGCGCACTGGTGTCGTCGATTTTATCTATGAGAACAGCACAAAGCTTGTCAAACAGTTCCTTGTTTCTGAAGTTCAATCGGGCAAGAGCGAATAAAGCACTTGAGGCTTGCTTGGGCGAAGCATCTAGGGAATCATCCATGAGCTTCTCTGTCAGGATCAAGAGTAAATCGGTCGCAATGTACTCTATCTTGCCCAAACCCCATAGAATGTTGACAACTTCGATCGTATTCATTGATTCTGAAACTGCGACAGCTCTTTCTGCGAGGGGCTCAAGATAGCATCTCCCACTTACTCCAAGCCGTGCTAGCGCCCACATGCATTGTGTGACGTCTGGTGGGGTTAATTCATTTGATCGATGACACAATTCTTTGGCAATGATTAAGGAACTCTTGTGATATGGAGGTAGATCGTTTCCCTCCAGTTGCTCCAAAGCAACCATCTTCCCACATGACCATAGTGACTGCGAAAGCTGTCTCGTTGTACAGCGATTTGCCATGGAGGAGATGGAAGACGCCAGGTGGTCGAATATCCCCATGTCATGAAAGTACGAAGCTTTTGCATAGGAATAGAGAGCCGTAGCAGCCTCCGCAGGCTCAAGTCTCGAAGTGAGAAGGTGCACTCCGTAGCAATGGAATATTTGAGAAGTTCCCTCAGCTATGAGGTAGTTATCACCAGTATCACGGGGGGTTTCGAGCGACATCATGGTAGTGAAAGTACCTAGAATGCGACTTGCAAGTTTTGGCGAACATGAATCTACAAGTTCCGGATCAAGAATGCGCTGGCAGAATAGGTGTAGTACTTCCTCGTCACGCCATCTTACCACCGACTTGAACCATAGGAAATTTGCAATTTCACTAAGGCTGCAGGAGTTGACAAAATCTCCGTCATGGAACAACAAAAGCGCAGCAGCGACAAATGGTTTCATAACCTCGGGACTCCTTCGATGCAGCAAAACAGGGCAACGTAGTATGCTGTTGATGGCACGGGGTGAAACATGTTCTGTCGCTGCGCATTGGTTGCTTGCTTTCACCAGAGCAAGAAAGCGTTCTCCGGCAAGTTCCATCGTTGCTGTGTGATTTGTTATGCGAAGTCGCTCCACCGACACAAGGATCTTCTCTAGTTCACCTAGATCACACCGCTCTATAACACCATCTGATGCGCATATACTCAATAGTTGTTCAATCACCACATCCTCTCGTTCGTTGTTACTAAATCGTGCCCAAGTCGAAATCAAATCGGAAACTATTTTGGAAGAAAATGTGGCTTGCGAGTCGCTTTTCCTCCGTATCACATCTCGCAACAGTGCAAAAACAAACATCGCCGTCTCGTCTTCAAAGTGATCCATTTCCGACTTCTGAAGCAGTTTGTCGGCTGCAGCTAATGCTCTCAAAAGATCTGATAGCGTCGCTTCTTCTTTGACTTTTCGTTTTCGGAGTCTTCGCATAAAGGCTCTCGCGAGTAGTTTTGAATTTATGTTGCATGTGTTTGAATTCGCCAAAGCAGCCAGCCCGTGCACAATAGTCCTAGCTGGAAGCTTTGCGACTGCGTCAGGTTTCAGTAAGCGCTGGAAAATGCAATCTTTCAAATTTGGCTCCTCCAATTGCAACCTCGTTATTGCCTGAAGACACTGAACCATACGGACCAGTCCAACTGAATGTATGGTTTGTGCTTGGTGTTTGTCGATCAAGTCCACAAGATTCCGCAAAAGTCTATTCGAAAAAGGGCTGGATGATTCGATATGTGAAAGCATTCCTAGCGCGATGAGGATATCTGCCAAGTTGTATGGATTCAACAAAGTCTCCGGGCTGTCAAGCGCCCTCGTCAAGGCAATATCGGTATGATTAAGTAAGGATCCCAATAGCTGCGTTCTTTGATTTTCAGAATAATTGAAGTCTTTCGATTGCTGTTGTGTTTCTAGAATGGATAGATGAGCTAGTCTCCTCATTGCACTTGCTGTAATGTTCAGATTGATGCGATCGAAAGAATTTACAGGAAGCGAGGAACCAAGTGTGTCATGCGTGTCATTTTGGTAGATTTTCCCTTCCATCAGCCTGGCCAAGTCGGTTGTTGATTGAGACGATCGAATTGAGTTGATCAGCCATGCTTCTGATCCATAAACTCCGGAGGGAACCAGTTGAGAATACAGCACTGGTGTTGCTGCATGATTTCTTCTTGTGCACGTTGAAAGAACACTCGGCGGCGAGAATGACTGCGATATCGTAACAAAGCAAGCTCCAAGTAAAATCAACTTGCGTTTAAGAAAACATGACCACAACTTGGGCTGCATCGAAGAAATTGCAATGTTTCTGAAGAGCCTGCTTGCCCGAATTGCCCCTGATTGCCTCCTCCGATTGCACTCAATTGGAATCAAACTATACCGTGATTTTTCAAAACAAAACTTGATTTCGCTACTTTTCAGAAAGAAAGTATGATCGAATGCCTCATTGGTTTTGACTTTTAAGTTTTTCAGATTTTGTTCGATATTCGTTGTGAGTTGACAGTTTTCTTTTAATTTTAACCGTACCTACTAGTTTTAGTTCTCATCATCTCGTTGGTTTGTTCTGATGGGCTTCATTGCGGACGATGACAGACTAGTTCAAATTCAGAAAATTCAGGTACTTGAGTAGTGTTAGTGTCATGGTCATACTGCCTGTTTTGAAACCGCGCTATTTTTTAGATCGTAGCATGTCTACTAACGTCCTTTTGGTACGTACACTCCAGTAGGTAGGATACTACTGAATGAACGAATGAAATGAATCAATCCACGGCGGGAACCGCGAATGCCCGACACTCCACTTTGTCTTATCCAGTTCCAAAGCTCCACACCTACAGTACCGTCCAGTAGTGTGAAGTGTCTGCAATTGAGTGTAATTGAGTGTAATTGAGTGTGATTGAGTGAAACAGCTGCCACAAGATCCTCGTTCTTGCATCTCTACTGTACGCTGTTTTGAGCAAAAAGGAGTGATTGTATTCAAACCAGTGAAAGGAAAAGTAGAAGAAGAAGAAGAACAAACCAGTGAGTATTCATAAATATTGCGTGCCAACAACTTTGTACATCGTTTCCAGTACATGCGCTGGGTGACTGTTATATCGATACATTGTCAGTTCTATACTGACTTGATACTGCAGGCCAGTTCCATTCCAATCGAGTCCATTCCCATTCCAATTCCAATTCCATTCATTCTCATGTTTGTTGCTTCTATTTTTGAATTTCAGGTTTTCATTGGTAATTCGAACTTGGACTCTTCCACCATGGTATCCCAGACAGCAGCCAGACCAGCAGCGAAACGCGAGTTTCCCTACGTTTCAAGTGAAGATGCATCTCCTCCAAAGAAACGTCGCGGTGAGAACTCGGCTGACGGAAAGGAGAACAATGGAGTGGATAGGCCTTCAGTTGCGGATGATTTGGCGGAAAGGCAATCAGAGCACAGGGATTCTTTGCTTGCTGGTCGTCATCGAAACGAACAAGGAAAGCCACCCGAAGCTGGCGTCATTCGAGAAATCTATGTTGAAAACTTTATGTGCCACAAGAAGCTCAGAGTGCAGTTGTGCCGCAATGTCAATTTCATTCACGGACAAAATGGTAGTGGAAAGTCAGCAATCTTGGCTGCAATTCAAATCTGTCTCGGAGCAGGAGCTCGAAGAACGCATAGAGCTCGAAACTTGAAGGACTTGGTGAGAAAGGATTCGAACTGCAATGCCGCCAAAGTGCAAGTCACATTGCTTAATCGAGGAGATGATGCTTATCAACATGAACTCTACGGGGACGCAATCACCGTGGAGCGGACCATTGCTGTGCGTGGAGGCTACAACGGCTACAAACTATACAACCACGACATGGAGGAAATATCGAGAAACAAGAAGGATCTTGATGAAATGCTCGACAAATTGAATATCCAGGTGGAAAACCCATGCGCCATTCTCGATCAAGAAGATGCCAAAAAGTTCTTGACTGGAAAAGCCTCAGACAAGTATGAATTCTTCATGAGGGCCACAGAACTGGAACGCCTCGATCGCAAGTACGCGGCCACGCTTGACATGGTTCGAGACCTGGATAATCAATCGACAAGATTAAACGGTGCCTTGGAGACTTACATTGAACAGGCGAATGACGCAAAGAAGCGTCACAAAGAATTTCAGAAAATCGAAGAGCTCGAGAACAAGAAGGAGACTTGCGAAGAGTTGTACGCTTGGTCATTGTACAATGATGCCCATGAGAAGCTCGTTGAAAAGAGAGAGGTAAAGTTTGAATGCTGATTCTGAAATTCTGAAACAAGTTCATTCGGCTGAGCTGACCCTTGTTTTCTTACACAGGAACGTGACGCATTCCAAGCCAAGGCACAGAAGAAAATTGAAGAGCTCAGCCAGGCTGAAGGGGCAGCACAAGGACCGGATGAGGAAGAGACTAACCGACGCAACAATCTGGATCGTTTGACTAGAGAAGCTGATGAACAGGCAGGACAAAAGCAAAACCTCGAAGTTGATCTCAAACGTGCATCTGAACCATACAAGGCTCTATCTCGCCGGCTCAAAGAAACCAGAAAAGATATTGGCTCGGCGGAGAGGAGCTTGGCTAGTGCAAAACAGCAGCTCGAATCGAAGCGTGCCGAAATCCTCGCGAGAGCCGGATCCGCAGAGTCAGAAGCTGCAGGAAGGACGAAACGGCTTCAAGATGCGGAGGCAAGATTGGCTAATGCGAAAGAAGATCGCGATCGAATTAGGCAGGCCGTCAGTGACTCCCGGAAAGCTTATGATGAATTGGAGCCACAAGTAGAGCAAGCACGGCATGAAGTTAGCGCTGGAGAGAAGCGACTCATGGCACTGAATTCCCGAATCAGAGAACTTGAAAAGTCCGGAAATAGTTCTATCAACATTTTTGGACGAAGGTGCGGTGCTGTCCACGACATGGTATGTACTTGTGATCTGCTATGTTCATTTCCGCTTGAATGTTTTTAGGAAGCGGACTCACTCGATCATCTCACAACTAGGTACAAAAAGCACGTTTTCAAGGCCCTGTGCTGGGCCCTATTGGAGCGTTTGTCAAGATTGCTCCTGGGAAGGAAATGTATGCTCCCTTGGCCGAGCTTGCGATTGGATCTGGTATGCTGGATCGTTTTATCGTCACGAATGACAATGATAGAAAGATTCTACAGGGCATTCGTCGCAAAATTGGCTGCCAGCATGACTGCGGAATTCTTCAAATCCATCCACATGCTAAATACAGCGTCCAGCCACCACCAGTCGATGGAATTGATACAGTTGCAAGCGTGCTTCAGATTTCCAATGACCTTGTATACAACAGTTTGGTTGATTACTGCAAGATTGAAGAGAAGGCGCTCTCTAAGTCCAAGAAAGAAAGTGAAGATCTCCTTCTTCACCGAGGAAATGACGGCAGACTAGCAGTTCGTGGACGTATCAAAACAGTTTTTTTCTTGCCCAAAGGAGACAGCTGGAACGTCAAGAATGGCACTTTGGGTATGAGTTCAAACGAGAAGCAACTCCGTCAAACAATTGGTGTCGACAAATCAAAAGCAATTGCTGAGACAAGAAATGAGATGCAGGCTGTTCAGCATGAAGTCAACCAGCACCGCCGCGAGGACAATCGATTGAATCATGAGCACACCGAAAGCATGAAGGAATGGAACAAAGGCAAGGGACAACTTCGCAAGGTCGAAAAGGAGCTCGACAAGGCGCGAAGAGATATTGAATCGTTGCAAGAAGATGAGATCCAAGCGTCAAACTTTGACACCGATACTTCCGAGCATGAGCAATTGGTAACTGATGAGCAGGCGACTGTGGATGCACTGAAAGATAATGAGGTTGCATTGATTGATCAATTGCAGGGACTTGAACCTGGAATCGAAGAGCTCAAGTCAAAACTAAATGAAACGAAGGCGAGAAACGAAAGGGTGATGCAGGATATGACTGCAGCCGAGGAGGATCTTGCAAATTACATCCAACATCTTTCGCAGCGCCAAGAAAAGCTAGAGAAGAAAAGGAACAAGGTCAAGCAGTACGAAGAGATTATTGAGAAGAAAAATATACAGATCAACGAGAGTGATGATCAAGCTAAGAGTTATCTTCTCACTGCAAAGACACTTGCGTTTCACAGACAAAAAAAAGACAGTCTTGATGAAGCCGCTGCCGATTCGGAATGGTCACAGGAGCCAACCCATGCAGATCTTGAGGGCATTGAAAGGCCCGATCAATCTCAGATGAAGAAAGATCCCAAGTACTATAAGACTCGATTGGAGCGACTAAAGGAGCGACTGCAAACTGAAAGAGAACGCCGTAATGCTATGAATGAAGATCCCATTGAAGCGTACGAAAAGTATATCCGAGCGCAAAAGCTGTTAGAGAGCAAAATGGAGCAAATCAAGGAGATCGACGAGACGAGCAAGAATCTGAAGAGTGACTGGAACAAGCGAAAGCAGCGTTGGAGACAGTTTCGACAGCATATTGCACTTACCACCGATGGAAAGTTCAATGAAATTCTCAACGACAAAGGATCGTCAGGGACAGTCGAGTTCAATCACAAGGATGCTACTTTGAATCTCTGTGTGCAGAAGGATGCAACTGATGCGAACAGTCAGCAGAAAGATGTCAAAGCCCTAAGCGGCGGAGAACGTTCGTACACTACAATCGCGCTTTTGCTGGCCCTGGGCGAGAGTCTTGAAACGCCTTTCCGTGTCCTGGACGAATTCGATGTATTCTTGGATCCTGTAACTCGAAAGACAGTCATCGACACTTTGATTCTCATGGCCAAGAAGATGAATCACCGACAGTTCATTTTCATTACCCCACAGGTATGTATGGATGATGACAATGCGTACTGTTGTGATGATCATATGTCTCACATTGCCTTTTATTGACTTGCTTTAGGACGTTTCGAATGTTGATGCCGATCCTATGCTCAAAATTATCAAGATGACGCCACCTACTCGCAGAGATGTTGCTGGGGCTCCAATCCAGCAGGTTTTGGAGTTTTCGCAGAATTGATCTTCTTTCGCTTGAAGTTTATCTGTCCTAGCGAGCCTGTATTCCACCAAAACGCTCGGTGAGTCTTCCTCCTAGGCTTCGATTTCACAACTGATATGATTCATGACAGTAGCAAACCTATCACATAGCAGAAAAGTGAAATGCCAAGGAACGTTTCTATTATCCTGTCCTTTCCTATTCCCTACTTCTTTTTTTCCATCGTGATAGCATCCTTCACAAAGTCAAAAGATTTGTCGTCTTTCTTCTTCGACTCTCCATCGGGAAATGCAAAGGATGTTCTAGCAGCAGCTGGATTTCGCATCACCATGTTTCCCGCCATGATTCCGGGCATCTGTTGAAACATTCCTGGCTGACCTCGTTGCATTGCCATCATTTGTGCCATCTGCATCTGTTGTTGCATTATCATTTGCTGGTATGCTAGTGCTTGCATCTGCTGTGGGGGTGCTTGCGCCATTTTCTTTGCAGTGTTTGGCGTTACATTACTATTCAAGGGATCGAAAGAATCCCATGAAGACGGAACAGCTGAGGAAGCTACGGCCTGGGTCGTCTCCTTAGACACCGTTGTCGTGGTCTCAGTTGTTGCGGCTGCTTGGTTCATGAAACCAAATGCAGAAGCTGCTGGGGCAGGAGCGATCACTTCTGTTTCTGTTTCCTCTGACTTTACTTCCAAGCTCTCAAACATTGAGGAAGCCTGGGCGACTTCCTTAGCTGCTACTGTTTCATCAGACTTTACATTCAGACCTCCAAACATATTTTGGCCTGAAGGTGGAGAAGGACCATGTTCAACCCCGTCCATCAAATCTCCCAGGAGGTTACCACTCGAGGGGGAGGCGGGAGGTGCTGCAGGTGCTCCAGCCACTGTCAGACCACCGAAAAGCGAATTGCCCTCGGCTGGAGGCGGCGGAGGTGGCTGCTCTGGGGGTGGTTTTGCACACTCTACAGTGTCTCCAAAGTCAAGAAGATTGGGAACTGGTTCAGCTGGAGATGGAGCGGTCACTGGAGGTGGAGATGCTGAAGCGGCTGTGGCAGACTGATGCGAGACAGGAGCAGCGGAAGAACCAACAGGGACGGCAATTCCAAGTAGACTAAGAACGCGCTTCGTAGGATCCTTGATTGCAGCTCGAGGATGATTGGCTAGCGGTGCAATCTCGGCCCCACACGCATGAAAGAAGTCTGCGTACGGATTATTTCCAGCACCAGGTTTCTGTCCATTCCGAATACAACATTCCATTACGCATAATGCTTTTGCTCTGATAATCCATGGTTGTCCGTCTTCCAAGCAGTCCAAAAGGACCGGACACACGAGATCAGGGTTGAGGCTTGCAACAGACCGAGCGAAAGAGTTCAGCTTATCTGGAGGCGGTTCGGCTTTCATGCCTCCAGGTGGACAAAGCTCCATAACCAACTGCTTTTCGTACGAGCCATCAGCCAAAGCGGTACCACCACCTCCGCTGAGATTTGTAGTTCCACCTGATATGGTTATGGAAGGTGTTGATTGGTGCTGTTCTGCATATGATGGTTGCCTTGCTTGAGATCCACCACTAGGGGCACTGCTTGCCCAGCTTCCCCCTACGCCTCCAGAACTTCCAGCTGATTTTTGCGCCCACGCATAAGCATTTCCAGACTCTTGAGATTTGTAGTACGCCGAATCATTGTGATAATTTGGAGGAGGTGCAACAGCTTCCGGCCCTCGGTTTGACTTCATAGTCCATTGACCATTGGTTTGTTGCATCAACTCCGATCTGCCAGGGGGGTAGCTTGATTGTGGGTTGTACTGAACGACGATGGAGCAGGTGTGAGAAATATGAATGATCGCCTCTGCTGTCAGGATGTAAAGCATAGACAGGACATGTACTTACCGAACCTGAACCAGAGTAGCTCCCGACACCGCTACTACCTCCTCCATTATAACTGTTTCGACTTACACCGACGGTTGGGTTTCTCGCAAGCGGATCCTTGATCATCCCAATGATGGTATCCTTTGCTTCGCTGATTACGTTTGCCAAAGCTGGGTTGGGAGTATCAGGTTCCATCCTAGGGTCCTTGAACATGGGATTTCCGATTCCTTCCATTCGACGTGCCCCAGGGTTGGTAGAAGAAGACACATAACTCTGAGATGAAAATCCCTGTTGCCCAGCAGAAGGCCCGTAACTGGATGAGGCCACAGATGCAAAGGAGCCTCCTGCTGTTTGATCAGCTGGTGTATCGCTGTAGATGGCATCGAGAGCTTCCTTGGCAGCCACTCTGACTCGTTCATAGGGCTCGTCGCCTCTGACTGGATCTGGGGGACCACGAAATTGCAAAGCCTCCTTGATTGCTCCCATGGCTTGAGGATCGATTGATAGGCACCTCTTGAATTGTCCCCTGAGATAAGGAGACGTTGCAGTCTTGGAAACTACTTTCAAGCACTTGTACTTGATGTTATGATTGTTTTTGGAAGCGAGTCTCCCAGTCAAGTACTTTGCAACGTCGCTGCAAACGGCAGGATTCGACGCAGCATTCTTGGCAATGTCGTTGTACATGTACCCTGGCGTCGGTGCATCAGAGTTTTCTGTTGCTCGAGCAAGCAATTGGCGATCCATTATTGTTGTTCCAAGACTTTTTTAATTCTGGGAAATTCAAATTGCGGCCAAGGTTGACGCAAGGTTGACGAAGGTTTCCAATGAGAAAGGCACCGGCACAGTCTCCTTTACAGGGCTTTCTGATCAATCAGCAGACGGCAACTCGACAGTCTACGTACAGGCAGCAATTCTAGCGGAGCCGACAATGAGTTGAAACTTGGTGAGGAGAGACGAGACAGATCAATTGCTGTACGTACTCTCTTTCAATTTCTGCAAGATTCGATTCATTCATCATTTCATACGGCATGTACGAAGCAAGCCTCGCTTCCCGTGCAGGAATTTGAATGAGACCCAATGATGCTCGGTAAAAATATAGCCGTTGGCAGCTGCATACAGTATATTCGATTCCAAAGAGTCGAACTGCATTGACTCAATCGACCTCATGAACACCTCGTTTTTAACTTTAGCTGTCTTCTATCATGAATCATCATGATTACAATGATGGCAAATTGTAAATGTTTCTAGTAGCATCATGAAATAGTACGATATGGACATGGGGACCGAGATTTTAGGCCTGTAACGATCAAATCATGGAGTATTGACGAGCTGACGCCGCACAGCATTTCGGTACCATGCGCTTCCTGTATCATCCGCCGTTTTTCATTTCGTATAACATTTACTTTATTACCACTCTCCAGCCATCGCGTCTAGTTAAGGACTTAGAGAGGGGAAAACTGTCGTACCGGTAGACACTCTGACGACAAAAACCACTTTTTTGGCAATCGCAAGCAAAAGGTCAATGCCCAAAATCGACCAACATGAATCAATGCATATTTTAAAAAATTTAAATACACTACAGTATACAGTACCAGGTACAGCAGTACAAAATAACACACCAACACCCACAGCATTGGAGAATAAGACACTACTGTATCTACAGTATTGCACTCTTTTCACCTTCCCCTGTTGAAAAGAGCTATTTGATGTATTTTTGAACCCATGAAATGTTGGTAACCGCTGCCGTATGCATTAGAAAACCGTGAACATTGCCATGATGCACTGAAATCAGTGGTACAGGTATGGTACAGCTAGAGTTCTCCCTCTTACGAGACAGAATATATAAGTTGAAATTGAGATGCTATGTATTGCTTCGTGTTGGTCGATTTTGGACATCAACCTTTTGCGGTGTTTGCCGTCAAAGTTGCGACAGACCTCTTTTATACCTACAAATGACAGACGAGACGGAAGAAGCATAGACGATGGCTGGAGAGTGTAGATATGATCGCAAATTCCATTCTTGAAGCAACAGGCAGTGGTACTGAAGTACCGCATTGTAGTAACATCCACAACAATATATATAGAAACAAAACTGAAGTAATTTGGAACGCCCCGATAGCTCAGTAGGTAGAGCGTTAGTCTCATAAGCTGAAGGCCATGGGTTCGATCCCCATTTGGGGCACATTTTTGATGTCATCTTCAATCTGAGCCCATCTCACGTGTGAATTCTGACATTTTTTACTTTGAGTAACATTTATCTGTCATTTTTGTTTTAAACATCGTAGCAGTTACTTGAGTACAGTAGGCATTATAGTTATCATTGTTTAAAAAATACAGCATTTGATTCAAAGTTTTGGTCGGTTGCCTTGACGAGCGACTACTGTACTTGTACGTTGTGATGAGTCATTGGTTCAATTATTTTTTCCAAACCGTAACAATCTCTTTAACTTGGCAATTTTCTTCCCTTCTTCCTGTTCGGTTTGTGAATCCCTAGAATCTTCCAGTTGCTCCTGAAGGAATGAATCATTCAATCCATCTCCATCGAAAGATTGAGCAGAAACAACACCAAATTCTCCTAGAGATTTACCTTGCCGGCTCAGGCTTAAGACATCATCTCCAGATCGAAAAGAAGAACTAAACGAAGCGCCTGATGCAAAATCTCCCTCACCGCTGTTGAGAGGAACTACTGAGGAATCATGGGAGCCATCAAAGGAACGTGCTCGAGGGTGTGCCTGAAGTTTGGTGCGAATTTCTTCCGTTGAGTGTTGGGGGTTGATTGAAAATTGAAGTGCCCTGTTCGACGCGTACACTTGTTTGCCTTTGACTTGCTCTTGCCTTTCTCGCTTTGTGCCATTGGATTTCTTTGGCTCTGTCTTTCTTGCACCAATCCCAAGCAACTCTTGAAGCTTCTTCATTTTTCCATCAGTTTCCGTTTTCGAATCTGCTTGTGCGAGCTGTTGGCGAAGCAAAGAAATCTCGGTTCTAAGATCTTCGTCTTTTTTTGTTTTGACTTGAATCTCAGAGCGAAGAGCCAGTAGTTCGTTGAGCATGGAGTCAGCAATCCGCATCTCCTCCTGAGGAGGAGAAGGGGCTGCTGCAGAATATGCTGGAGTAGCTTCTCTTGTTGCTTGGTTCACATTTAGCATGATCAACTGTTCCAGCAGGGTTTCCATCCTATCAACCTTTGACATCTGGGGGAACTTTGGCCTTGCTTCAGATATTTTGTTTGGGCCGCTTCCAGCTTCGTCCTGAAAGTCTACAGCGCCTTTCGTACTCCTTAGCACTTCGACGACCTCTTCCTCATTTCCAAGCTTTGCTGACGATTCAATGGGCTGTGCAGAATAGAAACTTTCGCTAGAACTTCTTCGTTCCGCCAATTCCACATTTGAGGATGTTGCTTGATGCTGACCACGACTGATCAATGCCAACTCGGTCTTTGAATCCCCACGACTGATCAATGCCACCTCGGTCATTGAATCCCCGTCGTCAGAATCAGCACCGGTTCTTCCATGCTGCAGCATGCCGGAATCACTGGGTTCGTCATATTCAGAGGGGATTGATAGCGATTCATTATGTGATTCCAAGAGTCGTGCTGCCTGTTCACTGCTGATGTTTCCTTGTTTCCATTCCCAATGAACTTTTTCAACTACTGGGTCATATGTATCCAGATACTCAAGCAGGACTGGGGGGTTTGTTGGCACAAACATAGCTCTTGCCCTCGCTTCGATAAGCCATCTTGCCCCACCTTGCTTTGTTGATGCTTCCAATTCTCGTGAGTAGGTCCACAGCTGTCTCAGCTTTGTCACCTCTTCAATCTGCCTTTTCTCTGGCAAGTTGCGCACTAAGCTGAAGGTGCTATCCTGCATCCAAGGAATATTCTCAAGAGCAGCAATAGTGTCAACATTGCACCTTGAGGAAGTGATTGAGTCGGAGGACCCAGGCCCAAATGCATACAGACCAAATGTAAACTCTTTCCTAGACACTGGATCCACTCCTGAAGCATGGTCAATCACCACAGCATCAAAGTCTCGAACAACGCAGCAAATGGCATTGTGTAGTCTTGTAAGTTGCTGCCTGTGTTGAAACTCTGCAAGCACAGTGAACCATTCAAGTATTTCACCCTGTTTTCTTGTCAAGCCATACTTGTAGTTTGGGTCCTCGCTGTCATCAAAGTCGACGCTATCCGAGAATGGTTCACGGATCATACCCACAATATCGGAGTCGTCAATACTGCCACCAGACTCCAACGAAGCAGCTGAATGCATTGAGCCCCCTTTCAAGATTGGCCCTCCGATTGAAGGCTTTCCACTTTGTCTTGTCTTCTCGCTTATGGATAGCTCTTTTTCTTCTCGACATTTTGTTATTGTCAATGCAACTCCGTTGTGACCATGATCCGAGATGAGAGAAGTGACAAGAGAAGGTTCCGCAAGACTTACTTCCCAACCAAAAGACGGGGATAGGCCTGTATTCTCTCGGTTAAGCTTTATCAAAACAACTCGAAGAGTAGAGACAATAGCAAAGGTATCAACACCCTGTTCCATTTGTAGCACTTCTGAATGAATATGAAGTTCAACAGAGCGACCTTTGTTGAATTTGCTTCGTTTTGCCTTCGGAGGAAACTCCTTCAACAAATACGTGGCTCTTGCGGTCACCGCATTGAATGGAGCAAGGATTTTCATGGGACCAAAGGTGTATGGCAACCTCAATTTCAGGGAAGGTTGATGCCTTCTTTCCAGAATATTAACACTTCTTGCTGCGTCATGCATTGTGGCAGACACATGAGTGAAAGCATCAAGGACACCAACGATTGGCTTTGCAACAACGCCAGCGGTGCCAGTTGCGATACCACGAACGAGTCCCAAAGGACCACCTTTCTTAAAACCCTTGTATGGAGAAAGTATGAGACCAGAGGCTCCCATTGCGACACCAAGTACTATATCTCGGACTGGCCGAAGAACAATTTTAGATGCGTTTTGCATTCCACGACGTTTCCATACTCGATTTAGATCAGTTGCTTCAGAAACAACAGTATCTCGATGCCACTGTCGATATTCAGAATCAAGCGACAATATGGCCACTGTTTGGCCTGCCGATGCCGACATCTTTGCAAGAAAGCCGAAGATGCCACTTGTACTGTGGGAAAAGAAGGATATAGTACCTTTAGCAACCTCAATACCAACTTGATTGACATCAGTCGGACTTCTCATTATTGCAGTTGCTGGTACCACGACAAGATCCCGGACTCCCGAAACAAAAGAACTGATAATTGTTGTTGGATTTCCAACAAAATCGATTGAACCAATGATCTTGTATAGCTGCTTCAAGGTCTCGTTCACATAAAAGTTCTTGATGGACGAAAATATTTCACCTGGGCTCTCAAAAACATGTTCGATGGCCTTTCCTTGCAAGCGGATGGATGCATCGGAAACAGATGGGAAGACAGCAGCAATTATTGCTGGCAAATGGTTGGACGCATCACCTGATCGGAACATGTGTAAGTAATCCTACTTCCAATGTTAGTGATTCCAGGCGAATATCAACTTACCTCCAGTCTCTGCAAACAAATCCTCATCAAAAGTATGTTGGCTCCACCTCTGGAAAGCATCTGATTGCTCCGATTTTGTGTTGGCGCTTGCCTTGTTTCTCCTTGATGCAGCAGCAAGCTTGGGCAGTTCTGTAACTTCCAAAGTCTTCATCAGTCCTCCTTGGTCTGCAAAATCTGCCATCTCCCAAGAGTGCTTTTTCCCCTTCATGTACGAGAGGTTGATCTTAACAAGACCAAGAATCAATTGCTCGATATAAAACTTCTTTTTCGAGCTAGCTGCACCACTTTCTGCATCCTGTAGAATCGTGAGAAGAGATGGTCCATATGCATCTTCCTCTTCCTCATTGACAAAACAGTTCTCCATTTTAGAGAGTGCATCCGCCAATTCTCTGCCTTCAACAGTGTTTCTTTTCACGTGACTCCTTCGTAACACACCCATGAAGAACTCCCAGAGCTCAAACATCCAGTACTCTTCTACAGTCAGATCCATTTCCTGCAAATAAACTCCAATGTACTCATAGGAAACAATGTTGCTTTTCGTTTTCACGTTGTCCCTCAAGGCAAGGAATTGAAGTGTTGGTTGCAAATCCTCCATCGGCGTTGGTGCAAGAACAACAGGCTCCCGCGCTCGGCTGTCTTGATGATCAATCTGAAACCAGCCAACCACTAATCCTACTCTCGTTTTTGTTTTAGACACCGAGTATCGAACATCGATGTCAATTGCAGCAAAAGATATTAACTCAAGCGCTCGCTGAGAATCGATGAGTGCCGCAGAGATCCGGCTAATGTCAGCATTGAAATAATTCTCAATCACAGGAGTTGCCGGTCTGAGTAATTGGGCATGGCCAGGTTGCCTTTGTGATCCATCGAAGGTCGCAGACGCCCTAGGTTCGTTATCGTTCTTCACTTCGTTGTTGTCAGGCCACCATATGAGCGCCAACTGAATGCAAGCCGTGAAGTACTGTTCGAACATGTTATCACGTAATTTTTCACTTTCCATAGGGCGAGAACTCAACCCCATGTCTCCCTCAACCTGCTCAGACATCCGAGGTTCCATCAATGGAAACCACCTAATGTACATCGGTTGACCAGCAGTTTCTCCTACGATTGTTGATTCAAGTAACTCTTCACCTGAATCAATGCAAGCAGCGATTGCGTCGCCGAGCGGAAGTTGCAGTACACCCAGTTCTGTCTTGGAGTTCAATTTTTCTGCAACCACTGATATCATTATTGATCCACTTGTTTGCTGTGGTTCTACCCGGACATGCAAATCATTGTTGCTGAACTTAAATCCCCCGGCTGTGTCTTGCTGGGAGTCAAAAATATCTCCAGACGACCACCTTGGAGTGACTCGTGCATCAACTGTTTCGCTCATCAATACTTCTGATCCATATCGGAGCTTTACAAACATACCGGTGAAGGTGTCAGGAAGGTTGAGAACCGTGATGGGTCGAATTGTCAGCCATCCACCAGGGTTGAGCACGGATCCCAAGATTCTCTTGCACGCTCGTTCAAATTTGAGTCTCGACATGTACATTGTATCCGCCCGACCTCTTGCCCGTTCTGCAGTTGCCAGCGGTGCATCTTCTGGGACAGCTAGCTTTTCCATGATCACAAGCCTTGTTTTTGACACAGCAGGAATCGCATTTTTCTGCTTCAGTAGTTTTTCAGTTGTGTTCAGAATGTGTGCGTTATCATTGCATTGAATCTGGACTTCCGGATCCCAATACAGCGCATACACAAACTGCCAACTTCGGAAATGACGTATCGTTGTGCCACTCCCAATGGCACGCTTTGGTCGGAAACGACGGCCTGTACTGGTTGCATTTGCCGTCTGAGCAAACAGAGTTTTTCGGAACCTCCTTGGGAGGTGTTCGCGATGGAAGAATACACCACACTCATGAAACAGAAATCCTTGGAGCAATAGCTGTTCCAGCATCCATTTTGTTTTCCCTGCTTCTTCGGAATCACTATCGCTGTTTGCCATTATATCTGATATGCCTTGATCTTGACTATATCGGCTGCTGTGCATTGCCTTTCCACTTTGTATTGCAGTATTCCAATTTTCAACATCGTTGGCATCATTTGACTCTTCAGTTGTAGTTTCATCAATACCAAGTGATAGCCTGCGAATAGACCGATGCTTCGTCACCTTGAAAAAGTTATTGAGCGCTCTCCGATTGCTTTGGAATTTCTCTGGAGAAGGTGAAGCCATGGACGGATAGGAAATGCTTCTTCCACCACTTATTTCAAGACTTTGCATCGACTTTTTCAGCGACGAAGAGACTGCTGTCTTGGACGGCTTTGGTTGCTGTATCCTTTGCTGATTGACTCTGTCCTTCTTCTCAAGACGATTTCTTCGACTTTCAACAGTTTGAAAGTAAAGAGCATGCAAGTATTTGTCTCTTGAAGTCTTTAAACTATCCTTCAACTGAGATAGGCCCGAGTTCAGACCATGATTTAACTTTCCAGCAACCTTTTCCCTCTCCACTTCATTCCGTGTGGCAATCTTCCTTCCAATAGTCTTTTTTCGCTGCAGTTTCACCAAGTTCTGTATGCGCCCAGAACTGAGTTGATCCATGGCTTCCCGTCTATTCCTTTCCGATTCAACTGCATGTGCCAACTGATTTGTCATTCCCTCGCGGCTCTTCATTAGTTGATTCAACCGTCGCTGACTGATCAACAGAAAATAGTCCAACAGAGCAGGGACAGTGTAGATCCATTGTACCCGCAACTTGATGGACCCTCGACTTGAATCAGATATCTGCATTGTGTCACCATCTCGTTGTCCAGACCTACTTCCAGACAAAGGATACCAACCCACAAGTTCTTGCTGATTTCGAAGACTACCGAAATGCACTGAAGACTGTCCAAGGATGGGATGTTGCCCCACAAGTCTAAAGTTTCGAAGCTTCACTTGAAGTGTATATCCTCGCGTAACAGAGACAGCTTCCTGGGGAACATCATAAACAAATACCTGGTCAGTCCAACGCGGGTTTAGACTCTTCTGGATATAGTATGTCTGTCTCTTGTTCTTCCGCTTTTGGAAGAAGTACTTCCGTGACTTGGATCGTCCCTTTAAGAATACTTCGCAATACGGATTGCAACTTCCCACGAAATCTGAAACATTTAGACCAATCGCTTCGATGACTTCAACCACAATTTGATGACGGCAATTGATGGTGCTCTCCTCAGGAAAATCGTCGACCAATTTTGCTGCATTTGATTCCAAAGAAGCTGCTCGTCCATTGTTTTCATTCGAGGTACCATCAGCTGCAAAGTCTGGGGCTATTTGTGAGAAGAGAAACTTCTGCGAGTGCAATTCTGAGATTCTGTCTTGTTCATAGACAATTTGCTTCTTTAAAGTGTCAAGGTGCCGTTTCAGCATCAGCCTCTCATCAACCATCCCAGAATCATCAGACACAACTAAAAGTCTTGTTCCGCCATCTGTATCCACCTCGCAGTTGAGAAATCGTCTTGACCTACTTCCATCTTTGGCATGAATGGGGAGGAGACTACGATACCCAATCTCCTCCAAACGAACGCTGATTGAAGGTCCATAGCCCCCTCTCTCCTCATTGTCAACAAATTGATGAGCCAAGGCCTGAGCTAGCCTGTCGCCTCTCATACCATGTTTGTCACTGTCTCCAGCTGTTGGCTCCCCATCACGCTCCATATCAGAACCCACATCTGAAGAAGCCTCTTGCGAACCCGCCATACCGTCAAGCTTGAATATATCTTGCGCTTTTGCTGCAACGCGTACGCTGAGCTTTTTCGTCTTCATTGGTTCTTCCCAGGAATAGGGTTTGGATTCTCCTGGCATCAAGTGATTCCATGGGTGACCGTTGCAGCCCCTTTGTCTGTAGAAGACAATATGGTTAATTGAACGGTTTTGGATGCGGAATAGCGGGTTGTCCTGGTCCTGTTCCCGGATGACAACAAACATCGTGTTATGCCACGATTTCATCTCCACGCTGACACCATCAATGTTGGCTGGGTGCACGGCACCAGAAGCTCGTCGCTGCGCTAAATTAAGGTTCAAATTCCCATCACCTGTTCCAGCTTTCAATCGCAGTTTTCTAAGGCGCTCTTCAAAGGTTCGGAAAGTGAGCGTAAGATGTGCTGGCTTCGCGTTACTGCCTTCTTCATAACTTGATTGCTTGAAGAAGGGCGCCGAGAAGCGCCTAGTAGGACCAGATAGAGAAAGTCGGCGGAGACCTCGTTTTGGTTGCTTTTCTGCATCTTTTTGCTGCTTCCTTACAGACGCGACATATGCCAGCCTTTCCTTTATCAATTTCATCGTTTCAGCGAATGACATTCGAACAACGGACACCCCATCAACTCGTAGCAGTTCGTCACCAACATGAATGTCAGTGTGATTATAAGCATACTTCCCCCGTTTTGTTCCCTTTACAATTATTGTTCTGTCACCGGCCCAGTCAGTTTCAAAAAACACACCAAGCTCACCATCCCATTCTCCAACGGTTGCATCATCTGGTGGTGGCAGTACGATTTTGTACTTAGGTGCAGCTCGGGTGGAGACGTGCTTCAAAAGGCTCAGATCTGTAGCCCTTGAAATTTTTAAATTGTGCTCCCCTGGAAGCTCAGATGCAAAACTTGACGTGACATTCCACATTCCACCAAGGTCAACGCGAAATTGACGTTCAGCACGAGTGTCAGGCAAGGAAAATGGTGCCAACTCGGAAGGACCGACCGAAGCTATGTACTGAGCCGACTTGTGTGCAGTCGTTCCTTCAGTGATGGTCGCTGCTCCACGGATAGCTGAAGCTTTGTTGCCCTTTCGATCATCGATTATCACTGGTTTCCCAAAGAGCGATTCGTATTGATTTATTTTTTCATGAAGATTCGATTCTTCAAAATCGTATCTCCATTTACGTGAGAGCTTGCTAGATTGCAGCGTCTCCGTGGCAGCTCCTCTGTCCTCGTTCACTGGGCGGAATACGGAGCTATCTTGCCACAAACGTATTGGCCGTTCAAGTCGGTTGAATACAACATATCTCGGCAAAAAACGCACTATCTTTGTGTACGGTGAGAGAAAGCCAGGCGCCACATTGACTTCTACCGACAGTTCCAAAGACCTGCCTTCCCTATGATTCACAATAATGGTGAGTTGAGTGAGCTGAATTGAATGGTATTGTCATTGCGGGGCAATCAAGATATCCTGTACTTACTTGCACTGCATCCCAACAATCTGATAGTAACCCACTGAATCAAGACTGACACCCCTGGACCAGTCCGATTTGTAGTTTGACTGACTAGTGCCATCATAAAGCTGGACACTGAGCATCGCATTGCCAATCGAAGTATCTTCATTGAAGTTGAACATGAATGCTAGATCTGCAAGTTTCTGTAGGGGGATATCCTTTTCAATGAGCTCAGCAAGTTCGGAGGGCGGAAGGTCGCACCTACCAGGAGACGTCGCAAGAGATCCAGGTGTTCCAGAGAAAATGGTTTTTGTGTTCATTGGCAAAGGGATGCTTTCCTGGCTCATATTGCGACGTGCTGATTGAATCTTATGTAAATTTTGATAATTTCGATTGCTTCCATCGACTGGTCTCGAGCCATCTCTTTCTGGACTGATGACAGTACCACTAACAAAAGGTTTTGCTTTGTCTTGCTTGTAACGCAAAGCATGCTCTGTATTGTTTACTATCCAGAACGGACAGAAGAGCGAGATTCGCCGTTGCCCTCCACCTCCCCTTGCATTCTCGATGCTCAAAGTCAACCTTTGACCAACACTGTCAACAACTGTAGTTGAAGTTGCTACATCGTTGGATGAATAGACTGCACTCTCGACAGCATGTACTTTACCCTGCTCGGCAGCGGCCATACCCCCAATGCCTGTTAAGGTCATTGATTAGCCCCAGCAAAACCACAGTCACAAAACAACATAGCTGAATGAACTTACTAGTGTCCAATCCCAACGATTGGTCTTTTTCTTTCACTACTGATTTCCTCTTTGATTTACGCTTGCGCTTCTCTCGTTGGCTGAACTGTGCATCTTTTATTTCTGCGAGCTTCCCACGCCCCCTCTTGTCTGGTGAATCAGACATCGCAGTTAGTGTTTTACCAATCTGCTTTGTCCCTTGGATTGCAGCTTTTCCGATCGCTCTGAACCTTACTCCTTGCTCTAAAAGAAGCATTAGAACAAGCGAACAATCAAATTGGACTCAGGAGATCATCTACTCACCTTTCTCTCCACCCAACGGAGAATCGACGCCATGGTGGACAAGCGCCCCTTCGCCGACAGGTGTTCTGCAAAATCCGAGATTGACAAGAAGCAAGAGAGGGGAATCTAATCCCACCGAGTGCACTGCGATTTGCTGACCAGGTTCCAAATCTGCAAACCAAAGAACTGTACGATTGATGGCATGCATCAGCTCAAAGCGACCACCTTCTGGAAGGAGATTGACTACCACGATAGGCGCATGAATGGAAAGTGTGTAGGCGACTGGAGAATGAATCATCTCTTTGTTTGCTTGTTTTCCGGCCCAGCCTTGCACTGTGGGGTCTCGCCCGTACAAGGTATCTTCGACAGAAAGATTTGGTTCATGCTTGACCAGCGGGCTCCGGCCAACTTCAAGAGCATAGCAGAATGGGGCACTCACCTCACCGCTAGAAAGTCGAGTAGAACAAGAAACCTGAATTCCCGTTTTTGCATCATCACCAATAACATCTTGACCGGATCCGTTCTTGAAGACGAGTGCTGACTCATGGACAATTCGTGCAAGTTGCACTGGCCGAGAGCAGAAGCTTGAATGAATTTCGTTTCCTTTTGCACTTGCATCATTTCTTCTGACAAACTCCCAACAGGAAATATTTGCATCTCGCGTTTCGGGGCAAATCCAAAAACAACCCAAATGGCTTCCTGTCAACTGCAGTGACTTCTCCAGCAACAGCGTTGGTATTGGAAGAGACTCTCCTGGTTCCAGGGAAAGTATGTCTTCTCCTCCGATTAGAGTCTCCTTGCCAAACGAGTTTTTCACTTTTTCCGAAGAATCATGATCGGAACCAAGTAACGTCTCCGTCCTCTCAATCGGCTGATACCTTGGGTCTGGATGAAACACGAGCTTAACGGGGTGATTTGTTGTGTTTCGGATTTCAAATGGGCTTCGAACAGTTACTAATCTCCCCCCATTGTCGAATCCGACCTCTGTTAGAATCATCAGAGCATTTCGAAGCCGCCAATCTCGTGTGATCTTGAGCTGGATCTTTTCGGATCTTGGTGAGAGTGCTTGAAACTTTCTTCCAAAAGAGTCAACCCTCACACCTTGCAGCCATCGAAATCCAGGAACCTGGATATCAATCGCCTGGTTCAAAGAACCTTCATTTTGGTTGTTGCTTTGCGAGTTCTTAAATCCTGGATATGCCACTTCTTGTATGGTGAGGTTCTTGATAACTGAAATTGTAGCTGCGAATGTGAGTCCAACTGAAGCAGCCTGATTCAAGTAGGTCAATATGGCAGGTTTATCTGAGAGGTTCTCTAGTGTGGTGTCTGACTGCTGATGGATCCTTATCCTCTGACCGCTCATATTGCATAGTGAGAAAGCAACGCGGTCGTCTCCTTTTAAGGGTCGCGGTGTCTCATGAACAACGGACAGCTTTTTTCCAGCTAGAAAAATAATCTCATCATGCGCCATGGCACCTGCAAATGCCTTCGTTGTGTGTACCATGGACATTGAAACCCGCTTCGATTCTCTGCTTTGTTTTGTCTTTGGAGAGAAAGTCTCGCGTATTAGTGTCGAAAATGAAGCCACAGTATCTCCGAGTACTTGGAGAACGGCACCCGTGAGGTTCAGATGAAATGGACTGTCGGCATCAATAGAAACTCCGTGACCCCGCTCCTGGGATCGTTCGTAGAGAACAAGGCATTGAAATGGTTCTAACAATGGTTCCCAGCTTCTTGTGAGTCCCAACTTGAAGTAGTCCGCCCAAAAGCTGCAGTCTGCCACAACATGAAGATCATCAGGAGGGGGGTCCTTTAGTCCATAGTCATCTCCAGCATCTGGACTTGGTTTGTTAGCGAATTGAGTGGCGGTCACTGATACAGAAGATATAGATAGAACCGCCACTGGAAGTTGGGCACCCAACACAGGGTCGAGTGCAAAGACCCGAACGTCTTTGATAGTAGCAGATACTGAGAAAGTTTGGGGTCCAAGCTCTTCCTCTTCCGTCACGAAGTCTAGGTTTACTTTTGACGGCCCCGTAAAGAAGTTGACAAGCGTACTTGATACAGTTGGTATGACCTCAATTATGGCAGTCAGTTCGCACACTCTTGGGCCCAAGCTACGCTTAATCGGCTTGTATGGGGTGCAGACGGTTGGTGGCGACAATATTGTTGGTGGTACCTCGAGTTCTTCACCAGTGATCTTCAGTGATGGAATTCCATCCCCAGCGTAGGGTATCAATACCGAACAGTCAGTATGATTGCCTGCATTATTGTAATCGTATCGCAAACCAAACGATAGCCCTTCAACGATGGGCTGAGAAGACATGGTCCCTCGTACATCCTTCTGGCGATACATCTCTGGTTCTTGGAACTCGTTCACAAAAAACAAATTGAGATCAGTGGACGCCACTTCCTGCGAAGAAAAGCCCTGCAGTGACTTAAATCGGTACCACAAGCCGCTTCGACTATGAAGACGGAGGCTCGGAGCTTGGGGATCCCGGTAGTCACTTGGTAGGCATAGGACTGGTCGCCGAAGCCAGAGGCGAACGTCGATGTTTCGGCCAACTTGATCCACGACAGTCGTTGCATCTTTCCCGTTTGCTTTCCTGATACTATTCTTCAATCTATGAGCCCACTTCAAGCAATAAAAAGCAGGGTTGCCAAACACGCTGTTGGTATAATAGCTCTTGAAGTATTCCAAAAGCACCCACAACCAAGACAAATCGTGCATTATCCCGTTGATATCTTGCAAACCGACATTGATCAAGCTCCAACCAGGCGTCATGAAGACGGTAAACATAACGGGCACCTGGAGATCCGAGGAAAAATTCCGAATATCATCTCGCAACCCCCAACGGAGATCCGCCCACGCAGGCGACGTAGCTTTGCTGTTGCCACTAGGATGGTTGTTCATGACATTCCGAAAAACCTTTTGACGCCTCTCGTCGATGAGCTGAATCGATGACGCACCCACGGCAATCCTCTTCACATTCAAGTTATCGTTCATTATATGGATAGCAGCGTCGTCTAATGTGAGAATCATGCCTTCCCTGTCCTCAATGTTACAACCGGGATTCTTGAAGTAGAGGAAACAAGTTGGATCAAGTTTGTATCTACCTGGACTGTCGTAGGTGCACCGAATAGAGACTCTCTTGAAGAGACAACATATTTCCGAACGAACAGACGAATGATCTTCAAGGAAGCCAATGAAAGCATCTGTCCCATATCGTGGAAAGGACTCAGGAATCGACGGTGGCGAAGCAAAAGCTTCAATTTCCTCGGCAGTGAAGGGGAACATGGTAGGCATTTCTTGCATATTTGAATCCCAAATGGAAATGAGAAGGCACAGCTGTGATAACCGGGCGTCGAGAGCAAATGGGAGAGGGCTGTCGCGGTTTGAAATGAGTAGACGCAGATGTGGTGCATAATCAGCAAGAACCTCCACATTCAATGGATTTGTGCTTATCTGTTCCCATCGTTGCTCGCACAACTCCGCCTCAAGGAACGTGTCTCCATCTATTGAGTCTTTCCGCCGGTAGACTAATTTCCCGGCTTCGGCCCTTTCATCTACTTCGTGAACATACCGAAATAGGGGATCTTCTACACGCTCCCGTTCTTCGTTGGACTCAGCAATCGCAGTAAAGGCTCGAACTCCGTTTAAATTGATCGAGGTACGACGGATCGAATTCGCGTGGCTTCGATCCCCTGGCTCGTTGACATGGTGCCAAGGTTCATCAAAATCATTAGAAGTGTTGTTGCCTCCTTGAGCGTGGGTAGGGTACCCATTTCGCGGGTTTGCGTCAAATGAAGACACTGCTGTGGGCATCAAAAATGTCTCCTCGACACTGGATAACTCAACTGCCCCCTTGCTTACTTCAAACGCAACCATGTCACTACAAGCACTTGACCTTGGACATATTATTGAGGTGTCATTGACTTTCACCAAAACGGAGAGAGGCCGCTTTTGATTCGTCTCATCTTCGTCTCTATCCTCGAGAATCTTTGCCTTCAAACGCCCAAGGCCGTACTTTTCATGTCCAACAAAGTGCAGCATCTCATAGATGAAGTTTCTAAGAACGTAGAGTCGAAATGCCGAGAACTCGATTTCCAGCTGGTCACCAACCCTTTGCGTACTTGAGTTCGCCAAGTACCGTACCTGAAACGGAATATCTCCACCATCACCATGTATCAGCGACCCCAAAACGTCAGGGTAGAATTGGCCCTCTGGAGAGAGATTCTGGAGTACAAATGAGTGGGAAAGAACGACCCAAGTCGGTAATGGGTGAATAGGCAGAGGCCGCAAGGCCTCCTCGTTCTTGAACGTGATATCTTCAATGCTGATTCGACAAAAAGGTACCAGCTCATCATTTGTAAAGAGGATCGAGAGGCAAGAGGCAACAACTACTGTTGATTGCTCGAATTTTGTATCCTGGTGTGCAATTGATGAGTCATCCTTTCCCCTCCTACCTGCATTGACAGAAGACGATTTCTTGCTTTTACCAAGCTTTGAAATCTCATCATAAACGTCTTCGAGTATAGTAGATGAGAAGAGAAACTCTAGCTCACCCATTTCGACATCATCCAATCTTGCACGCTCTCGGAAGAAGAGGTCACCATTGGCTCCTTTATCCGACCCAAGGACACTGATTGGCAGTCCACCGCTTCCAAAGCCATAACTCTTGTCGAAATCAAACCTTGAAAAGCTGATGCAATCTCCTGTATTCTTATCTTCTTCTTCGTCCTGATCAATTTCATTTGAATTGCTTTCCTCGTTGCTGCAAGGTACCAACGTCAAGATTTCGATTCCTGCTCTGTTTGCGACGACCATAGACGTGATGATAAAAGTCAAATGCTGATCATAAAAGAGCTTCACAAGCGAGAGACGGATTCCCATCGGGAGATCGATTGATAGCACCGTGCTGCTATCGTCCTCGTCACGTTGGTATTCCTCCAACAACGGCGAGAACATAGTCACCGTTTTTTCTACTGCATCTGTGAATGAAGAAAGCGTTAGCATACTAGTGTTGTGGCATTTTGCAATCTGCCACCAAATAGGAAGGAATAGTCGCATTCTTTACTTACCTGATATGGTCATTTCAACAATACCCGTCGACTCCGCAGAATCGTCGTCTGATTCAGTAATATCATTAGACGACAAAGACTGTTGATCATTACTCGCTGCAATCAGTTTCTGGGATTCAATCTCAGAGTTTTCTGATTCTGCTAGGCCAATACCACCAGTCACAGGCAAGGTACCTCCTGTCAAAGGGGCGAGCGATCCCGACTCTCTTCTGAGACTCGTTGAAATGTGAACGAGTGCCTCATCATGAGCTTGCCTCATCTGAGCCACATCATCTAGAAAGTTCAGACGCGCCGAGTTTGTGCATCCCCACGCTTCATCGTCGCTGAAACCTAAACCAACTAAACGGCCGATACAAACTTGCATCGCAGACGACAAGGCTTCCTCATTTGGGAGGTCAAAATCAAAACAAGCACCAACAGAAAGAAAATCTGATAGCGCCGCTTCCATTACCAACTCTTTTGCCTTCACTGATAGTTGTTCTCTTTGCATCCCATCACGTACCAAATCAAACTTTATTTGCTCGCAAGACAGATCTATTGAGTGTAAGATTCGATTTGAGAGAATTTCGATCCGTGGTGGATCAGGATCGCGTGCGGCGGCCACTCCAGGATTCGAGAGGTTTGTGTCACCAATCGTTGAAAACGCACTAGACAGAAGAGACAACCTTTTCTCGGATAACAAGACGTGTAGAGGCGAAATCTCGACTACGACTTTGTGCTTCGGAGATTCCGTCTCAAGAAGTGGCATACCATTTGCAGTCAAAAGAATCTCAGTATCGATAGGCATCTCGCACAGGTTATACGAAACCTCTGTTCCAGTCATGAGATAAAAGTCTATCCCAGATATGCTTGCGACCTGTGTGGGGGAGGGGTGCTGTGAGATCGGTAGGTCAATGCTGTCACCAACCATCTAAAAAGTAATTACCCAATGATTACATTCAAAGGAGTCATGCAAAGCTGTCAATCCCACAATGTTTATCATCTCAAGATTTTTTAGCGTCGAAATCTTGTTCTTGAACCCACTCGCAACGCTGTTCCCAGCAAATCCGTGGTCTTCTTGAGCACACATCTCTTCCACAACGCGACCAGTGTAGAGCTCTACTGTATCCACAACAAACGTGAGTCTCGAATCTTTATCTTCTTGTATTTGTCGATGTGAAGATGCCGAGAAGCGCGACGAGCTTGACGTTGAGCTAGATGAACCAACTTCAGATGGAGCAGCAAAGGGGAGATTAACTTCCATCCCATGCATTCTCAGCGCGATACTGATGTTTGCTCCAAACCTCGATGACGCTGCAATTTTTCGAAGCATCAACTTTCTTGCAACATCTCTCGAAGACACAGGAACAAGCTTGCTGGGATATGCGACCTTGGATTTCGAACTAAACAACAGAATTCTTTCAACTGGGCTGAGGTGAATGTTTGCCTTCACTTTTGCAATATCACAACTTGTAGCACTCAATCCTTCGTCAAGATTTACAACCAAAGATACAGCACGATCAGTAGCCCTTGTCCTAGCCAGAAGATTTTCGGACATGAAGGCATCAGAAGGAGTTCGATAGTCATCCAACATATCCTTTTGTCGTTTTCGCAGTGGTTTCGTCGAAGAAATATTTACTTCCGATACCGGAGCGCTGACTTCTGATCCAATCGAGAATAGCACTGATTCGTTTCCATCAACGATGTCAATTTCACCGATATACATTCTAAATTGTGATGCAGCCCCACTGATTCCTCTCAGGGAACATCCCAGCTGAGATACTGTGAGTCGCGTGACAACATTATCAGGGCGTCCAAACGTTAGAAAGTCCGTTGAGGATAATCTAGCCTGAACATCATCTTCGTCCCCTTCCTGAAGTATGGTTCCTATTGATCCCTCTTCAAAAAAGTTCTGATCATCCGTCAAGACAGAGAGATCCGATACTTGGTCACTCGAAGATTCATCATCGAGAAACTCTGCAGTATCGAGTTGTATTCCTTTTCGGAAATGGCTTCCACTCCCCCCCAAATCATCCAGTGGTTCGAACATAAAGTTGTCTTCAACCACCATAAAATCTATGCACTTCACCTGAAGTGAAACTGCAAGTCTCATACGGGAATCGCCATTTCTCACGTGCCCAGCAACATTGCCCGTTACTGTTTGCCGCGGATGTACACTGTCCCTTCCTCTCGTTGTTATCGTTCTAGGTCCAGCTCGTGAATCTCTTCTGTTCTCCCCAGAGGAATAGAAGTTACCAGCCTGAAATGCATTGCCAAAACTACGGCTTCCTCCTACGCTATTACCGTCTGCAGCGTATGAGCCAGGATAGTAGATTCCAGAACTATGACGAGCGCCATCGCTCATGTTCCCCCCTGTTGCATACGATTCCTCCGTTGTAGCTTTCCTCGTTACAAGGCTTTCCAACCGATCCTTTTGCTTATGTTCGTATCTATTCCGAAGCAAATCCATTAAAGTCGACCCACCAGAATCCTGATTCCCCCGTTCCAAACCCTTCTTTTTCCTGTTTTCCTCGTAATTGTTTGCTAGATTCGCCCGAAAGTTTGGAATACTAGTGCAAGTTTCTAATACTGTTGCTGGCATTTTGGAGATACCCTTGACATGCAACGACCGAGCAATTGATCGATACAGCAGAATCTGTTCAAGCGGCAGCTCGTCTTCGATCTGCAAAAGCTTTTCCTCACGATCCTCTTCAAACGGCCAAACCTCACTTTGCCAACCTTTGTCAAGTTTTGTGGAAATATAAAGGTTGATGTACTCTTGTCGTCTGTATCTTTGACGCTCCCAGTCAAAGGAGACATACATTTCCAAAAAATTTCGCCGTCGATGCTTCTTCTCCCTGATCTCCCAAAGTACTGCGCTTGATGCGTATTTCCACCACTGCCTTGTAACAATAGACCTGGGTGATAATACTGGAGCGTTGCTGACCTCTACTTTCACCGCATTTTTCTCTTTGATCTTGTCCTCGCCCTTTGGCCGAAGTGACGTCAATTGGGAAAGAGAAAGCAACGAACTCAACTTTGATTGTGCTGATGTTTTCTTCTTTTGATCGACCTCCTCGTACTCGACACGCAAGTCTCGTGGCATTGCTGCTGTAGTATACAAATCCCGCACCGACCTGATTGCTGTCTTTGGGCGACCATTTTGTGCTCTCTGTACCGTTGCAGCAAAATAAGAGAGCAACTCGAAATGGCGATTCGAGAAGATCACCCGGACATCTTCAAAGACTACTCGACAGTCTATCTTTGGTACGGGTTGTATTGGCCTCTCAGCAATCACTGATGGTGACTCCAAGACACTCCTGACATCACGACCAGTCGTTCCCAGCGATACACCTGACCTGATTGACTTTGCTGAAGAAAACCGATTTGATTGCGCAAACTTCGAGGTATCTTGAGAGTAACGGCTGTTTACATGCAAGGATTGCACCCCGAGATCATTCGGTTCGTCAGATGACTTCGTCCGTCTACTTTGGAGCACTCGACGACGTCCGGTGGGTGTTGCAGAACCTGTTGCGCTAGCTGTCCGTCGTAGGCTGGCTTGTCGTGAAGGAGACAGAGACCCTGAACTCAGGTTTCGTCTTACTTCTCTCTTCGGTGATTCTTTTTTCAAATTGTCAAGAGAGTTGGTTCGCTTCAGTGTTGGCGGGGCGCGTTCTCTCTTTCCACGACGTTGCTTTGTCGATGCCGTGCTGTCGGTGCTCGCCACAGTTGTATTGGTTCCTAGACTATGCGTTTCGGCCGAACGTTTCTTCCTTCTCTCCGGAGGGAGTGGGTAGAAGAACGAATACGAAAGACCGAGGTCGCCTGGTTGGAGTATGTAGTCATCCGCTGCAACAGAAGACGAAAATTGCAACGTTTTGGGAACCTTGGCCATAGATACGGCTTTTCGGACAAATAACCCCAAACCTTCCAATTTGATTTTCTTGTCAACATGTTCTCCATCATCGTACCCGCTTTCGTAGACAAAGTTCTCTGGGGGCTTCATTTCCGCCGAATAATCTGCAGTTTGTTCTGAAGTCGAATTCTCTTCTGGGGTCACTTCTACCTTGACACCATCTGTTCCGGCCTTGATTTCAATTGATTGAATGATACATCCAACTTCGACTCCGTCTTGAACTACGACGACCCTGATTTTCTTTATGGAGCCCTGGAGGCCGGCATAAAAGCGCCAAAAGAAATCTGATGTCGCATTTTTCATCCAGCTTTCAATCCTCCCAACTTCATTCCCTGATTTCCTCAATTCTTTTGCCTTGGCCTCTTCAGCCTTCGTAACTTCCCTTTCGATCAGATTCTTTCGATATACGTTGTTAAGATAGAGTGACATGGGCATTCCTTTCATGTGCCGGCGTTCAGCTTCATTCAGCCGCCTTTGTTTCGCATCTCGATAACTCTTGGAAACCTTTGGTTTGTCAGAAGCACCTGAGGGTTCGTAGTTTGCTTCTTTCCTTTTGGAGCCAGTACTCTTTTCAACCTTCACATCTTCCCTGTTTTCGTATGCTAGAACAATTGACACATCACTAATTTCCATTTGTACATCTCCTTGGCCCCAAACGAGTCTTTTCCAAGGAATTCGTATCCGCATATGTCCCACAGTTCCTGAAACAAGTTTCATGTGAAGCGGAGCTTTTGTGAATGGATCGTTATGCGGCTTGTTGGCTGCTATGTTCAAAAGAGGATAGATCGCATCTTCTCGCAAATTGACGTTTGACAGTGACAAATCCCCAGACCAAATGCCAAGTTCGAGTTGAGCTGGATCAAATTCCAAGAATTTGGATAAGATCGCAGTCACCTTTTGTGATGGATTGTAAACATAGTTACTCATTTCAAAAGGGGCTTCAGGCACAAATTATGCGTTATCTATTTGACGGAATGCTCTTTTAATTGTGCAGATGTCATTCGCTTTCATCCGCTAATTCGTGGTGCAACAGGACAATGGTGACTGTTTTTGTTGTTGTTGTTGTTGTTGTTGTGGCTACGATGTCAAGAGCAACAATTTTCGTTCAATATATACGAGTATAAAAAAAATATATAAAACAAAAGCTAAAGGATTTTAGTAGTTTCAGTTCCGCGAGCAGGCCGGCGTGTTTTTGTGCATCCGCACTCAGCACTCTTTTTAATTTCCCACTACCGGTACCTACAACCTACAAATATTAATAATACCTGCGGTACAACAGTACAACTCGAAACTATCATTGGATGATCCGAACAGCCATCCACCTACTTGTACCCTGGGCAATCTTACTGCAACTATTTGGAACTGTTCATGCAACTGTCAGTAGTGATTATAGATACACGTACCTGAATGTTCTTCGGAAAACTCATCTGGACCACGTTGACAGTCATGACAAAAACGATGTGGAAGAAACCTTCCTAAATCAACGACTGGATCATTTCGATCGCACAAACAGGGCCACGTTCGAACAAAGGTATTTCTCGACGGATCGATATGTCCTTGAAAACCCATCGAAAAATGTCAACTTCTTGTGCGTGGGAGGCGAAGGACCTGGGTTCGACAAGAGTGTATTGATAGATTCGGTTCACTGTACAGGGGATATGCTGGAGCTGGCGCAAATCATGTCCAAAAAGCATGGCGTTAGCGTCCAGGTATATGCCCTTGAACATAGGTACTACGGGAAATCATACCCTTCTTTCTCAGACTCTCCTGTCACTATTCAAAATCTCAAGTACTTGAGTTCGCGGCAGGCGTTGGAAGATTTGGCCCATTTCGTTCATCACATCAACGACAAACAAGGTAGAGAGACCCGTTGGGTCACGTTTGGAGGTTCTTATCCTGGAGTCCTGGCTGCATATGCACGCTTTAAATATCCTCACATGATATTCGCGGGTGTCTCTTCTTCTGCCCCCGTGAAGATCGTCGTTGACTTCCCCGATTATTATCATGTGGTGGGAAAAGACTTGAGGTATTCAAAAGTTGGCGGCTCGCCTTCCTGCTACGATATTGTGAAAAAAGGACACGAACAAGCCACTCAGCTTGTCGACCATGAAAAATTTGCAACGTAGGTCCCGATCGTGGCAATGTTCCCTTGGTCCATATTGAAGTGCAGTTCATAAGAAAATACGATTTCCCCTATGTCTCACAACCTGTTTTCTGCTCCTTCACTAGCGACTTTATGGTATGCGACGCAAGCAAGCTCAAAGAAAGGCGGAACCAAGAGATATTGCTGTAAGTATTTTTTTAGCTTTCGAGGGTGGATGGATGTGCCCCGGTTTCGCATTTGTTCTAAAACTGTTTCAAACTTGGATTGGTATTTATGAAGTGGAGATGGTCTCATCAACATCCCTTCGCAGTCAAATGACCCCGGATGCACAGATGACCTATGCAACATTCGGCGGTTATGTGACTTTATGGAGGAAATTCATTCTGCAACCAACCTGACGGAACTTGATGTTTTAGCAACGGTGGCATCAAAACAGCGACGTTCAGACGAATGCCTGGAAGTCGACTGGAACAAGACTCTTGTGGAACTAAGTAAGCCTGTCGTTACGGGCGAGGGCTGGCGGTCCTGGTTGTGGCAGACTTGCACTGAATTTGGATTTTATCAGACTTGCGAAGATGAGCAGTGCCCCTACGCCTCATCCTATCATAGAGTAGATATTGATTTGGAGATTTGCAAAGTTGCATTCAACGTGACGGATGTATATGAAAACATTGAAGCTTCAATAAATTATTACGGTGGACTGGATGTGAATGGCGGTTCCCGAGTCTTGTTTATAAACGGCGATGTAGACCCCTGGTCCGCTTTAGGATTGCTGAATTCTACCGATCACGAGTTACCAGCGATTGTAGTCCCAGGAGCAAGTCACCATGCGTGGACACACTCAAAACAGGCGACAGATTCGACGGAAATTCAACATGCAAGGGCAATGATTTATGCCACTGTCACTGGGTGGCTCACCGATGAGCGCTCTACCGAAGGTAAACGAGTAGTTGGCACTGTTGGTTCTCTACGAATGAACAATGTTGTCTCGAGCACCTAAAAGCCAAATTCTTACTGTAGTCACTTAAGAAGAGCAGAGTTTCGTTATGGTATTACTCTATTGTCTTGTTCGGTATTACGATCTGTGCCCCCGGTTCACCGCTTGCGGTGTTCACAAAAGTTTGCGCCAAACCCAACCCTCGCCAAACTCACGTACTCCATCAAGCCAGACCAAAGTAGATGCTGTGTAGATTTGTGGATATGTGGATATCGGCGTGTCGTCTGGGAAATGGTTCTGCTGATGTTTTGATTGATTGATTGATTGATTGATTGATTGCCTCTCTTTCTCTACCTGGAATTCGATTTCTTGGTAACACACTTCGCAGTTTTGTAGTCTCACTGGGTTGTCCGAACGTGAGAAAAGAGGCCATGGTCCTGAAGATACTCTTGGAAAGCTACTGCATCTTTGTGATCTGGTCGTTGATATTTGTTTTGTTCCATCTCTCCTCTTGGGCCAACATCGTTATAGGGTATCAAGTTGATACTGACCTTGCAGCCTGTGACGCGTTCGCTTATCACCTCGGCAAAGGATGCCAATTCTTCCGCCTCGTTGAGAGAGTCATTGACGCCTTTCATGAGCGTCAATTCCAACAGAACGGTTCGTCCGTTTATGGGTCGTTCCAACATTGCTTCAATCAAACCTTCTCTAAGTTCCTCAATGCTGTATTTAGTGGTAGGCACCAGTTGCTTGCGTAAATCATCGTTTGTGGCTTGAACAGACCATGCAATAACACATGGAGCCTCGGCAACAGCTTTGAAGGATTCCGGAGAAGGCCCAACAGTAGAGACTGTGACTCGCGAAGCGCTCAACTGAAACAAATCTCGGGTGGTCATAATTTTTGTTGCCTTGATAATGTTTTCGATATTGTCAACTAAAGAAGGAAATATTTGGGTTAGAAATGATTCGCCAAACTCTTACACTGAAAAAAAGATTTTCTGCATGCTTACCAGAATCGCCCATACCTATAGAATAAAATGGTGGTAGTGAGAAACGATCGGCCCAACCATAATAACGGTTCAGGTTCAGGCATTCGTAGTTAGATGGTACTTACCCATAAAAACGATGTCGGTGATGTCTGGAATACCTTCCAGCCGGCAAAGCTTTTTGGCAAAGAAAAGCTGAGCCAGGATTTCAGACGACGTCAGCGGTCGAATCTTTTCGACCTGTGAACTGACACAAAGAGTGGATCGCTGGCCCTTCCCAGGAATAATGACAGTTTCGATTTGAAGACCATCCGCGAGAGTTAGTAGAATTTTAGTCGCTGAATCACTAGACTTGGAGAGGTACGACAGTCTGGCCACACCGCCTTCAACTTTGCCGCCCTGGGGATACAGGGCTGCCAACTTTTCCAATGTCTCAGAATCCAGCTTTTGTGTCCGCCGCATGGATGGCATCAATTGCATGATGGTCTCGTAATCGTCATAACCCAAGTGTATGGATCCGAAGTAATCAGCTGGATCAATTCCAATGGAATAGCAATCCCAGACAATTTGAGCTCTTCCCTCCCCCCCAAGGTACTTGTCAAGTTCATCAATTTGCATGGAGATGGCTCCTCGTTTTGCAGGATTCTCTCCATCTTCCGAGCGAATTTCCGTATCGTCTGGTGACAGCGTGCTTGAAAGGTGAGAAAGTCGACGTTGTTCTTGGTTTATGAAACTTGATACTGATTGTGATGAAAAGGCTCCGCTTTCAGTGATTTTGAACAGAGTAATGGAAGCAAGGAGTAGCAGTTGCAAGTTCATCTTGGGAGTGTTTTACGTTGCAAGGTACTGTGTGTTTTGTGACTGTATGTCTATTTGCTGTATTGTTCTCAGACGTTTCTGAATTTCTCTTTTTTCTATTGTTCTTTCCAGCAGATGATGACTTCTGGTGTTTGTCAATGAATATTTTTGTTGATTATTATGATGTCAGTCGTTATGGAGAAGGACAATGCTTCAAAAGCTTGGCAGAAGTGATGTTTTGTGTCCGTTTTGTTCTTGAATTTTCATTCGAAGAAGAATCGCTTCCATGCGATGATTGATATTTCTTCAGCGATGGAATCGAAGTGTAAAGTGTGCCAGTTTTGGACTGTTCATTTGGTATATTTTCTACGACATTTGGGGATTTCAAAAACCATGGAGACAGTTTGAATTCCCTTCCTTCCAGAAGCAACCCAAACTCTGCCCGAAGCAGATAACTAGTAGTACCGGTAGCATGACGTCATTTTTCAAATTTTAGTCGGAGTAAACAGCTGTCAAAGTTCGAATGATTCAGGAATATAACGCTAAAATATGACCTTTGATCATAAACCTGGATGTTCAATGTCATTTTTAACACCTTCCAACACACTGTCTACATTGTTCCATAGACAATGAACAGAAAGGAACTTCGTCATGTTGAGTTTATCGCGTTGCCCAAGTAAGAAGAGAAAGAAGAAATCTTCCTCATCGTCATCTTCGTCGTCATTGACCGTTGTTCCAAAGAGCAGCATTGCTTCAATGGATCTATACAAGACAAAAGAAGAAGAAGAAGAAGAAGATGATGATATTTCTTTTTCTCCTCCACAGTCATCTTCGAATTCCAAAACGGTAAATGGTGAACCTTTGAAAGAAAACCAAGAGCAACAAGTTCAAAAGTTGAAACGACATCGCGAACGCAAACGACGACGACAGATGCGTATGGAATCTGCTCTGGAAAGCATCCTGAAACCTTGCGTTCAACTATCAGACTCTACAGAATTGAAACGCATGGAAACCAGGTTTTGGAATGACAGTGATTCGGATGATGAGTATGATGAGATTGAGGAGCAAACACCTGGTCCTCCGTTCGCTGAGCCATTTTGTCACATAAGCACCAAATCACAAAACACAACTACTGACAGGACAAAAGAAACGGCAGTCACGGGGTCGAAGCCACCGATTCTCAATCTATCTCTGGGAGGCAACGTGAATGGAAGTAAATCAGACAACGATCCAGAAACACCAATCACGACCAAGAAAAGAATATCCAAACTAGGCCAACAAGCAAGGCCATCTTCGCCAAAAACAAAGGACAAAGAAGTAACGTCCTCTGGATTGATTAATACATATGATATCCAAATATTGTCAGCGGATGAACTAGACTCCGGAGATGTAGAGTTTGATGAAGACGACGATAATCGTTTCCCATGTTTGCGAGCAAATGGTAAAAGCATGACCGGCGTTCAATCTGGTCACAACTCGACAGTTCCAAAGAGTGATAAGGATAAGGGTCCTATAATTCCGCATTCAAGAGATTGTGGTCTTGAGTTGAACGGAAATGAGGCTTTGAAAGGCAAAACTAAAGAATCTAACCAATCAAGCCACGAGGTAACAAATCAGGCTGCCGGATTGATTGCTCCGTCTACAACAGATGCACCAGAAAAAGCGATGACTTCAATTTCACAGTCGGACAGCAATGTACAACCCAAAGTTCCCCCGTCTTCCTTATGTGAAAATGTGAACATTCGATCACCCGCTAAATTACAAACTGAACATGACCTTTTCCGACCACACCAGCTTCGATCCAAAAATCGTCCTTCGCAACTGAAATCGACTGACCAGTTAGAACTGGAGAGTAAGGTGACAGAGGCAACAGCATCGGATACAGAACCAGCGATCAGTTCAGCCACTTTTCCCGATGAGCAAACAGAGCTGATCTTGGTTGAAAACCATGCAGCAAAAAGCGGGTCAAATATACTGCAAAAACCCAAGTCAAAAGCAAGTAAATCGTCAGTATCGCCCACACCATCATCATTTAAGAGTGCCAAGACCATCCCCAAGCATGAAAAAGTGGCATCAGATGATACTGAAGGAACGTCTCCCAACAAGAAGCGGCGAAAACGAGTTGCGAAAAAGTCTGAAGTTCCTGCTACGGAATGCGTCGAAATGGATTCTGACTGTGATCATGTAGCTTCGAAGAAAACATCACAACGAGGAAAGAAACGTGATAGAAAACGTTCATGTGCCCTCTGCACTACATGTCCCTGTCGAAAAGCCAGAAGTGACGAAACATTCGGAGAATTAGGCCTCCAGAGTTTTGCCCAATCTGACAGCGCGATGGAAAAGGCATTGATTAGAAGATTGAAGAAGATCGAGAAGTCCTGTGAAAATCTACAAGATCAGCAAGAGACGATAAAAAGAAAGCTAAAGAAACATCGGCGTGATATTTTGCGAAAGAAAACAAAGGTACCATCCGAGGATGAGGGTATCTCGTATTTTCTTCCTGACGCCGACGAACTGGACACTTCCGAATGCCAGCCCACTAGGGTGGCTGATGATTGGGTCACGTACGCTCAGAAACGTATGTTTCCATCCACGTTAGGTAAGATCTCTGAAGGCTAGTGTCGACGCGAACGAATCATCTACACTTCCATCCTCACCGTTGTTTTTCTGTGTATAGATGATAATCAGCCAAGTCTTACCCAGCTCGGCTTTTGGTCATCAAAATCGAAGAAACCTATCGATGAATCAGAAGAGCCTCCTGACACACACATCGAAACCCAAGGCGCATCGACAGAAGATTCCCATCACGAGCCAGTTGAATCAGTTGTGGATGAATTTGAGATCGGCAAATCTCAGAACTGTACAAACGAATATGACAAACGTGAAGATGAAGAAGATTCCAAAGCCTCGTTTCTGGAATCAACAACAGAAGAAGACATTGAAACAGGAGATACAAGGTCTGGATGCGAGAAAGCCTATCGAATTACTTGGCGAAATGGATCGAAAAGGACAAACGATTTAGTTGCAACTAGTGCCCTTGAGGGGCTTGTGGTCCATCCAGAAGAAGCGCAACAAGTCGATGATGCAAACTCGGTACTTTCTCTAACTCAAGAAGAGCGTCCAATGGGAAGAATCGAACCATGTCCATGGGATAGCCTCTTCTCGGATTGCGCGATGGGAAATGAAATTGACCACTTTGTGAAGTTGACTGGTTTCAAATCCCTATGCGGCACACAGGAATCAAGTGCCAGAAGTGTTTGTGGAGTTGGCAACTCTGTTGCGAGCTGCTTTGATGATTCGACACAAGGTGGGGCTCGTATTTTTATCACAAAAATCAGTTCTGACGTCACGAATGTTGACGCCCTCAAAAAAGTTTGTCCTAATTGGAAAGAAAACGTTTCATTTGCATTTGGTCAAAGCAAGGAAGACATTCAAAATGCACTTGAGAATTTGCAAGAATCTCGGACTAGATTATATCGAACAAAGCAAATGATACTCGATGCATGGGATCGGAACAGAACGACCATGGATATTTTTAAGGACGCCTTGGAAAAATCTCTTAATCGATTCAAATCTTGAGAAGTATACCATTGTTCCGTCACTTTTTTAATGACGAGAAAAAATTGACCATCGTAATGTTATTTCGTTCATAGTTTACACGATGAATGTTTTCTTATTTTTATGCTACTTCAACTGTTCACGAAATTCTTGAATGCTTCTTTGCAGACATTTTTCCATTACGGGATCAGTATCCTCGTGGCCAGCGTTGAGAAAATGTGCTGTCAAGGGGGCTCCGACATCTTTCAATTTCTTTGCAAGTAAGCGGGCGTTTTCGGAAGGACACACTTCGTCTCTAAGGCCTTGGCATATAAACACTGGAGTGTCCGACAATCGATTTACGCGCTGAATAATATTTGTGGGTTGTTCCAAACTTGCATGAAGCCACAGTCGTAATTCAAAATATGCAACACTCTGCGCCTCTGGCATCTTCGATTCGACAATCTCTGAGGGGTCCAGTAACATCTCTGGCCTCTCTTCCATTAGGTTGTTTTCAAAGGCAAACCAATTCCAGATAGCGTCCTTTCGTCCGCTTCGAATCATGGCTTCGTACACTTGCATCAAAGCTAGAGCATCGTCTGGATTAAGGTTAAGTCCATCGATTTTGCGATTGTAGTCATTTGCGAGCTGAAAGAGAACCTGAAACTCTTGTAGCCGCTTTTTGTTGTGTATGAAAGCCTGTCTCGAGTAGACAGAGCTTACCTCAGGAACTGTATCGAGGTAAATGCCACGCAAAATAAGTCCAAGGCATCGTTCCGGAAACTGCATTCCATAGTCCAATGCGATCGTTGAACCAAAACTGCCGCCCCATACCACCCATTGCTCAATTCCAAGTTGCTTTCTGACAACTTCAAAATCTTTCGAAATCAGATCGACTGAAATATCATCATATAGTTCCATGTTGTGCAAATCGTCTCTAACACTTGGTTTGGATCTTCCTGTTCCACGCTGATCAATTTCAACAACAAACAGCTCCGAGGCATCAAAGAATCTCTTGTTGCCATTCTTGTAGTCTACAACTGCTTGGCCTACCGGGGAAAGGAGACCAAATTCATCGTTCTTTAGAGATTAGGACAGACAGCACTAGTCATGATTCAAGTATTCATTACATACTTACCAGGTCCACCGTGCACGAAAAGGACGGGCACTCCAGACTTTCTGTTGCCCCAGATTCGATACCACAAGAAAATCTCTTCATCCACTTCAATATAGTGCTCACTCGCCCTCTCAATAGGGATGATACACCCATCTTGATCTGCCTGCCTCGATAAAATCAAGACCAAACATCCGAGAATAAGAAATATTGCACCAAGTCTCGCAGGTACATGCCGACAAGACAATTTGAAGCTTCTTGCATTCTTGACGTCAATTGACATGTGGCGAAGCAGTGGGCTGTGCTCTCCGTTTCTGATTTCGCTCATCCTGTTGGCGTCCTCTTGTGGTGTTATCTGCGTTTTGTTATTATGTTATCACCGAGTTCAACGGCTCCGATGTCAATCGAGCAATTTGCGTTGATACATGCCCGCCCCCTACAAGGTTCGTACCAGTATGGATTGATGTCAAATGCTGAAAGTGCAAATTTTTAAGCGCGCAGCCTCGCGAATCACTACTAAACTTCTCAAGTACTAGTAACGACAACGTGTCAACAAACTGGTGGTGAATGTCGACGTGCCACTATAAATTGAATCCATACGCCATGGCTGCAGCACGAACGGGTGCACTCTGAATCATATAAGCCGGTGAATCCATGAAAATGCTATGATTCTTATGCAGTGCGATCCAGATCGGTGCAAAGACGGTTGCCGCGACCTCTTTGTCCATCGAAGACAAAAGCAGGAGGTAGCTTCCCGAAATAAACTGCAGTATTCGTTCCATCATGGCATCATAAATTGAAGTAGTTCGAAGCGCGACAAGCCAGTGTTCCAGCATGTTCACCAAAATGTGCTGTATCCAATTTGCTTGTTCCCTGCAGGAAAACTGCACTGCATGTTCAACCTGCTCCTTTGCAACCCCCCGGGCTGATCTTCCCGCATCGAAATCACTCTTCAATAAAGTGATTGAAATGCACTCTAGAGCGCCTTGGATACCCAAGAACACAGCTTCTTGTAAGCTGGAATAGGTCTTCGTATCTTTGTCGATTCGCTCTAAGCAAACTTTCAATGTTTTGCACAATGCCTTACTTCTCGTGGACGAAATGAAGCAGGCAGAAGGCGATTCCTTCAAGACCTCCAGAATCAAGACCACATGATTTTGCTCCAACACTCTCTGAATAGCCCCCGAATCTCCTTGCTCCAAACCGATTCCGTCGTCAACACCTTCTAGTACTTTCAGCAAACCGACGGAGTCGTCGTTCTTTGATTCTGAACTCATGGTATGCAAACTAAACAGCTCTGCTGTCTTGCAGAAATCTGCTTGAACAAGAGCCGCAGCTAGATCTCCAAGACTAAGGACAGCATAGCATTGTCGATACTCTTCTGGATAAGACTGCTTCCAATCGTCAAACACTGCAATGAGTTTCTGCAAGGACGTATAGTCTTGATTCAAATCTTCAGTCGCTACACGCAAGGCTTGTTGCAAGTACTCATAGCGTTCTTTTCTGCCACCTGGATTACTATCTTCCGACCACAAATAATCGAGACTTCCTTCAACACCAACCTGACAATCCGATTCCAAAGTGGTTTGCTCCAGGCGCGCCTTGTATCTTTTATCGCGATTGTTCAAATACTGCGACTTGACATCTCGGCCAAACTCATCTACTGTCACCGCCATGGCGTCCAACGGTGGAATAGGGATTTGATGTCCAAGTGATCGATCAATTGCGTTGATTTGATGGAGCACCGAAAAGACGTCTTCCGGACACTTCTTCCACTCTTCTTCTGCATTGGCAAAGGAGGAAAGAACAAGTTGCAACAGTGCTTGAAACACTGGTTTCACTTTTGCTTGTAAATCTCTCAATGCTCCAACCCATACTGCAATATCATTTCTTAATGCTTGATAATAATCGCACGCCTTTCCAGTCTCCTTCAGGGTCTCCTCATGTCGTTTGCAATCGGCTTCTGTTTGTTGTAAATCAGCCTGCCGTCGCATGATCGCATTTCCCAAATCTTCCTGTTGGTTCTCTAAGTTTTCTAGTGTCGATTTCAGTTGATTCTTGAGTGCTTCGAGTGACGGAATTTTGCTTGCTTGGGTATTCTCACGATCAAACGAAGAGAACCCAGCCCTCTTGGCGACTTGATTTTGCCATTCAGTCGATTCTTCGGGATCTTCTTCCGTGGCGAGGTAAGAAGGTAAATCTGACCCGGTATTCGGAAATGGGACATCTTCTTCTTCCTCTTCTTTCGTTGATCGTTGCATGGCTATAAAGTCGCTCTCTTCTACATTGGCATTGGAATCCTCAGTGAAATCCTCAGTAGGCTGTGAATTCTGAGCTATTACCTCGACTGGCTTCACCTTTTGCTCCGCCTTCAACTTTTGCAGAGCGTCTTTGTCATACAATGGTTTAGGCAGTTGCTCCTCTTGTTCCATTTGGGCTTGTTGTTCCTCTTGAGCTACAGCTGCAGCTGCAGCTACCGCACCGCCACCAAATCCCATTCCCGTGCCTTTCCGCTTTTTCCTCTTCTTGCTCTTTAATTCTTTTATAGCAGCAGAAGAATTTACCGATATGGACTCTCCATGGTCTTCATCGAATGATCGAACCACCATACCCTTTGCCTTACGCTTCTTGTGTCGAGTGATGACAAGCGCAGGGGCTGGTATGTCATCTTCATCCGACGAATCGCCGTCTTTGCGACTTGTTCGAATTACATGTTTTCGTCCTTTCTTCTTGGAGCTACGAAACATGGCTCAATTGTGGTGATAGTTGTAACAGAGTGCAGCACCCCACAACAGGTTCCAGTATATATATTGTATCTTCAATTTATATGGTTGGTGTGAGTATTGGGAGTGAGTCGGGAAAGTACTCATACCCGTACACTTCACTTGTGCAGTATTCAGTACATCGAGAGTCACGATTTTTTTATTTTAGCAGTACACGTATATATATTATATATATATATATATATATATATATATGTATATATATATACGTAGTCCAATATGTTCTTGAAAGAAACGAAACGCGCGTAATACTGTACATAGTATTGTAGATTCAAGACCACACTACTGTAGCTTTGACACATTATAACAATAGCAATGCACAACGGAGAGCCAGATATTCCCATTGTGGCGGCCATGCCAGTCGCCAATGAAATTCATCCAACTGCGACTCCACAAACAGCCAACTCGTCAATATTGGAGAAAGGACGAAGCTCACGCATAGTGGTTCCACAATCATCTGGAAAACATCTCCATGATAGAGAAATCAGCGCCCTTCAGTCTCAGGGTTATCCCACTGGATTGATACATGCCTTGGAACGGAATGTGCAGCTGTTTCCTCTTCGAATTTGGGTTGTCGACAACTCTGGTAAATTCTATTTTTGTTGCGTCGCGTGCTTGCATTTCTGCAAAACTCACACCAATAGTGCAGGATCCATGTCCGCTGGCGATGGAAATCGAATAGTAGAAACAAAGAGCAAGAAAGATGTCAAATTGGTGCGGTGCACAAGATGGGCTGAAATCCAAGAGACTGTCAACTATCACGCACAAATGGCAGCGTTACTGGCAGCGCCGACAGTTTTTCGGCTGCTGAACGATCCTGGTGCGGTTGTGGGTCCTCAGCAATTTTCCATTGCCGAAAGGGGTATTGAATTAATCCAAGAAGACTTGAGAGTTGCTCGAACAACCATGGCAAATGCTACTCCGACCGGGGTCACACCACTCGCGGAGCATGTCATGGAAATCAGAGCCAATGTCATGGCTATGAAAGATGCACTGCGACAAAACGGGCAAAAGGTAACAATCGTTCTTGCCACAGATGGACTACCAACGGATCAATATGGAGTGAGCGGGTACCAAGCGAATCACGAATTTGAGTCAAGTCTGCGCTCGTTGGAAGGCTTACCTGTTTGGATAGTAATTCGGCTCTGCACCGATCAAGAGCTTGTGACCAACTACTACAATGGTTTGGACTCGCAATTGGAACTCTCATTGGAAGTGTTGGATGATTTCTTCGGAGAGGCTGAAGAAGTATCCAAATACAATAAATGGCTCAATTATGCGCTTCCAATTCATAGAATAAGGGAGCTGGGATTTCATTCTCGACTTTTTGATATGCTGGACGAACGAAAACTAACACTGGACGAAGTGCGGGAACTACTCATTCTATTATTTGGACCAGACAGATTTGATGGCGTTCCTGATCATCATACAGACTTTGAAGGCTTCTTAAAAAAAGTGGACCGGATTGTGTCCTACGAACCAAAGCAGTGGAACCCAGCTACCAAGAAGATGCAACGGTGGATTGACTTGAAACGCGTGAAGAAAGCATATTCAAACGAATGCTGTATTATGTAATCGCACCATTTGAACTGAATTGAGATCCTTAAATTACCCTGAATAGAATAAATCGGAGATCATAACTCTCCACCTCATATCTCTCCATCGATAATACTTTGTCTTGTGTCTTTCATCAGGTCATTCATGTAGTGAATGTTGTGTTGTGCTGCGAGCGTTACAAACAAAGGTTCGTTTGCCTTGAAAAGATGCCAGAGGTAAGCTCGATCATAATGCTGGCAGGTGGTGCAATTGCATTCTTCGTCGATCTTGACTCCAAAATCTCGGGAGTATTTTCGAGACTTGATTTTGATGGAACCATTTCTTGTGAGCAAAGAGCCATGTCGGGCCACTCTAGTTGGATAACAGCTATCTAACGTGTCGATGCCTCGTACAACAGCATTTCGTATGCTTTCCTCATCGGCAATGCCTAGCAAATGGCGTGGTTTTCCCTGGCGTTCACCCTCATCAAACTGTGGCATCATCCAATCGAGAAGTTCTTTCAGCTCTTCTTTTCCGTTTCCTAGTGACCCACCGATTGCATATCCATCAAATGGCAAGGAAGTCAAATAATCGACACTTTTGGTTCTAAGTTCCCTATCGACACCACCATGCACGACGCAGTACATTGCTTGGTTGTTGATGTTTTTCAAATGCTCGTTCAACGATCTGGCTTCCCAACGATGTGAACGGTCGACGGACTCGACAAGTGCATTTCGATCGATGTGATACGGTGGCAACTCGTCCAACGGTATTATAATATCTGCCCCAATGTCTTTCTGGGCTTGGACTGTACTTTCAGGAGTGAGAAGAAACTTGCTTCCATCGCGATAACTACGAAAGATTACACCATTCTCAGAAACTTTCACTGGATTGGCAGATCCATTGGAATTTGCCCGTTTAGACCCGCGGCTGGCTCTCTTGAGTTCACCTTTTGAAGACAGCTCTTCGTGGACACTGCCATATGCCAATGAGAATACTTGAAAGCCGCCGGAATCCGTAATAAATGGTCCTTTTCTGTTTGTGAATTTGTGGATTCCACCCGCATCGCGTATTAATTCCGCGCCCGGGTGAAGCATAAGATGATAAGTATTAGAAAAGACGAGCTGTTGGCCTGTTTGATCGGCATCTCGAAAGTCGACTCCTTTCAGAGCTGCATTTGTTGCCACAGCAACGTAACTCGGAGTATCAATAACTCCATGTGGCGTATGGATTCTCCCTTTGAAAATTTGAAAATGATGTGTTAGTGTCAAACGCACCAAAGAGCAACATACGATGATGATCTCACCAACACGCGCTTGACTTTTCTCTGACTGGTGCAGAATCTCGAATCGAAAGAAATCTCTAGGTTCATAGGCCCATTCTGGAAAATCCGATGCCTCTGGAGGCAATGATTCTTCAGCACCAGTAGGAGGTGTTGAAGATGGCTTTGTTGAAAACAATCGAGAACCAACTTCATATGACGTTCGATAACCTGATTGATGGCACTGGTTCTGACAATGATGATAGTGATGATAGTGATGGTAGTTGGCAGAATTCAGTGGCTTGGTAGCAGCAAAGCTCGCTCCCAAACACTTCGTAACAAAATTTCCGACTGAAATCATCGGGTTTTTGGTTTTGTTTCAGTGTCAATATGGTAGGTTTGGTGATGTTGTTGATAAATGTTTGGTGCGGATAATTTCGGGGGGAGGGGAGCATGCAGACAGACGAGCAATCGATTGACTACTTCGACCGCACTTTTGTTTTTCTTTCGAAAATCGAAGGAGTTTTTCACGCCTATGTCATAGGTGTAGGTACATTCATTCATTCATTCGTTCAACACATCCAGACTCTCTTTTGTGTGACTACGACATATTGAATCGGCGACATGAACAATGTTCAACAAGGAGAACATGAAGATGCATCTATTTTTCAACAAAGACCTTTGCTGCAGATAGGAGACGAAGAAGAATGGCTAAGACGCAATGGTCTGATGGAAGAACCACACCTCGGTGCTGCATCTGAATACAACCAGTCCGAAGCACGTCGCAGGGTACAAGAGCAATTTATCTATCAGAAGAAAGTTCACAACAAGCTCTTTGAAAAAGAGAACCGGGAAGATCAATCCCTTGAAGAAGACCGACAGAACCGGTTGAACGATTGGAAGGAAGAAACCATATCTTTGGTAACAGCAGACATGAAAGAGGATGCGCTAGCTGTAAACTTGGCTATGCTGGCGTCACATTCTGATACCGTATTCACCATGGCCGAATCCAGAGCCCACTATGGTAGCTCGTCGTTGTCTCTTTCCTTGCCAGAATATTCGTCCGAAGCTGTCCATGCTTTCTTGAATATGCTGCCGGAGATCAATCTCTCTGCAGAAGAATCGACCATTCATTACGACCACATCATGGATGCGTGCCGATTAGCGCATTACCTACAATGTAATGAACTGCTGGAAAAGATTGTCAAGATCGTAATTGCTGAAATTGATTCTGCAAACTGCCTTTCTTTGTGCCAACTTGCGGACCAACTGGCCCTTCCCAGCCTAATGGAAGCAAGTCTTAGCTTCATCATGAAGAGTCTTTCATCCCTCGAGACACACGAAGTTTGGAATGAAATAGGGTCTGAACTTCGAGACCAGATCCAAGCAATCAAAGCGATTCTCAAGTCCAACAACCGGAGGGACTTGTTTTTTTCTAGTTTTACTGAGTACGTGGCTGTATTCGCGGAGCAGGTTCAGTACTATAAAGAACGGCTAGCGGAAGCGAGAATGCAACAGGAGCGACATGATCAAGACTCTCCAGCCTGGGCATACACTCAAGACAAAATCAACCGGCAGGCAGAACGAGTGGAAACTTTAAAGATTATGTTGGCAGAGCAGAAACGCATTTTCTTGCCACGACCAGATGGTGATGTACCTCGATTCAAGAAGAACCGAAAAGTACAGAGCCAGGACTCTGTGTAAATAATCAACTAACAGCTTTTTCAAAGTTTCTTTCTGTTTCTTTCTGCCATGCAATCGACGACTACTATGACACGGGGAGACTTCAATAGTTTCTTACTCAGTGAGGCAGTTTCAAAACTGAGAAAGCTAAAAAACTTTCACAATCTCAGAAATGGTGGCTTGACGGGCGTACTCGTAGTCATTTTACGAACTTCCAGAAATACCGCGTACCCACAGTCATTGCTTAGTCAGATGTACTGTAATACATGGTGTTATCGAAATTCAAAAGTGACCTAGTTTTTTTAAAATAACCCTGTAAAAGCCGTTTTGCTGCATATTTTCATGGTTAAAGCAGTTTTACGCGATATAAATCGAGATTCGTTTTCCACCTATGCTCTTGTTAGAAATCGAAAATAGGAACAACTATCTCCAGATTCTCTACTGTAGTGAAAAATGAATTATTACATAATATCCAACATGCTCTTTTGTGGACATTTTGGAGATAGTTTTTCTTCTCCCTCGATGAAGAGTGAGTCTTCGGATTCTAGTCATCTACTACAGCAGCAGTTGGACCACTTAAAAGGACATCTCAAAGAACTCTTTCTTCCTCTTCATGTATAAAAGCAAGAATTGACTCTGAAAACGATGAGGCCATGCTACAGCAGCACAAGAGAAGTTGCGTTTTTAGTGCTGGGCTGGACCTACAACTACAGTGGGGTTGCTTGTCTTAGTACTGTAGCTTCAACCACTCATACCTACAGCACCAAATCCGCTTCAGATAACAACCTCGGCAGAAATGGTGGGAACCAAGGTTGGGGCGTGGCTGGCTTGTGCCAGTTTTAAGATTGCTGTGACCATAATCTCAATTTTGAAACTATATCATCTTCAATAAAATGTTGTAAATGCTATTCGTGGGGGTTCTTCAAGTGGTTACGCTTCTCCTTCTATTGCCGCTTGCGCTCAGCTTTACACCATCCCAGCGTACACCTGCTGACTTATTGACTCTCCAATCTGCTTCTACAGGGGACGAGAAGAATCAGAATTGCAGAAAGATGCCACATTGCAATGAAAAAACGAAAGCCTGCTTTGCTGGAAAGTCGATACTGTTGACAGGTGCTTCTGGGGGCCTCGGATCTAGCCTAGCAAAACACCTAGCTTCTTGTCAAGTGGATACGCTGATTCTGTCGGGGAGAAAAAAAGAAGCACTGGACAAAGTTGCGAAAGAGTGTCAAAGCTTGTCCGCTACCACCTCAATACACATCATTACCTGTGACTTGGCTGATAAGGAATCGGTTCGAAAACTTGGAGAAGAAGCCTTGGCACTATGCGGAACAGTTGATATGCTTATCAACAATGGGGGTGTTTCCAGCAGATCCGACTTTTTGGATACTCAACTCGAAGTGGACGAGCGCGTTATGCAGATCAACTTCTTCTCTGGGGCTGCCCTGGCCAAAGCACTGGTTCCCAACATGGTCGAAAACAGAAGCGGTAAAGTTATTTGGATCAGCAGTGTACAAGGGCTCCTTGGAATACCTTCCAGAACCAGCTATGCGGTACGCCTTGCGTTTGTAGCATCTATCTTGGTCAAATCAGTGTCTGTTGTTGCTCATAATCTTCTTTCCCTGTCACCGAAATAAGGCCAGCAAATTTGCCGTGCAGGGGTATTGTGAAGGTCTCAGAGCCGAAATGGCTTCCAGTGGTGTCACAATTCATGTAGCATCTCCCGGTTATATTCGTACTGGTCTGTCCTTGGCAGCATTGACTGGCGACGGGAAACCGCATGGTCAAATGGATGATACTACGGTGAGTTGTTTTGAGTTCTTCTTGTCGTAGGATGCATAGATCTCTATATGAGGCCATGTACCTTATATACCTGCTCTTGCTCATGTTATCCTATTTCGCAGGCAAGCGGTGCAGACCCAAACGAAGTTGCAGCCACCACTCTCGACAGCGTGGCAAAGGGAAAGGCAGACTTTGTATTGGCTGCTTCGTTCTCGTCGCAGGTAGCCATTTGGTTGCGCCTTCTCTTCCCTTCTCTGCTTCAAAAGTTGCTTGTTAAGCGGTTTGACAAAGCAAAAGCAGTTAAGGAAAAAAATGATTAACACAAATCTAAACCATAAAATTGTATTGATGCCTACCAGGCTAACTCCATCCCAACACTTGATGGAACAGTCGCCAATCCCCAAATGTTGTTATATCCACCACTTAGAACGGTTGACGCGAAACAGTGATGTTTCCCGTCCTCCTTCTTCTTCATTGTCTTCATGATTCGTTACTAAAGCCGCCACCACTTCTGCAAACTTTAAAGTTGCACCCACCTGAATGGATGGCATCGGTCATAAAGATGTTTCAATAAATGCACTAATCGATCCTGAGCTCTAGTATGTTACATTCGGAAATCAGCAGAGACGGTTGAGATGGCCTCGTGGACACGCTTGACTTTGCCGTGCCGCCACAGCAGTTGCACATAATACAGTATGTTCGCCACAAGCAGAACAAAGTGACTGACTCCAACAAGATAAATGGGCCACGCTCATATGATTTGGTTGATGACGACTTGACGAAAAATAAGCTAGTATCATTCAACCAATCTATATTCTTGAACTCATCTCATGATCTGTGCCCATTCATATCAATGTGATAGGAAGGTTGGGCTCCTTTAAGCAAGCACCATCGCTCTGCTCACGATGCATAGTCTCGTGGATTGTCAGCCAGGCTGTGATTCATAGTCCTTATTTCAAGTTTTCCAGTTGATAGGTCTGCCTGTGATCATCCCATTTCTTTTGTGCGCCCGAATCACCTATCCCTTACTTCTCCAGATCGGGATTGAGATCGGGCAGCTGAAGTCCAGCACGAGCGGCAGCTCGACGACTCATTTCCTTTGGCGACAATTGCACTTCGGCTCCCGAATCTAGCTTTTGCAAGCGTTCGCGCTCTGCTATATCTTGTTTGAGAGTCAGGAAATCAAAGGCAAGCTTCCGTCGGCGTTGAATATCTTGACTTTCTGATAGATCCTTGGATTCTCGAAACTGGGCTAAGATGAAATCTTGAGTGGGACTTGACTTGAGAACAACTGCAGACGCATCTACTTCTCTGGCTGACTTTGCATAACGCAATAGACCTCTCAAAACATGGATAGGCGGGGTTTTTGCAGCACTCATTTTTATGGTTGAATTTTGTTGTTGTGTGTTTTGAATGTCACAAACTGTAACTCTTATAATACTACAAGTATGGTGTATCTCTGTACCAAGAGTACTGCGGTTATTGTTCACCGTGGCGGTCCGGACGACAGACGTACACAGCATTTTTGAAAAAAGAAATGTGAAATGTTTTTGGATGATATGTATTTTAAAATAGGGGCTGCATCCCTATTTTTCTCTCTTCGTTGTAGCTTCAAGACTCCAGCAAATGCGGCGACGCCCTCAATCCAAATCTCCATTGAAACAGCCTGACATGTCCAAAAGAGCAAACTCTCGCGCAGCGGGAGATCTTGAAAGCAGCTTTGACCCAGACACTGGGGTTCAACAGGCTTCATCTGTGGAGCCTCTGCTAGACACATCATTCGGAGAAGAGGCAGATAACACAAATAAAACTAACCTGCTCTCGCCTCGTGCGCAATCTGGGCAAAGAAAATATTGGGTGGGAGGCCTTACTTTGACTTTTGGTCTCATCCTGATCTTTCTAAAGTCGACTGGTAAGTTTATTCTGATTCTACACGTATTCAATCGAGAAGTGAAAGGCTTGGCAATGCACCGAACATGACAACGAATATGTGGTGAAGCAATAAGGAGTGTGACGTTCTGCCTGAGGCACTAGATTTCGGTGCATATTTGGGAAGACATCAAGCATGACTTGGCTGTGCTTTGAATTTGCTACAGAAGGATGATATCGTGCAATGTCAATGTAATGTTCATGTGCAATGCTCCACTGAGACGACTACTTCGACACAACTACCGTTGCGACGTTTTCAAACACGGTCGCGGTCACAGCAAACCAGACAACTCCATTTTTGCAGGGTGATCTACCACCTTCATCTCTGAAACCAGTGAAGAGTGACATCCCAAGACGCCTTAGACCACCGTAATGCCCTACGGTCGTCGCAACTTTGCTGCATATCAAAGAAGTGGAAGTCCAGCTACAGCACTACCCAGCACAAAATCCCTTGCTTCCTATCGCAATAAGATCTCCGTCATCTTGCTGGTAACTTCCGTCTACACAGCATTTCTCTATCAGCGTGGTCAGTCCAATCTGCAATGATTCCTTTTCAGTGCTCCTTCACAATTCCAGCTTGAATGGCTGCTTGATAGATCATTTCGCCGCACCGCCATTTTGATATCGCAATGAGTTGTTTCATTCACTCATTTCATCTAACCTTTTTTCTCCACTTTCTTCGAATTCTTATGAAGGCGGAGCAAGCACATTTTTGGGAGCTACAGAAGGCAAGGGAAATATGTTGTCTGCTAGTCGCCGACTGGCTGTCACAACATGGAACATTGCGGCCATCAACAACAACCCATTCGAATACTGGATCACCTACAATGAAAATCCAAATTATGAAAAGCTCATGATTGATATTGAACGCTTTTTAGAAAGTCCTGGGGATCAGGACGTAAAGGTCCAGCAAGTCTTTACCCAAGAAATGTTCAATAAGCTTGACTCTAGATTAGAGGCGGTCGGATGGAAGAGTGTCCGAAGCTACTGGGAAGAAGACTTTCAAGATCGAAAAATCATTTCGGGATTCATGAAAGGTACTTGGATATAAATGCCACTCTCGTTAACAGCACCTGCTGCTTCCATTTTTACTTTAAGTCTCTCACACGCGCATGTTTCGGTTGCGAAATCCAGACAAGATGCTTGGAAGCAAACGATTGGCTTCCATGCCTGATCGTATCACAAACACAATTAACCTCGATGGGGGAAGTCAAGTCTACAGACCAACTGTTATCAATATGTATGCCGACGATCTTTCCACAATGAGCAAGTGGTGGTCGGCTTGGGAGCAATTTATGTTTGATGACAAGCTTTCAATCAAGGGGAAGGACGGGGTTGAAGATACGATTCCGTATCAGATGTTGCAACCCATTAAGAAAGCCAAGTATCCTGAAATTACTGAACAGGAGGAGGCGGATTCGCTGCCACTACAAACAATGTGTGGTGCAATCTTTGATGCCATCTTGGTACACATGATGAATACTGTTTCAAATCCCTCAGAATGGCAGCAGCTAAAAAAAGTCATGGTTGAGAACTTGAACAAGAAGAAAGTGCCGCATACGATGGAAATCTTGGAAACTACTTACATTGATTCAGATATCATTACGTTGCAAGAAGTATCATCATCATTCATTGATCAAGCACGTGCAAGCAAGTTGGGACAACATTTTCTCATTGTGGCTCCAATCAACCTTGACGCTGTTCGGGATCAGAACTCTGTCATTTGTCTGAACAAGAAAACATTTCCAGATGGCATGGGGGTTGAAATCTCTTCTCTCGTCTCGGATGCTTTCCCTGTTGGCGTTGACGTTCCAGTTGCCAAGGGTGATATCCTTGCCATCACGGCTACCAACAAGAAGGGAATGAAGTTCGTCATCGCATCTTTCCACGGCGATACTAATGGTCTCGCGGTAAGTGTACCATTCCTTTTTTTGTAAATGGCAAACGGTCATCGCAACTAAATTCTAATCGCCTTGAAAATTTGATCTATTTGACCTCAGACGAAACCCGTACTTGATGCAGTCATGAATGTTCTAAAATCGGACAGCACATTGGAAGGGCACGAGCTAATTTTTGGAATGGATGCCAACACATATGAGCACGCTAAGCCAGGAAAACAGCAAGATGTCTTGGACTTCGGGCGAAATTATGTTTCTCACGGACTTACTTCGTGTTGGGGAGATGTTCCTAATCCATCAAATTACACTACTTTCAACGCTCGCACGTATCTACAGCCTCAATTGAACAAAGCATGCAAGATTGACGAGAAACGAAAGAATGGCGATGTGAATCCAAAAGACTTCATTCTTTTCCCAAATAACGCTTTCTCGGTCGTAAAAACGTGGAAAGACAACACAGGAAGAAAGGAATACATCGAAGAGACTGCATTCCCTACCCTTGAATTCCCAAGCGATCATGGTATTTTGGCGACAATTATTGAAGCAACATCAACAGAATAAATTTATGAAATTGTGCACCTCGTCTAGAATCTTCTAATCCCGCTTTTGCATAGCGCCAGGGGTTGGCGGCCAACGCAATCAATCTAGTCGTCCTTGAAAGATACACTGCTCCTCTTTCCTTGTGCAACGTTACTACCACTCTTCGGATGTTCTTTTTCCCACTTTCTAATCTGTTCCTGTCGAGCGTTGCCATTCTTTATCTTCATCTGGTGTTGAGCGAAAGGGGAACAAAATGAGATGACAATGTCCAGTAACAACCGTGTGGGTGTCAAAACTGAACCTGCAAACGTACCAATTTCTTGAGAAGATAGCGCTTGTACCCTGCGTAATAAAGTTGAGAGTTGACTTTTGTGAGAATGTAATTAATACTATACGGTGTTCATTTTTTGTTTTCTCTTTTCCCTATCCATCGCTAGTCGCAGTCACAGACGAAAAAACCATAGATATTGCGGCACGCTTCATTATATAATAACATACCTTCTACGAATGTCCCATCAGGTTGTATTTTCGTCTTTGCATTGGCTAACCAGTATGTCCGATATTCTGCTTGAGAGATCTTTCGATCCTTGTTACTATCCATCTTTTCTAGCATATCTTGCCACGTGGCATCAGCCTCCTCTGCTGATTTTCCAAAGGCCCACCGACTGACGTTTTTAACCTCTGCTTCTTCCAGGTAACCATCTGCACAATCAGTGAGTACGATCCTTAAAACAATATCAAGCAAGGGCGAATTGCAAGCTGTGCACGACTTACTATTGTCGTAGTCAATTGCTTCGAAGAAGGTATCGCACATCCTTTGAGCTACTTTGACTGAAGATATTCTTTGCAAACACTCTAGGAGATACCTGGCATAGTCTTCTACAAAGGTTCCATCCTCCTTGACGCTCTTGTTTGCATGCCGTTCAGTCCACCACGCAACATACTCATCCTTGGAGATTTTGCCATCAGAATCACGGTCCATCGCTGTTACCATGGCTGTCCAGTGCGCATCTGCACTCTCGAGATCTTTATCAAATGCGACAACAGATAGAATTTTGGATTCGCCTTCTTCTATGAATCCGTTTCCATTGAAATCCATGCATTTGAAGAATGCTTCGCAGATTTCGATAGCGGAAGATTTGATCGAGATCGACTGTTTGGCTTTTTTAACTTTCTTGGTTCCATCTGTCTCGTCTTGAATCGAGTCTTGTTTATCAGCATTGTTTTCTTCATTGGCGGTAATCAACTCAGACTTTCTCTTTTGATTCATGACAGCTTCAATCTTTGATTCCACCACATCCGTCATCGTCCATTCATATCGAAAAGCTACAAGATCTGCCCGAACTGTCGTGTCAATATTATCCTTATCGCAGCTGACTGGTTGATCGCTTTGAGCTGTTTGTGTGTGTTTGACGTTGAGCTTCTTGCCATTCGATACGGTACCGGTACCGGTACTGTGTAGGTTTTGTTTGACCTTCGTGGGTTCGTCATTCGTATCACTATTCGTGAGATCAATGTCTTAGTGACCACCATCTGTCCGTCAACAGCAAATGAAGACCCGCATATTTTACTGCCCTCTTCCTACCGGTACAGTACTTGTACCAGGTACCAGGTACCAGGTACATACCGATGGAGTAGCAGTTACAGCTGGTATTATAGTATGTATTAATGCCATAGGCCCATCATCAGGTACCAGGTACACTTTAACCAACTACAAAAAAGAATCACTAGAATGAAATCGCCCACACTTTTAAAAAACGATTTTTAAGATTTCTATTGCTCAATTATTAGTCTACAATGTTATTATTGCCCCTCCCATTTCTATTTCTTTATGAAGCTTCTGTCGTTTCGGAAATTCGACTCTTTTTCTGAGGAGACTCAGACATTTCTTCATCTTCCGCCTGTGATGTTGCGGCTGGTTCTTTGGGTATGCCGGTGGACACCTCGGAGGTGGTATCCTTGATGGAAGTCGCTTCGACGGTGTCACTACTCCGTTTGGGGGGTTCTGAGTCGGCTGCAGCAGCTCGTGGAGATGAGGGCCCCGCGTTTGCAGATGGTATGACCGACTTGGCCATGGGAGAATCTCGATTAGGAGACTTGGAATCGCTTTCTTGGCGTTGCTCTTCCTTCTTCTTGAGCGTAGTCTCACGAGGAGACTTTCCTCTGGCCGTCAGCGTTGCACAGTGGCGAGAGGCGATTTCATCTTCGGCCATGAAGCGGATGCGATCGTCTTCTTCCTTCTTGCGGTAGATATCGCGGTTATCTTGAGTGCCCTTTTCCCAGGCGGCCAAAAGACGACTGTTGAGATTGGTATTGACCAAAAAGGGATCCAGTTCTCCGCTCTCGTTGTTGGTCGATTTTCGAACTTGATCTTCCGCAAGTTTCTTGTATTGTTCCAAATTGTCCTTGACAAAGAAATGAAAGTCGGTTTCAATGGGCCGGACTTCTTCCGTAGTCAGTTCTTGGGCAGCAGCGGCTCGTAGACGTTCCACTTCGGTATTGTTCGCTAGCTTTTTGACGGCTGACGATTGGGAAGTTGATTCTGGAGATCGTTCCGGGCTTGCCTTTGGAACAGAGCCTTGGGGACTAGATGTAGGAGATGAGTAGGGCGATGCTTGCTGTGTAGCTTCGGGAGACGAAGCGGGAGCCACTGGTCTTCCGGGCATTGTTGGCGGACTTCGGTACGGAGAAGAACCAGGACGAACAGGCTGTCCGGGTTGGCCAGGCTGTCCGGGATAACCTCCTTCGTAGCCGTAGTAAGAAAGACGACCAGCTCCCGGTGGAACAGGTGCGCCAGGGTGATATCCATAGGGTGGATAGGAAGGAGATTGATGCGGAGGAGGGTAAGAAGCTCCTGGGAATCCTCCTGGTGTAGGCTGGCCTCTTGTGTAAGCGTGACCATGATGTGGGGATGGTCCCGATGCTCCGTATGGACTTTGTGGAGGAGCTCCACTGTGACCCTGATACGGTGGATATCCCGGAGGATGACCGTAAGAACCAGGTGGCATGCCTCTGTAACCTGAGCCCATTGCTTCTGGTGGCATTCCCATGTGGTGACCAGCAGGAGGTCCTGGGGGAGACGAAGGTGAGTGGCCTTCCTGAATCAAATGAGCGTGGCCTCGATTAGGAGATGGCGGATGATCCATGACTCGATGCGGCGTTCCTTGTATTGCTTGTATGGAAGAGTTACTGTCTCGTGAAGTTTTATGCGTACGTGTATGTGTGTGCGTATGTGTTGTTGGTAAAATGTGCAAGATATCACCAGTGGACATAATTTAGGTTCCAGAGGAGAAGAGAGATTGTTCCTTGTCCTTCTTCTAGTTGAGTTTCAGGAGGTCTTGGGTTTGCTGTAGTAATGCTCTAAAGAAAGGCAAGTGGACCGCCCAGCGACAAGTGCTTGAACTTCGTCGTTGTGACTGCTGTGAGTTGCTTGAACGTAAAACTGATTTCGCTGTTCTCCTTCCAACGAAGCGAAATTTTCTCGATTTGAGCCGACCCTGCGAAAATTGGACAAATTCGGCCTATGTTCGGCCGGCGATTTTCTACTTGGGCACGTGGCTACCTACTGTACTGTACCTGGCGGCGGTATTACAGTACACTCACTCGAACTGGTCCGAAGCCTGCAACGGGTCGTGTTAGTCGTGCCCCCTTCAGCAGGTTGGACCATCCTTGGTTGGATAGGATTTTGAAACTACAGTATTGTAAAACTGCTCTTATTTGATACAATTACACTACACCACGCTACACATCTGCATTCTACATTCTGCATGTACTAGTACAGTACCGGCATTGTAATGCTCTTAAATACTGTCAAAAGAAGCTCGCTTAAACTTGCCGAGAATGCCAGTCGCAAACTGGTTTTTGAGTCTTTTCAAGTTGATCAGCGGTTCCTGGTTACATGGCATAAAACAAAAACAGTTAGACAATCCACCATTCATCTTTGATCAATGTACTTTCAAGCAATCCACGATGACCAACGTACCATTTTCTTGGTGACTGGATTCAGATGTTTTTGTTCACGACCAAGAAATCGTTCGATGGTGTCGAGAACCTTGCTCCAATTTGCATCCCTGAGACACGCTTTTGCAAATGCCACACCAAAGAGCATGACACAAAATTCATATACTTCATCTTGGTTCAATGGCCGTTCATCAAGGAGATCAAATATCCGATTTTGGTAGCCCATTTCTCGGCACGTATGAATAGGTCGAGCATAATTCAACCATCGATTGTGTGTGTATATCTCCTTTGCTTCATTTACGAAATCATCGAGTACTTCCTATAACCCAGCATTAGAGCATTAGACAAGCGGTCAAATTTACTCCAATCGCTGTGGGGATCAACGCAAGGACACTTACCAGGTTCATCTCCAGCTGTGCATCAAGGCCATTGTAGAACTCTACTACCTCCTCTTCGTCTGTGAACAAACGAACTACCAACCAAATGGGCAATGTTTGCAATTGCCGAAGCGCTCGTATAAACTCATCGTTAGCAGCTTGCGAGTTGAGACCTTGCCGTGTTGTAGGCAATCCATCCGTGGCCAAGATTAATACAGCCTTCAATCCTTTAGTCATCATTTCGTCTGCCACTACCGACACTCGGTTGGCAAACTCGTAGATGTGTGCAGTAAGTGGCGTGGGTCCAGTTCTTTGATTTGAGACGCGTAAGGATCATTGCAATCAAGCAGCTCAGCAATCTCAACAGTCCATCTGACTTACGGTTGACAGGCTCTCATTATTCTCTTTGCAGCTTGAACTTCGTCTTCCGCAAACTTTGCTCCACCTCCTCCAACACTGAATTCAGAAGATTCAGCCCTAGGACCAGGATCATTTAGCAAGCGAAACACACTGGTTGCTTCAACTGCTGCGGCAAATTCAGCATGGAAGTTCACCGTCTCTTCAAGCTCGGCCCATCGTGTACATGTAATAGCTGTGTTGCCACGCAAAGTTGAACCATCATTGGCTGTGGTGAAAGAAGAACAATGTGATCAGCGGCGTGATGCAAGATGGAGAAAATTAGGAATAGAACATTCGTTTTGAAATCGACGCACTGAGCATACTGCCACTATTATCGACTATCCAGAATCGGACAGGAAACAATGAACGAGTGGTTCCCATTTCCAGTGCGAGGCCTCTCGGAAAACCCATGTCCATCAGCCGTTCCGCCTCGTAATCGATTAGCTTCGCATCCTTGGTCTTGACTAGCGACTGGATTGTCACTTGACTATGTGATCGTGCAGGGGAGGTTACACCACTGGTGATATCATCCACACTCATCTTCTCCAAGGAAATCACCTCGGCAACCGGAGACGCAGCGGTTGCTCGAAGAGAAGGATATCTCGAAATCTGAATGTCATCATCAACTAAGGATGCTGAAACCTCCTCAATGACTTCAGCGTTTTGTTCGACAGGTAATTGTAGATGCGACATCCTTTCTCGAGAGAGATTCGTTCGCCCTATGCTGTCGTGTTCAATCTAGCTATACCGGTACTATACGATAGAGTTTTAAAAAGTAGAAGGCAATTCCAATTTTCGAGGGAGAATGTTGGGGAGAGTTGTGGCTGGATCCCCGCAATGTGAAATGTGGCAACCTGTTGTTCACCTATCGTGTCACTTCTGTTTTGAGGTGCTTCTGACCTGCTGGCGCGCAAAGGACACATCGGGCTAAGGGGTGAATGAGACATGCCATTTCCGACTAATGCGACTTTTAGGGCCCCGCATTGCCTAGCAGAAGCAGGTTTTGTTTCTGTGCGATGAACGCGCGGTAGTATTGCATTTTCATTTTATACTGCAAAAAAAACCGGTTGTGCCTCTTCCGACTCAACCGATTACTGTTTTTCTATTTTCCACGCCAGCCCGTTAGAAGCACATTTTGCTGGGAACGAAACAGAATAGGTAGTTTAGGAGTCACCCAAACCGTCTGGCCTTTCCCAGTCAATCTCCATTTCCCGCCGAGATTCAAAACCTCACGCCGGCATACCCGCTCACCGGCCTTCCATCCGTTAGATTTGAATTCATCAATCATTCATTCACTCACGGTTTCATCAAAATTGCAATGAAAATGAACGTAAGTTTCGGATGGGCGTTGCATCTCCTCCATGCAAGTTTCTTACACAAATCTATTATCGCTCTATGCGCAGTGATGAGACGGATCAAATGAATGTGGTTGCGCTTCTGCAATCGATCGACTTTCATTTCCCTATCACTATCATGATTCAAGACCTTTCCAAAATTGCTTTCAATGATGCCGACGGGAAAGAGAACCAACGAGACCCCACCAACTCAAGTAAACAATCTATGATACTACGAAAGATCTACGCTTGCGTCTATTTTGCCTGTATATCCGCGAAGTTTTGAACGAGATTTTGTCATTCTGTTGTTGCCAAAACAATGTTCAGATGTCAACTCGTCAACAAGTCAAATGCTCTACGTTGCAAAGTTACCGACCTGTTATTCTACAAATGAGCTACGTTTGCGTCTTTCCTTTTTGCGAAGTATTGACTGAGGTTCTGCCATTCTACGTTTGCAAGATAATTTTTGGAATGAAACATCAATCAACAAAATTCGCTACGTTACGGGTATTCCCTTTCTACAAGCACAACCTCTTCTTCTTTTGAGCTGTCTCGATGTGTCATTGCCACCAACAAAAGCACTCCTATAATAGAAAGAGGCGCAATAAATGTCTCTTTCAACAGTCTTGGACGAATGCAACGTGGCTCCGTCGCATTAAAGATTATAAGCAGACACCATGCTCGCAAATCCTACATTTGAATAGATTGGCATTTCAATAAGACTATAGACATACAATTATTCTGATTATTCTTATGACAGATTGATTTGACAGGGGAAGAGAAGTACCTGGTTACCAGGTACTGCTGGTCTCAACCGTTCGTCGTCACAAGTCGTAGCCAAGAAGAAGCAATTCTTCCAAGCGCCAAGTTGGGCAAAATTGGTGCATTTGGATCCCGTCTTTGGGAACTCTAATAAAAGGACCTCTTGGGAAAAGGTGCCAATGAAACGGACCTCTTGGGAGAAGGTGTCAAAGCCAATGCAAATAAAAAGGATCTCATTGGCTAGGTGTAATAGAATTCTGCTTACGTATGCGCTGGTTTTCTTCCGACTTGCAACATATCGATTCCCTACGACAATCATTATTTCGGAGATCCACAATTTTTCACTCCTTTGCGGAGTCTTTGTGACTCCTTTCCTCACGGGACTGCATTTCTGGCGGCAAAATGAGCCAGCAAGCCTCGAATTCAATCCGGTAGGTCCATGTGTAACACTTTGCGCGCGTTCTTTTTGCCCGACTTGTGTCTCACTTCTTTTTGAATTTTCCGTTAATTGTCCGCGTGGCGGAAGAAGGCCAGACGGTTTGGGTGACTCCTAAAAGACCTTGTATCAGTCGACTGACTCATCAGATCAGGTCCAAGATGTCTAAATGTACAATACCCATAAAATACCATACAATCGAAGCATGAAGAATGCATTTTGTCAAGCAATGGCATTTTATGCGCATCTTTCGCCCTAATTTTGACAACTAGTTTCAACCATGTTATGTCAATAAACTTCAATGGATTTCTTGCCACCAGTTCTGACCTTTTCAAGAGAGGGCAGGGTGTACATGCTTACTACTACAACTCAACTGATGTGTTTCTGGGCAAATGACAATTAAGACTCGACCACACTTTTTATGCTGTGTATGCTATCATCTTTTCATCTTTTGAAATGACTCTACACCGCAACAGAGAATTAGCCTCAAAGTGTAAATCAGAGTTCACCCTTCTTGTACTTCTTGCACTTTCGCTCAACTTCTTCATCCAGGTCAGCCACAAAATCTAGTATATCAATTGGGTTTGTAGCTGTCCTGTTGGCAATGTATTCAACCAACGGTCCCATTGGAGGTTCCATTTGCCACGCAAGAGTTCCCACTGCGGACGGCCTTCGTGTTAGCAGATATTTGTGTGTACCTTCCGCATTGTATCTTCTTTTTACACTCGTTACAGTTCTGGAAAACAGAAATTTCTGTGGAGACTCTTGTACTGATTGACTTTCGGGCTGAGTCCTCAAAGATTTTGCAAAACTTAGTATAACTTCTTCAACAGTGCCACTGTTCAATACCTTTGTTTCAACAAAATCCAAATATCCATCAAAAGCACGACCAGTCTTAAGGAATTGGAATCCATAAGCTGTGGTTGGAACAACCAACTTTGCAGAGTCTAGATTCGAGGCTCCATTTGGATCATCAAACGACATATTATCCCAACCAGGAATGAATTTGCAGGCCACAATTATTACCCCAAGAATTTTGTTGATGTCTAAAATCAAATCGAGACGTGCTTTCTTTAATGGTGGAGGGAGCCAAAACTTTTCAAAGTCACCATCAACTGGAGTGATTTTCTCATCGTAACGTTCATAGAGAATTGACTTTCCCATGATGGATAGAGCATAGTTCAAAACTTGTTGGTTGAAGCCCAGATCGCTAACCAAACTTGCGGTTATGACAGGTATATGAGCTGGTATCATGGTTCGACCTGGTTTGTGCGATTTTGATGCATCGGTTTCAAAACGTCGATTTGATTTCGTGTGCAGGACGATTTTTCTCTGCTTGAATCCACAGGCTAGATGAAAGTTTCGCACCATTCTGTCAACTAAATGTACTGCTGGGCAAGTAGGTAGATTGAAAAAACTCGTGATGGTCCTCAATGGTTCCTTGTCACTGTCGCTCAACAGGGAAAATCCATTTCGCAACGGCAACGACCCATTTTCAATCCACCGTAGAATCTGATTCACCGTAATTCCGATCGGAGTTGCCGCAATACTCAAGATTGCCACGACCATTGTCATGTTTGGTTGTAGCATCAATGCAGCTTCTTTACGGCCAACAAGTGACGCCCCTTTCTTTTGTTTCAGGTGGCGGCAAATCACTTGCACCATTTGAGATCTTTCAGATTCCATGCGTGATAACGTCGGAAGCACTTCAGTCGTTTGTTCACTACAGCAAGACTGGGAATCTTCGGGGTCGCCGTCAGGGTCGCCATCACTTTGCAGGACGGCAAAGTTCACAAAACGTTGCTGTTCACACGAACCTACACTCGCAATGGAAGTTTCAGAAATGATTTTTGCTTCTTCGTCCATGATCTGTTGTTTTAATCGCTTTGCAGCCACATAGCTCAAAGTTTTTGAAAGGGCGGACCTTTGAAAGCTGTCGAGAAAGTGATCTCGAAAGGAAAATCGAACATCTGGATAGATCTTTCCGTAATGATCTGCCCCTTCTTTCCACGATAACAAATACGCCTGCCACATATCTTTGACTGTCGATAGCACATACTGAAAGCTATCCCTTTCCCCAGCCAAACTGCATACTATTCTAGTAGACTCTTCCAGAATCCTTTGCATCCCTTGGATACATTGCAGGGCCTCTGGCAGTCGAACTGTCGAGTCGTGGTCTTCCAAACTCTTTCCAGGACGCCTACGTTTCCTCTGTCTATTCCCAGTTTCAATGAGCTGTCCACCTCGATTTCTCCCGGCAAGCCCCATGGCATCTTCCATGTCCATCTCCATTTGAGAAGGTGCAACAAAGTTCTGGGACTGCGTGAAACAAACTGTGCAAGTCAGAACACCTGTAGTTTCGTCCATATACGACTCTGTCCCTCCACAGCTCACGCAAAAAAAAGCATCATCATCTTGCTTTATCGATTTTCCTTGCGAGCCATAGAATTCGTTTTCATCATCGTCGTCAAAGTAGAAAGACATGTATTGAGGGGGTGAAAGTTTTCTATATGTTGCGTGGAGGTGGCTGGTGGTTATATTGTAGTCGGTTTAGTCTATTTTCTAAGTAACAGCATGCGATGCACGCGGCTTTGACAGTGGAAGGAGTTGGGTATCGAGCGCAACAGTCTTACGGTGCGAGTACGACAAATCAAAGCAAAATTGTACAAATAACTTTTATCCAGTGATTTACTTCAATTTGCCACCCTTTTTAATACCCATCTTTCCACTCGCTGCTTTTGCCTTCGCCAAGCCCGTTCCTCCTCCTGTCAGAAGACCGCCACCAAGGCGAACTTGCTCGTTCATACTAGCCTGTTCACCCTCGAGCCAAGCGTAATTTTTATTGCGCTTTGCACGGGCTTTCGAAGCTCGGCTTTCGTGTTCATCGCGCCTTTCCTTCTCGATGAAATGTGCATCCAAACGCAATTCTCGTGAAATAGCCTTGTGTTCTCGTTTATATTCACGGCGAGTCCTGTCAATAGCAACTTGTACAGCCTTCTTGCCCTTGTCTTTAGACATCGAATAACGAGTCGGATCTTCCATACGGGGAGCCAAGCTTTTAATTGCGGATTCAGTCTTTGTACTCGTCCGTTGCCTGCACACAGGTTTGCGCTTGAGGGGGCACATGGATGCAAGTTTAGAAGCAGTGGATCCAATTTTCTGCTGCAAAACGTTCGGTATTCCTCGCTTTGGGAGCGTCAGAATACTTTCGCTTAGTTCCGAGAAAACTTCAGCCTCGACAGATATGGAGAACGATCCTTCCAAAGCATTTGCGTATGTTTCTGATAGATCCAAAGCAGCGAAAAGAATCGCTGCAGACAAGTCTTCGAGTTTGCCATCGACAATGAAGTCACTTGTCAGCGTAAGTCTGGGTACATCTCCATCACCAAATTTTGCTTTTGATAGGCCATCTCGTAATGCCTTAATCGTAGGTACATTCTTGGCAACCTCAAGACTGGGAAGGGCAAAGAAACCTGGGTTTTTGGAGAAGAGACGCATAACCCCAGCAAGAAATGCAAGTGCTTCTGGAACCACGCGCTTTGCATCCTTAGAGTACTCGATGAGAAGACCCGAACAAAGTATTCCCATAACAAGATCGTAACTGCATGTTACGGGGGTGTGAGCGACCATTTGGCCCAGCAAAAGAACAGTCGGGGTCACAACGTAGTGTTTCTTGTCTGTTACGGGGAAAATGTGACCAAGTGCTCTCAGCAGAAGAAAGGTTCCCATCGATGGCCAGGCAGTGACAAGTCCGTCGTCAGCAGCATCGTCTTCGTATTCAAACTCGGCATCCCGAAGACGCTTCGCATGGGCACCTTGAAAGAATCCGATACGGCGAGACCAGACGGCACCGGCACTGTCGGGAGAGTCTTGCGCCATCTGGTACATCACTTTAAGAAGACGATCAAGCTGAGAGAAGCGACCAAGCTCCTCACCACCATCCCCAGAAACAAAAATGGCGTCCCCGACACTCATGTACCTTCGAAGCAAAACGTCATAGAAATTCTGCATCTTTTCTTTGTTTCGATGATCTAATTTCACAGAATTGGCCTTGTACATGCGCTCAATGATAACTGATGCGTCTTCTCCTCTAGTGGCGTACTTCGCGATCACTTCGTGGAGCCCATCCAAAGTTGTTGTGACCTCAAAAATGAACGGCATTTCGTTTCTGCGGCGAGCAGAAGAAGTTCATGAGATGTCATTGCCAAGGAGACACAAGAGAGTTACAGCTTTCTCAAGGGTACTATGTAGCATTTGCTTTTTCTGGGTGCATGATCAAATGTCAACAAGGAAACTACCGCAGCAAAACGCCTTGATAGAATCCTGGAAAACACTAGTACAAAACCAGCCCGTGGGCTAGTACTAGTGCGACAAGAAAATGTCACAGCACCAAGCGAGATCTGAAGCACGAAATATTTTCTTACCTTGCCTTATCCCTCGCCTTGTTTCGCTTGAATTTTTCTTCCAATTCTCTTTCCGACTTTTCTTTGTCTTTCTCCACCTCTTGATCTGACTTGGCAATTGTGCGAACATTTTCTGGACTTACTCCCTCTTCGAAATCACCGTCATCGTAGTCGACATCGTATGTCACGGCACCTCTGGGATCCACATGAGCCCGTTTGATTACGCCATAGTACCACGCATCTTGATTGTCAAATTGTTCTGCAGCGTGATAATTTCCTTGTACACGTGTTCCTTCAGCCAAAGGATGACCATCGTTGTTCGTGCTATCATCTTCATCGTCCGAATCGTTGCGGTCACATTCATCTTTTCTCACAGCACTGCCTTCTTTATCCAAATATTGCAGTCCATCCGCTGTAAATACCGCCTTGGGTTCATCATGGTCCGACCCATCATCAGAATCAGATAGTTCATCAGGATTCCGATTGCTCTGGTCGTCACGTTTATTTTTCTTCATTTTTCTCTTTTTGGAGCCCCTATAGCCATCAATGGATATATCCGAGAAGCCATCTTCATCAAAATCTCCATTCATGCGAGCCATGCGTCTGGTTTCCAATTCATGTAGCCTCTCGGCCTCTTCCTTAGCAATCTCTTCGGGGGTTTTTGTTCTATCTGTAGCTTTTCTTTTGGGCTTCATCATCATTTGCTTCAATTCGAGATTCCATTCGTTCATCTCTCTTTCTTCTTGAGTTTGCTGGGCGATCAGAGGTCGTTTCTCATTTTTGCGATACGACAAGAGAGCGGACAATTCCGCAAAACTTTCATCCATTTTCTCAACGGTTTCGATTTGTGTCTCCTTTGCTTGCATTCTTTCTGCCTTCATCACTTTGCGGCGCGCAATGAGATCGTCTAACTCGGTTTTGCGCTGATTATACACCTGGGATAAGTTCGAATTAGACGACCCCCCGTAGGGATCAGCCTGGCGGTTGGACATTCCTGATCCACCGAAATGAAGTTCAGTGTCTACTGCTTCTAGCTGTCCATGGCCATCTTCATCATCAGAATAGATAACTTCGCTCTTATTGGGATCCAATTTTCTTCCCTTGTGCGTTAGAAGATTGTTGTCATCGTCGTCCAATCTGTATTTCGATACCCGTTGCGATTGACGGGTTCGTTCCTTTACCAAACGAGCCAACATCCTATCATCCGCCGACATGGATGAGTCGTACTGACCAATACGCTTATCAACGAACACATTTGCCTTTTTTGTTGACTTAATACTACTTCGCAGCTGAGTTTGTCGTCTCTGCAAGCTCTCGAGAGCATGTTTGGTCGATTTTGGTTTGGCAATCAGTTTGTTGTGAACAAGATGCTTTTGCTTTCCCCTGGACGAACGACCCGTGACTTCAAAGGGATTTCCAGGGTCGGAAACTCTGCCTTTCTTATGAACTAGACCCTTTGGAAGTGCTGCGAGTGATCGCTTGGCCTTGAATTTTCGTTTCGTTCCCATTTTCTGGTACCGTATTAATTTATTGGTGGGAATGTGTTCGTGAAGTTAATTTTATTTTGGGTGGCCTTGCCAAGCGAGGTGGCATGTAAAACCGGCGGGTGACGACAGACGGCTAATCTTTGTATCTTGTGACTTCTGACTACTCAATTTCTGACATCCACTTCTGCTTTTCCTCTTTCATCTTTCACTTTTGACTTTGACTATTTCTTTCCACTTTGATATTTTGGGTACGCCTACAACTCGTTCCGCAATTAATAGCAATTATTGTATGCTGCAACCCAGCAAGAAGCACCTATCCTTGTCGTAGTCATCGCGTTCTGGGACACTGAACTCGTCAAAGCCTCCTCGATTCCAGAGATCCACTTCAGATAGTTCCTGCTGAATGTAATGCGGAAGAACAAAGGCCGCGCGGTGTATCTGCCTGTTGTACCACTTTAGATCAGACTGAAATTTACAGTGTCGCACTGGGTTTCTACAACTTTTTGCGTCCCCTTTGCGGCACAATATGAAGCCAATTTGACCTGTTTGGAAAGAATTGTAGGTTGAGCCATAATGATCAGCGAAGGCTCGTTTCGAACACAGAAAAGGACTTACCGCCTGTGATGTACCAGTAGGTTGGTTTGAATATATCAGACAAAAGAAGGGTCAATGAAGAACGCAGAGGTACAAAACTTTGTGAACGTACACGGGTAGCTGGGGGCCATAGTAGTTGCGTATTCTGCAAGGTCGAACAGTTCTTTGCATACCGACAACAAATCACGAATCAAATTCAAATGAATGAAGAAACTCTCTCCCTGAATGCAGATTATGCCCGATGGTTTCAGGGAATCATGCATTTTTTCATAAAACTCCGGTTCAAACAATGATTCTGCTGGTCCAAGTGGATCCAATGTATCTGCCAAAATCACATCAAAACGACAATGGTTATGTTCTTCCTTCAAGTATTCTGCCGCATCTGCATGGACGATTTCGACCCGCGGATCACTGCCGTCCAAGAGTTCCGGTGGAACAAGTCGCAAGAAATCCTTGCTCGCCCTCAGGACCATCGGGTCTATCTCTACCAACGTGACCTTTTGCACTTCTGAGTGACGACAAACCTCGCGCAAACACACCCCATCACCACCTCCAACAATTAGCACGTGCTTCGGATTTGGGTGAGAAAACAGAGGAAGATGCACCATCATCTCGTGAAAGGCACATTCGTCTCGTTCTGTGAGCTCTTTCAACCAAGACGCTTTAGTGTTTGTATTAATGGTGCATGGAAAACAGTGTAAAAACAACGAGGACGTACGAAGAATACCATCTATCACAAACACTTTTCCATATTGAACCGACCGAAAAACCAGAATTTCTTGAAATTCAGACTTCTGGTGGTGTATTATCGCATCTTCTGAATAGTTCTATATTGTAAAAGAGAATGTCCATTTCTCATTTTTTGTGAGATCGTTTTGCTGTAGCTGGCTGAGATACTGTGAAAATCATAATCCTACTGTACCTCTAGCGCCAATGAGAATTTTTGTCCCGGCCACATCGATGCTGTCTCAGTGAACCAGCCATTATTAATTCCTTTGTACTTCTTTGTTGAATCATGGGTGGCATTGCTGGACTCAGACTGCCTCATCGTTTGAGAATGGGAATATGTTTCAACACATCAGTTCTAATCCTATGAATCAAAATTGAAAATAGCATACGAACGTCCGGACGAACTGGGTGGTTGAAGGACAGATACTAGCTACCATGGTACTCGCTATCAGGCTAGGACTATACGGCAACAATTGAGTAGTTCCTCCAGAGTAGGAACATACTGAGCAGCACCAAGCCGAGCCCCGGAACAATGAGAAGATTCAGCAAGTTTCGGATGCTGATGATTCCCATGAAGGTAATGAAGAGGTCTCCCACAGCTCTGCCTCCAGTACCTACAAGCGTCGCTAGAACCCCACTGTCGACAGGAAATGTGTTTTGGGGTTCGGTTTAAGGGCAAGGGCAAGAAGAGATGTAAGTCAAGACAATCACTAAATGAGCAATACTGAAGTTTCAGTCAGGCTTACCTGTTAAAAGTTCCCTGTACTCAATAACAGGGCGACGATGTTAGTCAGTCAAAACATCCATCAACATCAAAAGACAGCAAAAGATTCACATAAACTCACCACTGCCAATGCGCTTGGGACGCATTTGCTCATCAGTGATGCAATAAACGACTCGCAGGCCTCGACCCCAGAAAAGGCAATCAGTGACCCCCCCACGTACTGAACTGGACCGACCGAAAAGTTGGAATCATAATTGTACGTCTCGTACGTCTCGGTGTCGACAAAGTCCGAAAGATCGGTCGTGATCAGAAGACCCAGTGCAGTGATCCCCATGAACCACAGGGCGAGGTATCGGTCTTCGTAGAATTGCGACAGCCAGCCTGCAAAGACCGAAACAGGAATCACAATAATACCATTCGCCAGATGAAGGGCTCCAACATTTCGGATCGACCACGCATATCTATTCTTTGTAATGACAGACGTTGATCCAACGATGCTCTGAACGAATAGGGCAAACAACGGCCGAAATAAGACAAGAGTCGAAAAGAAATATCCCGCGAACCAAAGCAGAAAAATGTGTGAATTCGAGCCTGCCCTTACCTCCAGTGCGATTCGTTTCATAAAAATAAGTGACATGCACAAAATCGTGGCACAGTTCATATTCTTGATACAGTAGAGGGGTGTGTGTTTGGACACTTTGCTTTCCTCCACGTGAGATGCCACAGAAAGGGACCCAATTGATATATCATCGTCGAAATCGTCGGCACTAGGGACAGTAGTAAAGCCTTTGGGTGTAAGAGGTTCGTCGTGGTCGGCTCCGGCGGCTTTGGCTTCCCGCTGTTTCAACTCGGCAAGACCAGATCGGTTCGGTTCCTTGAATGATACTACTATGACAATCAAATAGAGGGACCACAAGAGGGCCATTACAAAGCCCGGCCCCGTCATTCCATTGAAGCTTTGGACACCCAAAATCGGAAGAGTAAACTGGAACTCTGGCACCATGTCTAGCAAGATTGCAGCCCCTGGTCCACTGGCGGCACCAATCGCTGTTGTCATTGCAAAAGCGGTGTTGATCAATGTTCTGTACGCAAATGGTGTGGAATCTGTAGAGAAAAGAAAACGGTGTATCATGAGTGCAGTCGATAAATCGGACCTTTGCCTATCTTTTGACGACTTCAAACCACCTACCTGCTATGTATCGGCGGTTGATAATCCGCGGGGCGCCTAGACCTGCTATCCCTCTTCCAATAAGACACATAGTCATGCTGCGATACCCCAAGGCAGCCCCATACAAGGTGTTACCGATAACCTACAAAATTGTAAGGGGTAAACGCATTTCTTTTCAACCAAGGGTTCAATCCCGAGTATAGTATTCTTACCTGCAGAATTCCGGAGAACACGATGGGATGATAGTATGATTTGTTTGTCCAAACACTATAGCCAACTGCGCTCATTAGCGCAAACCACGGTGCCATTCCCATCATGATACCACTGAGAGCATCAGAGCTTCCCAGGGCGTTGGCGTAGTAAGCTGAGGATGGCTCGATTATGTAGTTGTTCATCATAAACAAGAAACAAGAAACCAGGTTCAATATCAAAGGCCACACATTTTCGGGGTCCATACCCCCTGTGATACTATCATCATTGTCCTCGGTGGAAGTATTCAGCATCTTTTCCCTCCAAACGACCAAGGATTTCATCTCTTTCTTTAGCCCACGGACCTGTGAATACAGAAATCTAGGTTCCATCGTAACACCCATGTGTGTCCTTCCCATTGTGAAACAATAGCGTACAGTTTGCAGGACGCGTTCTCTCCTGTTGGGTGATTTTCTTGTCTGTTGCTTCCAGGAGGTCTGGTCCAGTATACTTTCCAGCTCATCGGCACAAGCCTTATAGTTTGAATTCTTGTTTGATTCTTTCCAGTAGGAAGGGATGGACATCAAACGATCTTGCAGAGGTTCTAGCGAGCCAATGAGATTGTCATCAAAGTAATCCTTAGAAATGAACCGCGATCCTTCAAACATCCGACTTTGGGCGTTGTATTTGCGAATGAGCTGCCGAAATGCACAGATGTTAACAACAGCGAATCCATACAGTTCCAGAATATCAATTTCTTCTTCCTCTTGGTGTTCGAAAGAGGCTGACTGAAGGTCGGCAAAGGATGATCCAAACCAAGCGCTGCATTTTTTAAGTTCCGTCTGGAGTAGTTGCTCGAATTCGTGGTGTTCCAATGTCGAAAGACGACTTTCCAGCGCTTCAAGAACACCGCTGCCAAAACCAGCATCGCAGCCACCAAAGCCCATTTCATCACTGTCTTGTAGCGCGTATCCAAAGCCTCCTTCGACAACGGGATTGGCTTCCTTACCCGTACTGTTTGCGCTCTTGGTGGAGGGTTCCATGGTTGAGAGCACAGATGCCCATTGCAATTCTCCACTGAGAAGTCCTCTTCGCCGTTTTCGGATGTTCTTCAAGCTTTCCTTCATGGACGCGTAGTTGATGTAATGCTCCTTCCAAGTGGAGATTTGTACCCGCTGAAAGTAAACGTCGAACGATTTCATCTTCTTCTTGCTTTGCTTTTGTTGCAAAATATGAGAAGTGCTGGGATATTTCCGATTTGATTGACACCATATTTTAATACCAGATCAATTCATTCAGCGATGCCCACCGAGCAAGCCAATTTTTCACTTTTTTATGAATAGTCTAACGTAGACGGAAGAAAGCGGTCGAACCAATGGACTCAATAGTGACTCCATGAACGACGGTAGGGCGACCGTCATCTCAGTATTGCACCAGCAACCTAAGTCCGATCTACACATATCGAACTTGTGTGCAAGTATACTGACAGAAAGATAGAGTTATTTCTTTCTTTCCCATCCCACCACACCCTGTTGGGCCTTGACACGATTGTTTCGTGTCAAGGCCTGGCAGACAAGCAAGTCTCAGATTTCACGTCTTACGGGAAATCTGAGACTGGTCCTTTGAGTCGCACGCTTCGCGCGCAACTCAAAAGGACCAGCTTCACACCACAACCCACCAGAGTCACTCCAAGAAAACACCAAGCAGAAGAACCCGAAAAGAAGGCGCCAGTTGGCTATAGATAGTGGTGACACGTGTAACGCAAAAGATACGGAATTCGCCAACACTTTGACGGTTGCGTTTCTTCTTCGTACCTACCGGTACACGCGTGTACCGGGACAGCTGTAAATCTATACTGTTTTCGGTATGACACTCAAAGAGTTGATAATGAGGGATAGAGAGCTTCCAATGCTGGCGGTTGAAACGAGATAGACTTTCTCCTTGTAGTGGCATCACCAGCCACCCTGCAAGAAAGAACCACGTATCAATGACTTTTCTCAGTCCTTTCCCCACCACGGAGTGGAACCTCCTGCAACTATGTCTCATCTGCTATATCACTGATACGTTCATACATACAGATGACTCTTTTAAGACAAGGTGCACTCATGTTCTTTTGTCACATTTTAGCCCAACGAGTTCTCTACACACGAACCTAATGTGTCTGTTGGATGCACCAATGTTCTTCTAGCACATAGCCAGATCCCACGGGATTTCGTGAGATCGCGCCAATACCAGTGCATAGTTTAAATCAAGAGAGTGCCAGTACGGGAATGAATCAACATCGCAGGCTTTCTTTCGATGCAACGTGTATCCAACATGGAGATGCATCTACCGTGCGCTTTGGAGCTCTCGAAGCGATATTCAACATGCTGCCAGCATCCGCATCAGCAACGATGAAAAAAACCAGCACACTTTGTTCCCACACCAACGCAATGCGGAATGAAAGCAGTCATCCTAATTTTATTGTCGCAAAAGAGAAAAAATACGCCGAACCTTCACGATGTCCACATTTTTCCGCTCACCCAAAGAATTCGCCGAATTATACTGCACGGTTAGATTTATATCAAATGACCTTGTCATTTTTCCGATGGATCAAAGCACTCACAAATTTGATTTGAACAATCGACCATAAGATCTGTCCCAACGAGAATCGAAATGGATTATTCAGATATCACAGCACCTTTCGATCTTTCATGCCATCATTCCTCATGCTTCCAACAGCAGCTGCATCCAGATCTCCCACGAAAAGCATTGAATTGTGACTTTTCGAACACAAGCAACTCCTCACCAGTCCGTTCGGACACTCTTCAAAGGTTGCCCTTCTCAGACACCGTTTCCTCCTTTAGCATGGACTTTGACTGGGCTAGCAGTGAATTATCTCCGAATGATGTTGGTACGCATTCATCACTTGAGCACTCTGCGTTGGAACCTTGTCCAATTGATGAAATCAAGATGAAAGTATTGCAAAATCGCTCAAATGGGAAAACACAACAGGAGCATCACATGAAAACCTTGTTAAGTATTATCTTCCGTCCGGAATCGGCGAAAAGTGGCCCACTTGGTCATCCATCCACCGCTATTATGCGGACGCATATTGCTGGAAGTTGCAGTCCCATTGACTCTGGTGCCGAACGGGGTTTGGGTCCATTTACGGGCAACGTCTTGTTGCGCCCTATCAAGAAGCAACGCGTAATGACATCAGCTATGAACAAGGATTACTCGTCCACGACTTCGGTTCTCCACATTGCAGAAGATTCACTGAATCAGTTTGGACGTTTCAGAGACTATCAGAGTGGGCAGTGGTCTCTTCGCTTCAGGGAATTGGATCAGTTCCGCTTACTAATGGGTCATTGCTGTGTTCCCCATGGTTATCAGGCAAATCCAGCATTGGTGAGTTGAAGATCTATGGACTCTTGCCTCATTTATCGTAATGATATCATGTTTTGACACCATTTTCTTTCCTTGTTTCTCTCATTCCCCCAGGCACGATGGGTCAAACGTCAACGCTATCAATACAAACTTCGCGCAGAGGGAAAGTCTAGTACAATGACCATTGAACGCATTTCGGAACTGGAAAGACTTGGTTTTGTCTGGGATTCCCATGGAGAGGCTTGGATGGAGCGATTTAATGAGCTGCACGAGTACTTCTTGAAACACGGAAGCTGCAATGTGTCGAGTAATTATACTAGCTCTTGTGGAAGGCAGCTATCGTCTTGGGTCAAGTGTCAACGAAGGCAATACAGGATGTACAAGGAAGGTGTTCCCTCAACTTTGAGTCCTGATCGAATTTCCAACTTGGAAAGCATTGGGTTTGAATGGGAATTGAAATTATGTCGCAACACGACTTCTCCAAGCTCCGCATCATAGTCATTGGGAGGTCTTGATGATAGAGCTCGGTAAAGAAGTCTAGTCTAGTGCATCCCTGAAGTGGTGCTTAATTTTATGTGACGCACTACTCTATTCATCATATTATTTTTTCTCGCGGGAAGAGCGAGACTGCTCATTTCCTGGCTCAAGCGCTTGTGTCACCATTCATGAACTGTCCTCTCTGCTTTACTGTCCTCTCTGCTTTAGGGCAGTCATGAAGCAGGTCATGTCATAGTCTTCAATAACCTCACCGGTACCGTAGGTATTGCCATTGTGACGTGACCCACACAGTCGTGATCAACCTAGTCAAATTGGTGTCCCCCACCCCAATTCGGTCTAATCCAAATCATCCGCATCATACCAACAAACAAACCCTCGAAACTTGTGCAACGTGCAGTCATATCTTTGCCTTCTACTCTCGTTGTGTACCCTTACACCGCTGACTTTTGTTGTTATTGAGTGCTTGTCCTTCGGTTCGCGCCCAGAGATCGCTATCAAGTGGAACAGTATTTTGAAAAGAACGATTGCGATGGTGCCATCGGTTTTGGCAGAATGGATAGCAACCGTTGTGGTGCCTGACTCTGGAGTTGCAGCTTCAACGCTAGAATCGAAAGGCTTGGCTGTACTCAAGGGTAAGATTGCGATATTGTGCAAAATTTGCTCATTAAATTGTTACTTCGCAATCGCGTGATTTCTTTTTCTTTTTCGGTGGATCCTTTACAACTTGTATGAATGCTAATCTCATCTGGTGCATTGCTTCATTATTCTATAGTTTGCGACTTGAAAAAAGTACGTTCGTCCGTTTATGCAACCGGCTGCGTTGCTACATCGGCACAAAGGGTCTCATCCGGTGCAAACAAGAGCACACTCGTTGACGCCATGCATGCAATTTTGAGAATGGATAATCATCATCTTGTTTCTCATATTAATGCACAGGCCACCAGCCATTCAGCCCACACGCCGATGGAAGCTCCTGGTACTCCCCAATCATCCAATTCTTGCCATCAGCCGCAACAACAAAAGGGGACTGCAAGCAACAGAAACCGACGCAACAATTGTCACGGCGCAAACACAACAACAACACTGCACCAAGGCACTGCAGCGACACGTGGCAATACTTCTAACAGTGGGCGGAAGCGCCCAGCACACCAAATTAGCAGGAGTTCTGCTCCCAATCCACATACTATGCCATATACTGCACTACTAGCGTATTCAAATTCTGGACTACCCTACCCGGGGTGTGGAGCAACTGCAACGACCGTGTTCGCTCCCTACGCTGTTAGCACAAACGGTACCGATGGAACTGGTCCACAGTTTGGATCCATGCCACCCCACTACGAGTACCAAAATTATCTTCAACAACTACATAACCCCTCGTTTGCAGCAGCTTCGTCACCCCCGAATCCAAACCGGGCTTTGACCGGTGGTGTGGCAAACGGCCAACAACACATTCCGAATCCTCCCAACCGTGGAGCTGGGGCCAGTGGGATTCATTCTCAAAACACGGCACCGCCAGATAGAAATAGACCTGCCAGCGCTCCAGTAAATGGCAACACAAACAATGAGTCCATAACTTGTGCTGGAGATGGCAACGTGCCAAAGACGCCCCAAGAATTTTCCTTTTTAAACCAACTATTGGGAATGGGCTTTCAAGATCGCGAAGAAGTCATGTTAGGTATTCGACAATCGAATGCGTCCACTGCAGATGAAATAATGATGTGGATCATCCAGCAACGTGAGGAACGGGAGGAAGCACGCAAAATGGACGAGGCTCGGTTTCGTAGTGAACAGTTGCGAAAAGACAATGCAGAGAAACAGAAGCGGGCGTTTCAAGAGAGATTGGATGCTGCAAAAAGCCGAGATGATTTTCGCAACATTTTTGGAAAGCACTCTTGGGTACTGGATAATCTCGATGATGCACATTTCCGACGGCTAGTATCGCGCCACAAGGATGTACTAGTCAGGATAGTGAAGCTCGAATCCAGCACGCGTAAATGGTACCAAGACAAATTACCGACATGTTACTTTAGAGATTTGTGCCATCGGAGCAATCAACAAGCGGTAAGCGAATTTGATTCTTGGTTAATTGGGGAATGTGATACGTTAGAAGCTGGTCTTTACAAACTGGAATTTCAGCAAGGTGGGGTACCAAAGCTGTTTCTCCAAGCGCAAGAAAATCATCCCGAGTATGGCGAGAGTGGAGAAAACGACGAGAGCGATGACGAAATCGTCTTTTGCGGGATTCGGCAATCTGAGGGTGTCAACTAAATCATTTGTTCACAATTGAACCGACGGCGTTTTGCAATGTTGGCGTGGTGGGGATGTGGAAAAATACTAAAGCTGTCGTAGTTTAGGGTACTCCACAATACAGATATATAAGCCCAAACGTATCTCACTTGATCCCACTAAAAAATTTCCGTAGCTAGTCCTGGAATGGTACAAAATCCATGAGGTTGTTGGCCCCCTTCGGAATCTTGACCACCAGTCCGTCTAATTTTTCGTCGAGCACAATCTGGCATCCAAGACGACTCGTATCCCGGGGACTATACGCCAAGTCCAACATGTCCTGTTCTGCTTCACATGGCTTTCCTACTTTTTCAAACCATTGATCATCTACAATCACGTGACAAGTGGAACAAGCCATGATTCCAGCACATGCACACTCTATGTACTCTCCGAGGGTGGATGCCCCTTCACCATCTCCAAACTTGGCCACATCTGTCAACGAAGTACCCTCCAAGGCTTCCACTTCAAAGGCACGAGCCATCATGCTTTCTTGGTCGACATAAGATTCGTCCTCCTCCCCTTCAGCTGAATTCCATGAATTGGGTGGCACCACGACAACCTTTATGGTTTTCTTGCCCTCGGTCTTGGAAAGGCTCATCTTGACACTGGCTGCCAAGGCTTCTAGTCCCTCATCTTCGCCGACTTCCCATCGACCTGCTAGCATTCTTGCGGTTGCCAACAGAGCAGTTCCTGATAATCCTGACTCCTTTAACGCATCAGCAACTCCCTGGGCGATCTCTCTCTCATACCCAACGTTCACAATAAACGTAACTGCCTTTTCAACATCTGGTGAGTTACCACCAGTTCCCGACGATCGAGCAAAGGAACGACTTGTGTAATCCAGGTTTCGACATTTCCCTTGTTTTAGGGTGTGTAATTTGTGTATTGATAATCGATTGAAATGATGGTGGGAACGACGTTGGAAGGAACGAGATATGATTGTTCGTGCTGTCACAGCTTGTCCACCATGGGTCGCATACTTAGAAGCAAGACGTCCATGAGCCGTATTTCCACAGGTGGAGAGGAGCTTGTTTTGCAATATTTTCATTGTCATCACTACCTACTGTCCAGTAACGAGTCGGACAGAGAGGAGAGTATTACTGCTATCTTCGATAGCCAACTGGCGCCTTCTTTTCGGGTTCTTCTGCTTGGTGTTTTCTTGGAGTGACTCTGGTGGGTTGTGGTGTGAAGCTGGTCCTTTTGAGTTGCGCGCGAAGCGTGCGACTCAAAGGACCAGTCTCAGATTTCCCGTAAGACGTGAAATCTGAGACTTGCTTGTCTGCCAGGCCTTGACACGAAACAATCGTGTCAAGGCCCAACAGGGTGTGGTGGGATGGGAAAGAAAGAAATAACTCTATCTTTCTGTCAGTATACTTGCACACAAGTTCGATATGTGTAGATCGGACTTAGGTTGCTGGTGCAATACTGAGATGACGGTCGCCCTACCGTCGTTCATGGAGTCACTATTGAGTCCATTGGTTCGACCGCTTTCTTCCGTCTACGTTAGACTATCGAAGATAGCCAACTGGCGCCTTCTTTTCGGGTTCTTCTGCTTGGTGTTTTCTTGGAGTGACTCTGGTGGGTTGTGGTGTGAAGCTGGTCCTTTTGAGTTGCGCGCGAAGCGTGCGACTCAAAGGACCAGTCTCAGATTTCCCGTAAGACGTGAAATCTGAGACTTGCTTAACTCTATCTTTCTGTCAGTATACTTGCACACAAGTTCGATATGTGTAGATCGGACTTAGGTTGCTGGTGCAATACTGAGATGACGGTCGCCCTACCGTCGTTCATGGAGTCACTATTGAGTCCATTGGTTCGACCGCTTTCTTCCGTCTACGTTAGAAAATTCTCCAGATGACAGAAGCAAATACCGGTAGGGATGACTGGAATTTTCCTGTCCTTCATCCGCGACTTTACTCTCTGGATACAGTACCAGGTACCAGGTACCGTAACGGATCGGGATCTTTTATCATGTCTCGCTTAGTTGGATTATACAGTATGAATCCGAACAAGAATAACAGAAGAAAATAGCTCTATGATATAAATAGTGGGCAATTTTGAATCCGAACAAGAATAACAGAAGAAAATAGCTCTATGATAAATAGTGGGCAATTCAAAGCGTTCACAGAATGATCAGTTGAACAATGAACCCTCAACCAACCAAGCGAGGGTTGCTCCTCAGCAAAAGGAGGACAAGAAATATACAAGAAATGAAGATGCCAGCACACAGCTAACAGACACCGCATTCCGAGATGGAGCAGCGGAATCCAACCCCTTCGAACTTGTTGACGGAGCAGTAGGATCCCCTAGGAATTCAACAAAGTAGGCATTGGCTGCCAACGCGTCATCAAAAGAATCTGATTCCTTTGTGTCTGCGCTTACTCCCTGTAGGAGATTATACTGCGGGAAGACATAGGAAGCCTCGCAACCCAAATCGACATCGCTTGTTTCACTTTTGAAGGTATCAAAGTTAGCTCCAACATTGTCCAAGCAAAAGAGTGTCAGACCGTCTGGAGCAGTCGCGTTACATCTTCGATGAAATGGCTGCCTGACATTGCTAGATGGTTCAATATCAAATCCAACCGCGTCATTGCGTAAACTCGTCGTGACGGAACAGGCATAGATTGCACCTGGGAAATTGCCTTCATAGTCCCCACATTCCAAATCCCCGTATCCTTCGTTGAACACTTGGATTTGTAGATGGATGCCTTCACAGGTGGCAACAAAGTCTGGTGTTGGCGAACTTGAAACAGTCGCGGTTGGGCCAGGGGTAGGAGCTGTAGGTGAACCGGAAGGAGTCAGACTTGGAGTGATACTTGGACTTCGGGTTGGAAAAATGGTTGGAGGAGCTGATTTAGTAGGTGAACTAGATGGGACTTGTGTAACGCTTGGGGCAGCAGACGGTATTCTACTTGGGTTCATAGTCGGAGCTTTGGTTGGAGGCGAAGTTGTTGGCGAGCCGGATGGAGCTGGACTTGTAGTGGGTGAAGGGGTATTCAACGTAGTGGGCCTTTGCGACAAAGATGGGGACGCGGAGCCTGATGGCTCGGCTGATGGCATGGGCGTAATGTTCACAGACGGTGATGCTGATGGCACATCAGTCACCACTGGTCCCAGTGGTTCAATGTAGCCAAGTGGATTATCCAGTTTTGCCAAGAAGAATTCTTCAATAGACAGTGTTCCTCCTGAGGGACACGACTCCACCAAGTCATCCCTTCCTACAGCACTACAGTCGTAGCTAATGGCATTCGGCTGTGAACCACATACACTGCAGGTACAAGCGTCGCCATCAACGTCCACTTGACAAGATCGTAGACTGGAAGAAGCGTTGGGATCAAAGTTCAGAACAGATCTGACGCATGTTTGTGGTTCCAATTCGGTAGCGATTGTACAACAAGTAATTGTCTCGACACCAGCTGTTGATGATGGGGATCTTGTACACCGGTAACTTCGGCCATCGTTGCGACCACTGCACTTTTCAATACCATCTTCAACCTCACAACTGACGAAGTTGGCTGCATCCTCTCGGCATGCGTTGATGCTGTGGGCTGAGAACGTGCTTGTCGCACAGTTTGGAATATATCCATCGCACGCACAAGTAAAGAATGTTTCCGCAATAAAGAGATCCAAATCCCCTTGCACTGGACCTGTGTATTCTTCCTTTCGTTGTTCAAACAAGTCCCAATCAATCGCAATGTACTCGCACTGATCTGGATTGTCTACAAAGCAGTAGGAGAAGGTTGCATCATCCTGACACACGGTAGCTCTGTCCCTTCCATTAACAAAGCGATTACAAACCAAATCACCGGCTGTTTGCAGTTGGCGTCGCGCTTCCGGTTGATGCATACTCGTGCCGGTACGATCAGGAATGGGATCATGATTATTGTTATTCTGAATCTCTCTGCGTTCCTTCAGAATTGACTTCAACACATCCTTGGATGTACCCGCTGACCCTAGGGATAGATTGCTGAACAAGAAGAGCCCCATACAATGAGCTTTCGTCATCATTGTTGTGTAGAACACCGGTTTGGTAGCCAAAAAATTATCGGAGTACGAGTAACAGCATTTGTGTGGTTCCGTTTCACAAATCACCTGAACGATTGAAACGATTGATCGAAAAATGCTGCGCGCTGGCCGTGCCAACATTGTTCATTTGGTGAGGCTCCACAAATTTGGCCAATTTCGAAATTTGGCTGATCCCGCATTTCACACGACTTTCATGTGCATCACTGATTGGATCGACTGCAATAGCAAACCCGATTTTTTTGTACAGTACTTACAATTTTTTTAATATAATTCTTTAAAGTTACATCTTTCCGTCGGCAACCAGCTTGATACTCTTTGCCAGTTCTTCAGCTTGTGGCAGCTCCAATTCTCTATATGCGAACACTTCTTTGGTTGGGTCAACAATGGTTGGATCGGATGTCTTGGTAATGCGAACATGATGAGGCACCTCGTGCAACATTTGTGCCACTTGTCGATCTTCTGGGACAATGCCCCGTTCATACAAACTCATCAACTGCAAATCACCTTCGGTATGGATGGCGGCACAATGGGCTTTTCCTAAGGTCACGCAACACGTCGCTGCTTGCCGTGCAGAATGCTCTTCATCGGGAGTCAACTTGGGATACTTCCAATCTTCCGTGGTGTGATTCACTTTTTCCATGTAGCGTCCAACCTGCCAAATAATATAATCCAGGATTCCCTCTTCCAATAAGATACGTGCCCGTCGCTTGTCCTTTGCCAAGATAAGAATCTCTTCCATCGCTTCGGTCTTTTCGTCATACGATGTATTCGCGCTTGCCACAACATCCAGCCATGCTCTAGGTTGCGCCACAGGGTCGAGACCATAGATTCGCCCTGCTGGTAGGATGCGCACTGAAAATTTACATTGTTGGAGAGATAGGTATAATTAGATACAATAGATGCAATAGATAGACAACAAACCGAATCAAGTAAGCATAGAAAAAAGAGGAAACCAACAAACTCCAAAATAAACGAGTGTTGCGTACCATTGCGTAGGCAAGCCACCTTTTTCTTTCGTTTGTTTTGAGGATAGGGTCTTTCCGGTTGTTTGGTGGGGACTGGGAGTCTAGGGTCTGAAACTCTTTCGTTGCGAAAATTCCCTACCCCACTTGGTTTCACGAGACTATTCTGAGATGGCAGCTCCCTGTTGGAAGTATCAACAGTGGGTTTACCATTGTCTATACTCCCAGGGGCGTTATCGTCGACAACACCATCATCATCTAGAACTTGGTCATCTGGGTTCGATATGCATTGGGGCAAATTTTCAGCAATCTGTGGTGGAATATGTTCCGCAACACCCGACTCATGGTAATGAGTGGCACAAGTATTACTAAGCTTGTCAGACATTTCACATGCCTTGTCATGAAATTCGTGCATTGACTGAGTAGCTTTGGTCTGTAATTTGCTCCGGTCTTCTTCGGGTATTTGCGACAGGCTGAATCCAACACTGATCGCAGCCGCACCCACCAACAGTCCCACCGGTCCAATCACCGCCCCGATCGTTGCTGCTCCTGCGACTCCAACTCCAATTCTAAGAGCTGGAGAATCCATGGAATCCATCTTCTGTCGAAAGTGTTCGGCATCTTCCTTGTTTATAAATGGTGATTCACTGGCATTCCCCGCACTTGAATTTTCTTTTGGGCTATCCAGTTCTGCTGCAAGTGCTTTCCGCCGTTCTGCTTCCTTCCATCGACGTGCAGCATAAGAACCACTGTCTGCGCTGTAATCATCGTCTCGGTCACCATAGTCAAATGTCTTGTCATCGTCATCATAGAATCGTCGGGGGTAAGCCCTTGAGGAGTAATAATTGTCGCCATTTTTGTTTTGTTTATGAAGTGGGGACGAATTGTAGTCATTGGCATCAGCCGATTTGGAATAACTCTGCCCCTCCAATCCCATCATCTGGCTTTCCTTGTCCGTATCATATTCACTGGAAGATGCTGTCAGATAGGATCCTCGATTGTTGACCTTTTCTGACTTTTCATCCTCTAACCAAGGCCGTTGTTCCGATTTTTTTGGCCTGGAATGTCCATTTCTCTTCGTTGGCGTCTTTTTCTTTTGCAAGGAATGCATGTTTTCGGAAAGACTGTTGTAGTTGCTCTGATAAGATTGCTGATGCTGGTGCTGCTGTTGTTCTTGAAAATGATACGCAGTGCTTCCTGATTTCGAAGAAGCCACATTGAGATAATGTTGGTCTTGCTGATTTCCTGGTGACGAGCTAGCCACTATCCGTCTCACACTAACCAAAGTGTCATCATCAGCATCCTCATTGTCTGCAGATCGGGGAGAAAGATTATGTCGATCATCATTCAATGGCTTTCCCATGGCGTTATTAGCTTGCCGATGTGCCTTGTGCCTTTGTACCATTTCCAGCTTCCGCCGTCTTGGAATCGCATCTTGTTGAGAGGTATTTGCCTTTTGTGTACCGGTAGTCGAAGATGAAGCAGCAGCTACTGATTCTGCACGCTTCATGCGTCGTTCTTTCATCTGTTTTCGCTTTTGAAGTAAATTGTTGGCAGCTGGACTGACATGTCTCGTTTCTTGATTTTGCTGGCGAAGACGTTGAATGCGATTCTGTGAAGCATTCACCGTGTTCGAACCATAGGCGTTTGAGGACATGTTTGTTATGGGCAGAAAGGAGAGCGGATTGTTGTCGTTATGCTGTTGGATTGAATACCGTGAATGTACTGTACTGCAGTAGTAGTGAGCTGACAACCTCCTTGTTTGATTCAATGATAATTTTCGATGATGATTCGACTTGGTGGTTCTGTTGCTACCGGTACCTGTGCCCTGTACCCTGTACCCTGTACCCTGTACCGTACACTGTGAACTGTACCAGTATGATTGTGATCTATTACACCACGATAGTATGCTACTGAATGGTGGATCCAGGTACAATAGTCGGTGTTCTTGTCTTGCCAAGCGTTTCAACTGAAACTGATGTGAGGTGACTTTGGCGATAGAAACTTTGTAGATCGTACAAAACTGCTGAAAGCCAATGCAATACGATGTGAATGGACTGGCCTACTCCATGAGGAAACGAGCAAATAACGGTCGATAGACGCAGACTCTAATGATTTTTGAATTAAAAAAAATGGATTCAATCGAATAATGAAGCCAAATTGAAAATTAGTAATCTCACCTCAAAATAGATTGAAGTTTTGTCTCTATTGATATCTCTTTAGTCTACATACACGTGTACCGGTACACTGGTAAACAAAACAAAATCCCACACTCTCCCCAACAATTAACAAATTAACAAAAAGAAGAGTAGTACATTGTCTATGCTTCAGCAATTTCCACCACGTCGCTTCGGACAGCTGCTGGTGCCAGACTGGGAGTTGGAGCAGCAGCATTGCCATTGCCATTGGCGTTTTCATTCACAGCATCCTTGCCACCCGACAGAAAGCTTCCGCCCACTCCAAATCCTAGACACCCAATGCCAAGCAACCCAACTACGATCAGCGCAATATCTGTGGTTTGCAAGCCTGATGATGAATCGTCTGGCTCTGATGCTGGTGGCTCATCATCGGTAGTATTGAAAGTTGGTTCCATGGTGGCAGTTGCTACAGCACTAGGGGCGCTTGTTGGTGGTTCCGATTCAGTAGAGTTTGATTGCATGGGTGTATCCGATGGTATTTCTGTGTCATTCACTGGTGCAATGGTTTCAATCGGCGGATCGGTTGTTGTTGTGTCGTTGCCTTGTTCTTGCAAGCTTCTCGTTGCAGATTTCGAATCGTCAATTAACAGTAGGGGATCATCTTTAGCAATTGTCAAGTGCAGCGTTTGAAAGCAGAGCGATAGGAAGAGAACAACGGCCACCAACTTCATAATGGTTACACTTGGATTTTGGAGTTGAAAGTTTTGGCCTTTTGGTCTGTCTTTCATTTTGGCTGAGGGCGGGATGAGGGACTGAGGGAGATTCATCTGGAGCTTGTTTAGACGTTTACGCTATTTCGCGCGAAAGAAAATCGCCTTGGTTCTTTATTCCCTTTCTCCTTTCTCCCATTGTTGTTCTGTGACGTCAGTGGTATCAGCTTATTTCACTCGCGGTTCCTGAACTTCGTGAGCCTTTTGCCCAGTCTTTCTGGAACATTCTTGGGAATATGATACCAGTACAGTACACCTAAAGTTTCCGTGACTCATAAAATCAATCTGCTGATGAAGTACACATCAAGAGTCTTCTTACTTCCACTACTTCATAACTTGTCTCATTTTCCTAAAGCCTCGAGTTTTGTTGTTGCAGCAAGACGCCCAAATTCCAACACTTCCACCAACACGCATCTACGAAACTACCGTTCCTTTGCTTCCACTTCCAAAAGCCAAAAGATGTCTACTGCCGTCGATCACACCGATAAAGCTGGAGCTTTCAAGCGCAAGCAATCCAAGCACCGACACTTTGTCTCAAAGGACAACGCACAATATCCTCCTGAATCTGGAAGGTATCATTTGCACATTGCTCTAGCATGTCCATGGTAAGTAGTAAGAACAAGGAATCTCTTTTGTTCTGTGACCTTTCTCGTTTCTCATATGATAATCACGCACTTGCAGGGCCAATGGAGCACTCTCAACCGTTGCACTGAAAGGACTAGACGGTGCCATCTCCCACTCGATTGTCCACCCTACCTGGCAAAAGACTCGACCAGATGACGATGACGATGCTCACCATGGATGGGTTTACAAGGCCCCAGGTGACGAGCCGTTGAAGAACTCTATTGGACATGGATCTTTTAAATGTGATGATCTCCTTGTCCCTGATAAAATCACCGGTGCCAAGAGCATCCGTGAGCTCTACAATTTAGCGGGCGATGAAGGTAAGCCACAATGACATGTTCTCCCTTTGGAATGAATCCCGTTTTCGTATCCCGTGTTTGTGCTTGCTCACTCGTCATTCACACTCGTTCCAACGCTCCAATGCACAGAGGGCCCGTTCACCACTCCAGTTTTGTTCGACAAGAAGACCAACACAATTGTCAACAACGAAAGTACTGAAATCTTGAAGATGCTGAATAGTGAATTCGACGAGTTTGCTACCAACCCTGATCTTGACATGTACCCCGCAGATATTCAAGACGAACTTCAAGAGTTGAATGACAGCCTCATCTACCCCAAAGTCAACAATGGAGTATACCGCTGTGGATTTGCCAAGAGTCAAGAAGCGTATAACGATGCTGTCAAAGAGCTCTTTGAAAGTTTGGATATTCTAGAGGAAAAGCTCAGCAAGCAACGCTACTTGGGGGGAAAGAAGTTTACGTGGTTGGATTTGCGTCTCTTTATGACCCTTGTTCGTTTTGACCCTGTCTACATTGTAAGTCTGACTTTGCCCCAGTAATCAATAGCCGCACCGCCTTCCCAAAGTTCCTAACTCTTTTTTCTTCTCCACTTTGCTTCATTCGCAGACCTACTTCAAAACCAACCAGAAGCGCATTGCAGACTATCCCAACTTGCTTGGATTTGTACGCGATTGTTACTCCATCCCAGAAGTCAAAAAGTACCTATCAATTGACCACATCAAGACCCACTACTTCACTTCCCATCCTATCTTGAACACCTACGCCATCATTCCTGCCTACGATGGCCCTGATCTGGAAGCGCCACATGGTCGTGAAAATATTTAAGCCTGGACAGAGACGACCGGTAGCTATTGACGCCATTGACACTAAAAGAAAACAAATAAAAAACAATTTACTTTGACTTATTGACGAGCCTATTTGTTCACATTTTCAGTTTCGTTGTTCCGCTCATGGCATCAACGGAGCCTGCTCGGGATTCCGTTCGCTCATCGCAGGATCCAGATAACTTGCGACTGCAACTCTCATGTCGACGACATCCATACAACCTGGCCAAACTTCCCTCCAAGCAGATCGCATTTCACGACTGAGAGTGGGGTGGTTCTGTTCAAAGTCCACAGGACTGGCGGCAAAGCAGACAATGACGCTGTTGACCGCACTGGTAATGACGCCAAACAGTAAACTCGAAGCCACAAGACCCACGGCAAATCCCAAACCAAAGGAAACCAAACCTGGTTTTCCCATAGTGCTCAGAGTCAGCGTTTCTGTACCCTCAATCAAGTCAGCAAATAGGCCAGTAACTCCTCCAATCACTAGACTTGTCATGAACAAAACGTTGGCCGCCAAATCATCCGAGACAATCGTGGTCCAACCTCGCTTCTCGAACAAGTCTGCCGCATTTTGTCCAGCATCGACCAGTCCATAACCATACAACCCAATGTAGGTGAACGACCAGGGACTGTAGCGATCGGAAAAATTGTCCACACAAGAAGTTAAACAACTTTGTATGCAAAATAAACATTCATGCAAACAAAGGAGAGAAGAAGATCCTCCTCCATTCGGTCGGAAGAATGCGGAGAGCTGATGCAACATCCGAGCGGGACCAACAAATAGACTGCCGTAGCAGATGGAACCAATGCCATAAAACATGGATCGAAAAGCGCTGGAGCTTAAATCCGAGCACTGCGAAGAAGTATCGCCATCGCGAGTATACCACCACTTTCCTATCAAAGCAGAAACTGTAGCTTGGACAATATTCTGCAAAACAAGTATCACAAATGAGCCAAAACTTCCAATTTGTTGTTCTTCGTTCAATATGGGCCACTAAAGCACTCACCATTAAAACATGAATCGTCCAGTAGTACGATAGCCCAAGGCCAGAGTATATGGCAATCTTGGCCTTGTCCATGTTCACGCTTTCGAATGTAATGTCACCGACCAGAATGGAATCGTAGACACCCACAAGGACAAAGACAAAGTAGACCGACCACAACAACCCTAGCGCTTGAAAGAAAAATGCCACAAGTAGCAACCCCAGATTGGCTCGAATGCCGTTCAGTGCCGTGTCTAAATTGGCCGCTACGAACGGAATCCGGTCCCAAACTATAAAGGTGTACGCCACAGTCAGCAAGAGAGCTACAAATCCAATGGCAGGGACCAATATGCTTGGACTAAATCCAACACCAATTGTACCCCAAGCAAAACTGAGTGTAATGGCCACAAAGAGTGCCACTTGAACAATTCTCTTGGCAATTGCCATGAACAAGAAAAGAGTGCAGGCAGAAATTGCAACCGCCACAGCACCGCAAAGGCAAACCAGGTAAAGGATGTTGGAGTAGAATATGGTGACATCTCCATCCGTGCCGTTGTGATAACGTTCCGCTTCATAACCATATTTGTTTCCAAGGTAGATGATACCCAATAGATGAAAGACAAAAAGCATGAGAAACAGGATATCGCGACAGGCTGGAATCTGTTCTTGTCCCTTTACGTTTTCCATATAGAGTTGCGCCGACTGTTGTCGCATGTGGCTCCTGCCCTTTGGCTTTTTGGCCAAAAATACCGCTTCCCCACCACTGCCTGCCCCATCGGTACTTCCACCGCCATTGATGAATCCATTGTTGCTTCCCGAGTATGGTGTACGCAAATCATTAGATGGTAGTGTAAAGGAGCCCGCCTGTTTGATGCTCCCGCCGGGTGACGGAGGTGCATGAAAAGACCCCCCTCCAACCGAGGAGCTGTCAATTGATGGCCGACGTCCCGCCAAGCCCATGATTTCATGTCGTGGTGAAAAGTCACGTTGGCTGCTACTACTTCCGCTTCGCTTATGACGTGGGGGAGGAACTGGAGCACTTGGCGCATCCATAGATCCATAGGAAGGTGCACCACTGAAGGAATGGGCCCGTTTATGTCCTCGATGTTGGTTATGCAGTGCTTGTTGAGGTTGTTGTTGAAAGAAGGAAGGTGGATTTTGATATCGCATGGCAAGGTTGGGATCCATTTGTTGTTGGAAGGCAGCCATCTGAGACGGATCCATCATTGTTTGGTTGTAAGGACTCCCAACATACATTGGAGAAAGGTTCGGAGGTTGTTGCGTTGGGAATTGCATGCCTTGTGAAGGTTGAAAGCCCATAGTTGGATAAGGAGGATACTGAAGTCCGTTTCCTCCCATGGCCCAGCTTTGCGATCGAGTATGACTGTCATATGATGCTTGTGAATCCATATTAGGAGCCGTATTACTGGTGGGAGTGTTCATACCGTTGTGGTTGGGAGACGCATAAGAAATTTGAGTTGGAAACGGTGCTGGTGGGATGCCATATTCAGAAGATGATGAATTGTTATTGTTGCGATCTGATGCTGATGCTGATGCTCCCAACTGCTCGTCAGATTGGACTCTTCTGTGATTCTTGCTTGGACCAGATGAGGATGATTGCATCTTAGGCGCCCCCTCATTCATCCTTTCGCTAGCGCCATTGGAAGATTCCATTGTTCTTTGGAAGCTTGAAAGGTTGTAGTCCAGTCCAGTCCAGTCCAGTCCAGTCCTACTGTAGCTGGTACAATTGCAATTGCTTTAGGATTTCAGAAATCTTCTGAAAACGGTTAAAATGAGCAATGAGCAATCAACAATCAACAATGGAATGAACGAGACTGTTTATCTCGTGAAGTTGCTGAAGTTGCTGCAAGTCAACGAGACACTTGGTGAAACAATGATCAACTTGTTCTAGTTCCCTCCAACAGTTTCAAGAGGCTTCTAACACGGAAGATGATAGTGATAGTGATAGTGATGAGAATTAGTTTGATATAAAATAAAAAACAAAACACGGATATCCAAAAATCTTCTGGCTTGCTCGCGACAAACTTCTTCTCATACTGTACCGTACCTACACGTATGTTGAATGTGTATGTGTCATACGTGTCCTCACAGTGTCATACTGTAGTTTACGTGTTGATTTCGCATGCGCGCGGTGAAACGAAATGAATCAAGCAAGAAGTCAAACCGTGAATCAAGGATCTACAGTACCTGTACACGTACACGTGTATACGTACTCGTACGCGTGTACCGGTACGATTTTTAAAAAATGTATCAATCAGTCCTGCAGTATTTTCAATTTTAATGAGCAGTCAAGCTCCACCTTACTGTAACTTTCTTCCAAAATCCTAATGCGACAACAATTTACCCACTTGCTACCAAAAGCAATAATAGCGCTAATAATAGATGGTACGCTCTTTGGAATTGCAGATGCGTTTGGATCGTCATCCCTTCTACCATCATCCGTTTCATCTCTCCGAGTTTCCAAGTTTTCTCAGCGTCAATCGAAGCAAAAGCTATATTCTTCCCCCGATGACTCTTCCAAGATTGAATTACAGTCAGACGACACTAAATTTGGAAGGGGAGACTTTCACTTGTCCGCATTGATCGAAGAAGGAGATGTCGTAGTCTATCAGACGGGAAGTTGGTTGGTGGATGGTGTTGTTGTTGGTGAGGATGACGCGGTACCCAGTTTTGCGCTTGCAAAGATTGACAATGTGCAAGTTGTATGGACGCACAATTGTGAGCATGGAGTCTTGCGTGGGATAGAAGTTGTTATCGATCAGAAAGACAATACCCGCGTGCTGTTGAAAGAACCGTTGGAGGATGTCGAGTTCGGACCTGAGCAACTTTTGGCAAGGCTTCCGGTTACATGGGACAAAGAAGAATCCTCTATAGGAATTGCTAATGTGCCACTGGAAGCAGAGTTATGGTGCTCTGACATGTAGTGGTCCAAACAAATGCATCGACTGGCCAAGGAACACCGATATGATGCTGAGTTGAAACCGAAGATGGGCAGGACGAGAGCCTTTCTTCTTCCATCAGCATCAGAATCAGCATCAGTGAATAAGCATAATGAATGCTTGGTACGAGGAGCAACCTTGAAACCGCTGCAAGGCGTCCAATACCTACTCCAATTGCTTGCACAAACAAGCTTCTGCCCGAGATCAAATCTTGGATTGCACGGCATGATGCGGAATACACATCGAAGACTTTCTACTCGATACTATCAGAGCACATCTATTGTTATCCTTCTAGTAGTACCATCTACATTTGTGAATCGATTGAATCATCGATCGACTCGATGTCGTCTGAGTCGTCATCTGTCACACTCTTTTCTTCACTCTTCGGCTCGTCTATGGAGCGCTTGCCAAAACCATTGAAGCGCTGTTTCTCTTCAAATTTCCGAATAAAATCCTGTACAGTCTCCTCTCCCTCGCTGTTTACAGAATGAAAGGTAAGGTTAGCTTGGTTCCAACGATAACTGTTTTAATGGGACAAGAATCAATCTCTTCTCTTACCGAACCCATTCATCGCGATTCGCCTTGGCGTAGTTCATGTATTCATCCGAGGACACTCCAAATACACCACAGCTATCTAGCTTCTTCGCCAACGGAATGACGTAAAAATCAAAAAACCCAATCTCGCCCTTGTACCAATTAACACTTGGGTCAGTTGCTGCCCGACCAGCTCTGTAGGCACCGTAACATTCCATGAAGAATTTCTCATTCCAACTCTTATAGATGTGCCAATGCTGCATAGTGTGGGATACATCTGAAGCTTGGATTAAATGCTCAATGACGATGGTAGCCTTCCGATCGACATCAACACCAGTAATTTCTGCTTCTTGCAAAGGTGACTCGGAGAAAGCAGTCTCCCAACGCTTTTTGCGTAGAGTTTGCAGCTCTTTGTCTGCAATGTCAGTGGCCATCACTGTATTAACAACCAACTGTCTGAACCGACGGAGATCATTTTCGTTCTGGTAAATGCACGCTCTGAGATCCTTGTAATCAGCTTGCATGAGAATCTCCCAACAAAGATCTACGCTATTTTGTTCGGCGACAGACTTGTCCTTGTACATGCGAGCTTTCTCTGTATTTTCCTTTACCAACTGTGTATTTGGAACTCCTGGATGATCCGCGTCATGAATGATGGCAGAAAAAATGACAGCGAATTGCGTCAAGGGATCGGATGTGATGCCGTACGAATGGCCAGCAAGATCAACAAGATCGACATCAGAGCTTTGCCCGGCAAGCCCATTTCCTTCGCTGACATTTACAATTCGGCTCAAAAGCTTCTTCACTGACGCTGCCACGTGAATAGCATGCTCAAAATTGTGAAATGGGTTGTCTTGATACATCACAGACACCATTGATAGGTACGACCTCAACTGATTTTTTGCTGCATCGCCAATATCGAGGTCTCGTGGGTCCAAACGATTGCGAAGCTCGTCGGCATCAAATCGTTTTAATGGAATAATGGGCACAAACTCTTCGAGTACAGTTGCACCTTTTCCAATGGATGCTTCAACTTCTCCAAGTTCTTGAATCGAATGCACTGCACCGCCTCTCGATGCAATAATTTGTTGCAAAAGTGCAGATAAGACTTCAACATTCCATTCGACAAGGCGGTCAACCTTGGACATCCCATCGATTTCGGCGAGATCATAATCCAGACCATCATCAAAGTTATCGTCTGCCTCAAAATCGTCGTCAAAATCGTTTCTTGCAGCTACCTCTTGTCGTATCCAGAAGGTTTGCATATTCCCTTTGCCCTGTACAGCGATCGTATCCGACCGGGGCAATAGCCATTTGTCATAACCAGCTTTTTTCACCAAGTCAGCCGTAGCTTGGGACAGCTGGATGCGATTTGTCTCGCCCGCATTTTGCATTCGGTCCGCAGTGCCCACCGTATCACCAAACAACCGAAACCGACTGGACTCACCTCGCATCACTCCAGCAGTGACTTGGCCACTACAGATTCAGTCAGAGTCTATGTGAGCAACAGGGAATAGACGGTTTCTGGAACACCATACATTGCAATTTTATACCTACCTGTGGATTCCAATTCTCAATGCCAAATCTGCTGTATCAGGTCCAAGTGAAACTTCTAGTTTCACCGTGGTTTCCTGCATCTTCTTCAGACAAGATCGAGCGAATTTACATGCTTGGACCGCGTGTTCATCTGTGGGCTCAGGGATCCCCGACACGGCGACATAGGAATCACCGACGGACTCAGCTCTAGACATACTGTAACGGTACGCAAGCATGTCGAATTCGCTGTGGATCGTCTCCAGTAGCACAAAGACTTGCGCCGGTTCACGTGCGGAGGACCAAGCATTGAAACCGACAATATCAGCAAAGACGACCGTAGTATTTGGAAAGAGATCGGCCATTGGTGTTGTTGTAACGTTGCTTGTTGGCTCAAAGTCATATGGATCGACGTCCAACATACTAGTCTCTTCGTTCATTGGTCCGAGATGCAAGGTTCGATTGGCAAAAGGATCTGAAGGGAAGTCACTCGACAACATCGATACCATCGTCTCATCATCGCCCCCCCTCCTTCCTCCCACTGTAAACATACTTGGACGGTTCCCAGGACGGTTGGAGACTGCAGTCGGAATCGCAGGAGGAATTGGCGCTGAAATTATGGTGTCGTCCACTTGCGACACAATTGACTCGTCAATATCCGGCATGGTTCTCTCGCCCATGCCAGAAATAATAGTTCCATCCATATCCATCGAATCTTCTTTCCTTGCATTCCCTCTTCTTGATTGGTTCCCATAAGACGATTGGATTTCACTTGACATCATTGTCTCGTCGTCAGTCGCTTTCGTCAGGTCTCCTCCAAGAAGCATGACCACAGAATCCAGCAGTGCTATGACTTCGCCACTTGGTTCCTCATAGAACGGTTGGCGAGCTCGTGTTATTGGAGTCTGGAGATCATCATTTTTCACCAAAACGGACTCTGGCCATCGATTCACCAAAACTTCGATGCTATCGAACGGCAAGCTCGAGAAGCAGGCCAGGTGAAGCGGTATATTTCCAGTATTATCAGCGCGCCTGATTGCATCGGGATACTGTTGCAGCAAATATTCTATAATGTGTTTCTCAGCCTTGTTCAGACACGCGGTATGAAGTGGTAAATTGCCGTTGTGCGTAACGCACTGAGCTGCTTGGGGAAAAGAGCCGATCAAATTTCGAAGCTCGTGCAGGTTCTGCGGGTATTCACAGGCTTCATGGAGATTTTCTCCCACCATTTGAAGGACTTCGGGAGGAAGTTCTTCATCCACATTGGGTGCCACGCTATCGTCTTCAATTGTTGCAAGTGGAGGAGCAGCAACGTAATCGTCTCGTCTCCTGTCAAATCCTCCTCTTTTAGTACCTGATCTCGATGACCTCGATGATCTGGAGGAGGATGAGGAAGATTTTCTTCCTTTGGGAGATGTGAACCCTCCTGTTGATCGAGAGGATGATCGAGAGGATTTGTGTCTGTGACTTCGTCGGGAGGGAGCACGAGGAGATGCCGCGTCCTCATGTGTGTTACCATCGCTATCCAATCTTCTGTCCAGCCACCTGGTCAAATCATCAAACTCTTCCTTTGTGGGATTGTACTTTTGCAACATGTATCGGGCAATTTCAAAAGAGTCCTTTCCAAGTTGGTTTGCCGCTTGTGGGTACTCACGAACCAAAAACTTCATGACTTCCAATGAGCAACCAGACCACGCAGCTGCTTCCAAGGGCAGGTGTTGACTCTTATCTGCTTGTTTGATTCCTGCTGGCCATTCATCATAAAGAAAGCGAACAATCTCAAGGGGTCGCGTTGTCAGACAAGCAATATGAAGTGGAATGCGGGAATGATTCGCTAGTCTTTGAATTCCCTGTTTATCATATTCCAAAAGTTGTTCGAAAACAGCAATAGAATCATTGTATGCGGCCGCCATATGCAAGGGCGTCCATTCATTTTTATCAACCTTGAATATGCTATCCGGTACCAACTGAATCAAAGAGGATACCACTTCGCCTGAACTTTGAAACGCAGCAGCGTAATGCAAGGGTAGCCTCTGTTCCTCTGCAGTGATTTTCTTTGCAGCAGCTGGAAAAGACTTTAGTATAGTAAGCACGATTTTGGCATCGTTAATCTTGGCACAAGCATAGTGCAGAGGGTGCCATCCTCCTTCAGACTCTTTGGCAATGACCGATGGGTTCGCCTTAAGCAGATATTCAATGACATCAATTGGTGCCTCTTCTCTCAAGGCATAATGAAGAGGACACATCCCAGTATTTGAAGCTTCACTAAGTCCAGCTTTTCCTTTGCGGGCGTTGCCCAGGTATTGGACGATTTCCAGCTTCGCTTCCTTAGCACAACACCAGTGTAACGCAGAAAGACCATCTTTGTCTCGGTATTCAGTCGCCTTTGGATAAGAGTCTACTATCCTTAGAATCTTATCAAAATCTTGCGGCTGTTGTTTGCACGCTGTGATCAAGTCAGAGCATAGTTGAGCAACTTTCTCTTTCTTTCTCTTGCCACCAAACATGGTAGCTGTAGTTCAACGAAGGTAGTAGGGGTGTGGACTTTTTTTTGTCTTCAGAGTCTTTTTCCTAAACCCTGACGACGCCAGACTGACTGGTACCACTGCCTCCTGGTGACTTCAAACCATCCAGGGCGCGGGCAGGGGTACCTGGTACGGGTACTGTAGGCCATTATTAGACAGTTCCCGTCAATATCTAAAGTTTCTAAACTACTGGCCAAAAGATGGCGGCTGCAATATCTTTGCACCTGGGTGTTTGATCAGAGCGGCTTTTATACCCTTTTGGAATGGTTTTCCTATTAAATGTCTACTTTATTTAGTGTCGGGACCATAAAAGAAATGAAAAAGACGGGGAAAGTCTTGTTCCTCTTGTAGGGTTTCGTAGAATGCTTAAAAATCATAAAATGACTTTTAAAAGGAAGCTCGTATAAAATAATAACTTTGAGGTTGATGATGCCCAACACTTGATTGACATGAGTCGCAGCGACGAGCTTGACAAGAGTGATAAGATCGACATCTATGAGGATGAAGATGAAGAATTAAAGCCAAAAGAGCCACTACGGTTCAATTCAGAAGAAATTTCTCGCAACGAAAACACCGAAACCAAATGAAGGAGGACAAAATTCAATCAAAAGTTGTTCCTTCGTTGGTAGGATGCAATAATGATGTGAAGGAGCTTGTGAAGTTATGACATTTTGGCATTTTGGATGCTGTTGTGAAAGGTGATGTTCAGCCGAACGAAACATGTCAAGAGTAGTTGTCAACACAAAATTGTCATCGTGTGTTTGGGGAACTAGGACTCTATCTAAAAGGAAGTGTGAGATTTCTGGATATCATTGAATTGCTCAGCGAACCAATAGAGAAATTTTCTCAACAGTTGGGACTATCTGAACCGTTCTCGGTCCTGAAGATGTTTGGTGTAAGGAGTCTGACTCCTACCGCTGCACCTTCAAGCATTCCAAGTGGTATGCCAAGTCTGTCACCAACTCAGTTCCCAACAATGCAACCGAGTAGGCATCCAACATCTTTGCCTTCAATCGTGCCGACTCGGGCTCCAACTGGAGGCCCGGCACCACCCCTGACCGGCATTCCAACTGCTGAACAATCAATGATGCCAAGCACGGTTCGTCCATCTATGACCCCATCGTTGAAAGCTACAAACATTCCATCTGAAAGTCCTAGTAGTGCTCGCCCCAATTTAATGTTTTCTGGGACTCCTACATCGACTCCGACAAAGGATTCAAGCTCGAGACCGACAATGCCTTCTTCAAGCATTCCGAGTGAGACTCCGAGCGCATCATCCGTCCACCCACCCGACTGCTGCACCGAGTAGATCACCCTCAGCGGTTCCAAGTTCAACACCAACTGTGTCTCCAGCTCCATCCAGGGCTCCAACTTATAATCCAAGTTCTGATCCAAGCCTGGAACCATCACGAGCGCCAACGACTGTTCCAAGCACCAACCGACGGCAGTCACGTTTCATTGGGTTACCTGTGGTCGTCAAGGAAGGTGTGGTGTGCCTGCTAGGCTTGAGAATTCGCATATTGATATCAGTATTTCAGGGAAAGCAATCGCCGTTTGTTGTTGTTCGGATCCTCCACTCTCAGGTTTTCGAAGACGTGGTGGTGCTGCTTTTACAACATGCCCGTACGCCGAGTCTCCTATTGCTGGCGTGTGCTACAATCAGGTAAATTTCTATGAAGCAGACAGTTTGTGCACAGGTGTAGGAGGGCGGCTTTGCACAAAGGCTGAAGTCGATCGGGACTGCACGAGAGGGTCCGGTTGTGGCCATGATGGTAGAATGATCTGGACAAGCTCCCCAAGCCAGTAAGACCACGATTCTAGAGTTGCATTCGTTCATTCGACAACTATTATACTACTAGAAGGAGGGCCCATCATTTATGGAACTTTGATGCATCCTTGCATACATTGGATGACATTGAGATGATTTACATTCATAGATTGGTCGTATTGGATCGAAATGTTCATGCATGTCATCTTTTGAAGATCATGTGGGAACAATAGAGTTTTGCGATAATCAAATGATGCATTCGCAGTTGCCTTGATCTTCTCTTGATCGGATGGACACCATTGGCGATCCAGTGAGGGCTGGTGAAGGCTTAGAGTACCATCTCGAGGAACCTACAGTACCCGTACCTGGTACCATGTAACAAAAACGCTGCCACGAATGAACGGATGAATAACATACAAAAGTATTGAACGTACCGGTACCAGGTACCAGGTACCAGTTGTGATTGTAGCTTGAAAGATCTTTCGAGGCGAGGAGTCAGTCACGAGTTCTCGAGCAGAAGCACTGTCATGAGACATGTCTCAACGGGATCCAAGAACATTCCCCATAATTGTGGCCGCAACCGTTGCCTTCCTATTTATTCACAAACTGGCCCGTCTCTTTTCAACCTCCAGTAACATTTATATCGAAGCGCCTTTGTTTGTCCATAAAACTCTAACAAATCTATCGTGTCTCGTGTCTGTCAATGATGGACCGGCTGGACAGTCAGTTCAGATCATCATTATCGTCAACATTGTCGTAACCATTATTGAAACAGCGCTCTCGTGTGTAATGATCCAATAGCGACACTGTAATGTCCACAATGAGTAGTCCACAAGCTGAGCCACCTGATAAGATCAAAGAAGTCGAAGCTGATCTGGTTGGCAACATCGAAGATGGAGACTCGCGGTACGGCAAACACAAGTCCAAGCAAACGAGCTCCTCCAGGCGGACGTTGACCCGCTCTCCGCAGAGCAAAAGCAGCAGACAGAAAAGCAGCCGGCACCTCCGTTCACCTCACTCAAAAAGCAGGTCTTCCCGAAGGAGTATCTTAGGGGAAAGCACCAAAGACTTGCATTTTCATGATGCTCGCGACGCTGACAAAAAGGAAAGAGGGAAACTTCCACGAGAAGGCTTGCATCGTAAACACAACCAACACAATCGTGGTTTAAAAGAATCGTATCGACATGCAAGTACGAAGTCTGCAATGAGCAAGAGCAGTGCCGCAATTGATACACTATACGGGGATGAAGCCGATTCTAAGGCCAAGGCGAAATCATCAAGGGGAAGCCCAGCACGTGTACGCGCTCCGGGGGTGGAACATGTGCTGACCCCTTCAAGCAGCAATAACGACGACATTGTGAGTGCGCTGTATGGAAGTGACTCGGATACCAAAGCCAAGGCATCAGGACGAAATTTTGTCCCTGCAGTTGTTCCAGGCGTGGAATATGAATATTCGCACAGATCTACAGCCATTAAATCTCCCACTAGTTCCAAAAGTAATAGAGCCATCAATACGTTATATGGAAGTGATGCAGATGTGAAGTCCAAGGCGAAATCGTCACGGGGGTTGGCATCGGGAAACTATCCGGGTATGAAACAGTACAATAGTCCTACTGCTACCAATAGATCAACGGCCAGTACCATGAGCAATACGACTATCAATACGCTATACGGGAGTGATGCGGAATCAAAGGCCCGGACAAAAGGATCAAGGGGGGGTGCTGAACCTGCCAGCGTTCCTGGTGTTGAATATTTGCACAGCCCACCAGCAAACATTTTATCAACTGGCGGCAGTGCAAGGAGCAATGCCACGATCAACACGCTATACGGAGATGACTCAGACGCCAAAGCCAGAGCAAGACGACCGAAAGGGGGTGGAGACTTGTCTCAACCTTCAGGTATCGAGGGTGTGAACCACCAAATGTCGACGTCTCTAGCTGATAGTATGTTTAGTACGAGCGCTACAGATTTCCAACTTGCAGGAGATGACAATGCTGCTCGAAGGGCAAAGAGGAGGATGTCGAACGGTAGTGCACATTCTTATTCTAGCAACCATTTGGACCCGGAGCGCAAGACGACTGTGTCAACTACCGCGGGAGGCAGCTTGTCGTTTGATGGCATCAGTTGTCGAATGCCCAATGATCCAGAGGCAGCTCCTGATACTGATAGGAACAATTTGACAGTAGAGGAAAAGCCACGGAAGTCTCGGAAAAAGCGGATAGCATGTTTCTTGTTGCTTCTATTGCTTATTGCGGGAGGGGCAGCAGCATGGTTTTTCCTTTTTCGAAACAACAGCCAGATCAAATCTCTTGGCATCCAAGATCCGACTCCTTCTGCGCCTTCGCTATCCAATAAAACAACACTTTCACCTTCGACTCCACTGTTTACGGAATATCCGTCAGCATTGCCTACATCACCGCCAACGGTGAAGCAGCTCTATGAGCGTCCGAGCGAATCCGATTGTCAGTCTATTGCCAGAAACCAAACAATCCAGGGAAGAGAAACGATGGAGACGGCCGATTTCGGGTTGGACGTGGAAGTTGTGCTTTTCGATGGTAGCAACATTACAGAATCATTGGTGCAAGAGCTGTTAGATGCGATTCAGGAAAAGATCCTTCCTTCCTTGGCTGGGTGTTCTGTAATCGTGGACGAGCTATTGGAGGCATGGAGGTTTGTTATTTTTGATGCCTTTGTGAAAGGTAATGCTGCACGAGACGAAAAATGTCAAGATAGAGAATTGATGACGAAGAATTGTCATCGGGTTTATGTGGAACTGGCTCTTTTTCTGAAGGGCAAGGTCAGGTTTCTTGATATCATTGGTCTGATCAGTGACGGAACATTGAATTTGTCGAATCATCTGGGTCTATCGGATCCATTTTTGGTTGTCAATCTTTTTGCTGCAAGAGGATCAACCGCTGCTCCCACGAGTGTGCCAAGTGACATGCCGAGTTTGATTCCTACACAACTTCCATCGGTGAAACCAAGTACCAATCCAACAAATGTTCCTTCAATAGAACCTACTGTGGCCCCCATTGGAGAGCCATCAGGCTTTCCAACACGCATCCCTTCTTTGCAACCATCAATGAACCTAACCGCAAGACCGACAGATGTACCATCAGAGAATCCAAGTTTTAGTCCAACAGGAGGATTGAGTTTTAGTCCAACAGGAGCATCGAGTTTTAGTCCAACGAGAGCTCTAACGGTATCACCGACTTTGAACCCAACAAGGAATCCTACACCAAATCCAACACCAAATCCAACAAGCAGACCAACCCCACTTCCGTCCCCAGCACCAACACCACAACCCACACCCGGTAAGTGACGGTTCGTGCAATTGTAGCTATTTGGCACTTTGTGTTAGACCCATTTCTAACAACTTTCATCTATTTAAAAGCAATCGCCGTCATTACGCAGGCGAATGGACCCTACACGAATTACCCTGTGAGTCAATCTTCTACTAGTTGGGGTGGTGTTGCAATGAGAGCAATCGATGGCAACAACAGTGGGTTATTTTGGGAATCATCCATATCACATACTGAAAGTGGTCCAAATGAGTGGTGGCAAGTCGATTTGGCAACTGGTGCTGGAAGGCCTGTTGTTGTGGACTACATTACTGTGTGGAATCGAAATGAACGTAACTATGCACTACGGCTCGCTGGGTCGATTGTGCATCTTCTTGATGCGAATCAAAATGACATTACTCCACTAAGTGCTAGTAATGTACTGACTGATGCCAGGGAAATAACTGTCAACTTCGGGATGGTACCAAACGTCGGTTTTGTAAAAATCAGCCAAAATGGAATTTTGGCACTTGCCGAAGTTGAAGTATATGGATATGTGCCGTAAGAAGATCACACTGTAGCGAAATGCAACAGATAGTCAGGTGGTATAAGCTTGTTAATTGCGAGAAACGGCATCAGGTTGTAGCAACAATGATCGCCTATGGCGCAGTGCTAGTTGGCCAACCGTGAATGTAGGCAGTGCAAACTGAAGGTAGTTGTTCGGGTCACTTCCTTGCTTTGGTAGAAAACACATACCGGTACCTATGTTCATAGTTTCAGCTCTATTAGCATACTATTACTATAGTGCATCAATTCACCCATCGGGGATTCCTGATAGGATCATTCCCTAAAATGGAGCACAAATTGCATCCGTTGAATATCATAGTGCAGCATAACATGATGGAATCAATCAATCAGACAGTGCTACAGTGGTTTCGAAAAAGGTGGCGTTCTCATTGAGAGGTCTTTTTCTTTTCTCGGCGGAACCTTTTTGCCTAATAGAATTCCGCGTATTCATCGAATCATCAATCAATCCTTTTTTTAAAAATGCTCTCAAGCCCCACCTTGAAGTCCAAAACGTGCTCAAGAACATGCGAGGTCGCAAAAGCGAACAAATTGCGTTCGATTTTACCTCCCTTAGTACCTGGTACGATACCGTACTGGCACTGCAGGTACAGTTACCAAAAGAAGATGATCACTTTTCAAGTGGGTTCTCCACAAGGATAAGGATACGGCACACAAATTTTTGACTTCCCATTTTGACATGTCCAAGAACAACAACAAAGAAAACATGAACGATATCTACGGCGACGAGGAGATCAATCTGATTGATCTGAAACCCGCCGACGAAGAAGTTGAAGAGAACACATCCCACAAGGAGGAGGACGAGATTGAAATGGACTTCGCCAAACTCAAGTTTATCGAGAATCCTGTGGAAGAGATGAGCAGCAGCCGCCTGCCACAGACGTTATCTGGCTGTGTTGGATATATGGACGGCTTGTACGTACCTTATTTGTTCGTGTTCTGCTTTTTGGTGCACGTCTCAGCCATCGACGCTGTCTCTACAGGCCGCTGCTGGCACCCAATGCTGACCAGAGCAACCCGCAGACGATCGTTGACATGATCAACTCTGTCGCGGCTTCTGATGAATCGGTTGTCGCTGCTCGTGTTCCCAAGAAGACACTTCATTCTGATGCTTTTGGACCATTTGGTCACACAGTACGTACTGGATGTATCAGCTTTTACAAAAAGTTCGAAACCATCTATGCTGCTGCTGAAGGCCGTTGGTAAGTCTCTCTGGAATTTGGTGAATATTCAATCCACGGATTCCAGCCTTACTTTTCTTAATATCACTGGCGCACTTTAGGTTGTTACTGGGTCCGCTGGTAGGCTGGATGAACAAAGGCAAGAATGTTTCCTTGGATCAAGATGTAATCCGCGTGAACGACGATCAAGTTCTTATCATTCGCATTATCGAGGGCAACGTGGGTCTGATAACCATTCAAGGTGTTCACCACTTGCTCGATGTGAGTACACGCGAATCGATTGGATTTCTTCGTCGTTTCTCCAGTCTCACTTTTTCTTCATACTATTGTGCACAATTCAGGTGGGTACACATGTGTTTAACAGTGGAACAGTGAAGTACTTTGGAGCCAAGAACTTGGCAAACAACAACTACATGAGCCATGGACCCTACCACTATGTCAACGTTCCTCGTGGAAAGGTATGTGTCGATATCTACATTTGGTACATTGCTATTCTAAAGTTGAATCTCATGGTTCCCCAATAGAATGCAAAAGTGTGGGCTCTTGTAGAGTCTGATGGAAAAAATGCACTAGTTCCTCGCCTGATTAAGGAAGGGGAGCACTTTGTTCGTTCGACCTTTTTCAAGTTTGAAGGAATGGCGAACATCAGCGACGAATACATTGGCCATGATTCCATTCACATTCTGAATGTTGTTAAAGGAAGTGTTGCGAAGGCCAATTGTGACAACGAACCTCGTTTATTTGGTGAGGGCTTGCATATCATCGAATCGCCAAACTTTTCGTACATAGGAAGAGAATTGATTTCAATGGATAACCTGTGCATTGCTCATGGTACTATCACGATCCTACAAGTGCCGAGGGGAAAGATTGCATTGCTCTGGAAGAGTAACCAGCCTTGTTTGATCGAACGACCTGGTTTATACGAGTTCAACAGCAATGATGTGTTCTTCAAGGAGTTTGTCGATTCAAGCGCCCGTTACATTGAACTGGGGGCGAAGAAAGGTAGGTTTCGGTATTTACCCGCTGCACAAGTTGTCTCTTGATTGGGTCTCATCTCGTCCACGCATCTGCGCTCCTTTAACCCCAGTTATCTTAGTCTATACTGGAGAAGTGGGTATCACCTACGATAAAGGCCACTTGCAGATACTTGAGAATGGTCATCATGTTATCGATAGCTCAACTCACATTTTTGAGAGATTCTTGTCTACCAAACAAAGGTATGGCCATCATTTTGCTCGACATTTTTTCTTGATTACAGCTTTGGGCTAACATGCGTTTATCCAAGGAGTATAAGGCTGATAACCTACAATGCCAACCACAAGATTGGAAAGACCCAGAAACAGACGCAGAAAGAACGCGCCAAATATGAAATTGGTGGCAAGAAGGTGAATCATGAAACCGAAGACCAAGCACATAAGAACACCTTTGATGACGATTCCGATCTCTTGGTTTGTGAGACGAAGGATTTGGTAAAAGTTGGCGTGCGGGCGGACGTTTTCTACTCGATTGTGGATCCTGAGAAGTGCATCCAAACCTTGAACACAGGCAAGTCTATGACCTCGCTGCATTTGTCGCCGCGACGAGCTGCAATCGGAAGAACGCACGCTTCGGAAACCATGTCTCACACTCTTTCGCCAATGTCTCGAACTGTTCAAATGCAGACGAACTGGAAGGTAAGTGTCAAAAAAAGCTCATCGCACGACTGCTTTGTAATTGAAACTCACATGCATCTCGTACACCATTTCGCCAAAAAATGTTCTACCCTTTCAGATTTGGTCCGGGAGACTGCCGTTTCGACGTTAACCAATATCATTCGTTCTACTGGCTTGAATCAAATTGCTCAGAGCCGTCAGATCTCTGCGTCCGAGTCGGAACTAGTCGCCGAGGCGGCTATTGTTGATGGCGAGGGCGAGGCAGGTGATGTATCTGCCGTCAGTTACTTTTTCGACCGTGCACATGATGAGTTTATGAATAAGCTGCACGAAGACTTTGTCAGTCGTTATGGTGAGTTTTGCTTGTTAGGCTGTTTCCACGCGAACCGAAAACCGAGTGTTTTGGGTCTTTTTCGTTTCTCGGTTTTCGGTTTCGTAAAAAAAACACGTCCACACGAACATTTTCCCTCCAAAACTGAGTCGGCGGCCGGATTTCGGTTGGTCGGCGGCCGAATATTTGGGCAATATCTCGGCGCCGAAAACCGACAGCCGGATTTTGCCTGTCTCAGCCGAATCTTCCACAAACCGTTGTAATGCGTAGGTTCTGACACAACCAAGTGCCTCCAACACCACATATCAAGCAATCTACTGGATTCCAACAACATCGACAATATGGACCACTCGTCCTACCAACCTATGAGCTTGAATAGTGATGATGGCAGCAGTACAACCAGTGGTAGCGACAGTACTAGCAACAGCAACAGCAGTCGCGACTCCAACAGCAGATCTTTGAGTGATGGCAGTCAGGACTTAAGCAAGACCTCCATTGGCACCTTTGAGGCACCCTTCCAATTTGAATTTGATATTGGTTTTGATTTCTTCTAAGACTTTGACCTCAATTTGAGGATCTTTCCGCAATTGTGTCATTGATGGTGAGGGTTCGTCCCAAGGCGATTCGTCAGTATCATCAGTGGACATGAGGGGACGGGGCCCAAGAGCGCCAAGAGTCAAAAAGGATGTCTACAACTCTCCATTTTACAATTTCTACAACAGGAATTCCGACGACCACCATCAGCATAGAAACGAAGATGCTATTGCAGCTATTGATTCAGTTTGGGACAAAGACAGCACTCGTGCTAAAAGGTTTCGACGAAGGTTTGGCATTCCCTACAGCTACTTTGATCAAGTCGACAATGATTGGAATAGAAGTGGTGAATACAGGGAAGAAAAGAGTAGGAGTAGAAGAGCAAGAATTGACATCCGAATTTTTATTATGGAAATAGAAATAGCACGACATAAAACTAATGTATTTTGACTTTGGCCTAACTATAAATATGAATAGCCTTTCTCACGCGTTAAATTTGTAGCCTTCGTTTAGATTAAAACTTTTGTGCGGTAAAATATTTCATGTCTGTTCTAGACCAATGAAAGTGGTTGAAAAATGTCAGTTTCTGATTGGCTGAGGCGGGTAGAATCCGTATGCCGAATTTCGTTTTTGCGTGGAAACGTGTTTTTTACCCATCTGATTTTCCAAAACCGAAAATCTCTGGCTGGATTTGGCATCTTTTCGGTTTTCGAAATTCGGTTCGCATGGAAACAGCCTTACTCGTATATTTGTGTACTCAGTCTCTCACTTTTTTCGTCCCTTGAAATCCTCCAATGCCAACCCCCTTACTGTGCTCGATTGACCAAAAAAGGTGTTGACATTGCGAATATTCGGTGAGTTTTTAAACGCCAGTTGAGATTGTTGGTGTCTGACAAGCCGCTGATTTGTTTTTTTTCAATCCTCTTGCAAATACCAGATTGGAATCGTTCAAAATCATGGACACTGAGCTCGCAAATGAAATTGCTCAGAACTGTTTGACCACAGCCCATGTTGAGAATCAACTCTCAAATCTGCAAGGCCAGAACTTGATCGCGACGCAAAAGGAGCAAACTGCTGCCGACTGCGAGAAGATCAAGGCTCTATCTGAAGCAACTGCTTTGCAAACTCGCTCCGATGCCGAGAACGCTCGTGGAGTTGAAGCTGCAAAGGCAGAAGCTGAGGCACAAAGGTGCCGAACAATTATACAGGCTCAAGCTGAAGCAGATGCCATTCTGTGTAAGGCAAAGGCGGAAGCCGAGGCTCTTCGCCTGAAAGCAGCTGCCGAGGCTGAACGCGCGACGTTGCTGAGCCAAACTCGTCTTGGTCAACAGGAAGCCCTCTTCCAAATTTATGCCGACATGGTCAAGAGCAGCAACGAGGGGGTTGACAAGGTGGTATATTTGGATCCTTCTATCAACAAAGACAGCACTTTCGCTCTCGGCAGTTTGGATGGATTGAACAGAGATTTGCACGTAAGTTGTGTTTGACATGTTGCTTGTTTGTTTTCGATCGTGCAGGATTTCAACTGACATGTCTTTTGTTTCGTTTCCATCCATTTAGGCTTTGTCCAAACTTGGTATGGTGGCTGAAACCATGGATAGCCGCACAGATACTGCATTGGATATGCCTTAGAGGATCATGAGATTGCATCATCTCATTTGTTTCATATTTCTGGAACTAATTAATCATCCAAAATCTACTAAGAGCCCTCATATTTTGCTACCTTCTACCGTTCGTGTGACGATGATCAAATTTCTAGTTGCAAGGGGTGGCATTGAATGCGTCTCCGAACCGATTGTGCACATTGTCTGAATGGTTCCATCATTCAATCACATTCAACAAATACCTCATCACACACATTGGAGATATAGTTCATAAAGGAACATTCCTATACCTTTTTCTTGCTTGCTTCTGCGCCGAAAATTGTCGCTCATTCGATTTCGATGTCTACAAAAATGCGTTCAAAAGCTCTTCCGATATCCTGCCTTCCGAACGAGCAACTATGCAGAAGCTCCAAAATGCTTGAGGACTAATACTGTAAAAGGCTCACCAAAACGAAGCTACCGTAGATAAGCAACTCGAGTTTCAGGAACTCTGGTGCTACAACTTCAGCGCCGGACAGCACGGGGTCGACATCTCGTGGCACGATTTGAGTACCGAGGAAAATGATTTTTGTGATGCACAACCAGCTATGGAGCATAACGGAGTTCAGAGTACAATTCCAGCCTAGCTCCTCCAGCAGTCCCAAACAGTTGTTCATAGTTTGTTTTAGTAGGCTCCGCCCAAATCTGTTCGACAGGGCGAACCAACATCGGAGACGAGCAAAACTTCTCTCGCAGACGGTCGACACAGCAGGTGGCGATATTCTTGGTTCGCCAGAGAAAGGGTCCTCGGCCAGCTGTGGGATAATCATTTTTTTAAAATCAGGGTGAACTTCCAGGTGTTAAAGTATCCCCACGAAAGCGACAGTATCATTCAATCGCGATTGCATCTTTCAAGAAAAAATCAGAGCTTCCCAAGGCATTCGGGAGTTTATATTGATGGCATCATGGGAAATATCGATGGAATGAGCCAAAGCGAGAGCTTGGATGATACATAGATCCAAGTCAACGGAGAAACTGTAGCTCCACTAGCTCCAGCAAGTTGGAGGCAAAGGCTCCATCAGTGTGCTCTCAATTCGGAATTTGGACGATGGAGAGTGCTTCTCAGCTAGTCAACTGCTCAGTAACAGCGTATTACCAACTCTCTTTTGTTTCGTCTGCCGAATTTCATCCGTTTAGCATCGCACGTCTGCGAATATTTTGTGAGGTTCTGTGGGGCTACCGAACAAACATTTCGGTCAACCGCAACTCCAATCTTTCAACAGTTTCAGTCTCTGCCAATTTTTTTCATTCCCACGTGGACCATGGTACCTGCCGCTATGAAGAAGCCCACTACCAAGTGAACGAAGCTGTTGTGCAAGAATTCAAAGGTTTCAATCAAAATCTCTTCTTCCCCATACAAATTGACGCTCATTTTTTCCAATAGTTCGCGGTTTGGTGGAGCAAAGGACTGTAGAATGAGACCAATGAATCCTAGGCCTCCAATTTTGGCGAAGATAGATTCTACGCAGGTCGAAGGGATGAACCAACAAACTCTCTGGCCGTCTTGACCGCAACTTCCCACAAATAGAGCAAGCCGACAATGACAAACATGATTCCTGAGGATCCGAGTATTCGCATGGCTGGATTGACATCGACTACGGCTGCTTCTAAATGTAATAGGAAAAAAGAGACATCACAGCTCATTACAGGTTCTAAAATCAAGTAGCTATCAGAGCTTCCATTGCGTCCTGCTGACGTGACGTGATGATGGCTGGGTTTTTATTTTATGCTGGTGGAGCAGTTTATACTATTTATTATACTAGATCCCCCGGGGAGAAAAGAAGGGGAGAGAGGAAGAAAAAAGGAAAAGGAAAGAAACAACGAAGAGAGAAGAAAAGAGGAGAAAGCAATAGGATTGCAATGAAGGGGCTATACAACACAGTGCTGGTTTCACGCATGGCATCGCAAGATGACATACGCTATGATCCTGGCGTTAACGCCAGGATTTAGACAGATTTAGAACGAGGTAACAGTCCATGAATGTTTGATGTGATGATCGATGCGTCGGAACCGCCTACAGCAGTATTGAAATGATGTCCAAGCACCTCTAAGCGAATAACAATATCTTACATCCCTGCATATCGCAGATTAAATCAAAACTCGGAGGCTCATCGCACCGCGATTATTGGTGTCTCGAATACTTCAAGATTGGAAGCATGAACAAAGTGATGTCAGTGTGAAGACGGCAGCCCGATCTTGTGTCGACAACAAACCATTTGGAAGCAAGGTGAATGAAGGCATGAATACTGCTCGACTCTAGCAGCTGATACTATTGCTATGGTACTATTGAAACGCTTACTTATGCGAGACTTGCGAGAATCAGCCAGTAGTGGATTCGGTAGATAATCGGCGGTGTCCTCAATGGACTCAACATTTTGGGAACCAAGCAAGATGAGTAAGGGCCACCACAAAGACCGACTTCATCGCAAAGGGAGTAAATACGTGTCCCACAATTGAAGGCATCGGCCGACTGATACATGATACCGGTACACGTGTACGGTACATACAATAATCAAGACTTTCACAGCGAGCGCGCACCAACGACTTTTATATTATTGTTTGGACAATTTATCCCTGGTTTGGATCGGCGAAAGAGATCGTATTCATAAAACATGGTTTCTTTATTTTATTTGAACACAATAGCGTGGAAGCACCAGCGTGTGCAACTGACTGCTTTCAAAAGAACACTAGGACGATTGGCTTCCACATATACAACAGGACTTTCGAAGCTGTGAGCTTAGATACAGTAATCGTAATCTTCCTCTCCTGTTCCTGTGCAACCCGGCACGGCAGTGAATCCTGCGCGTTGGAAGCAAGTAAGGGCGCCTTGGCAATCAGCATCTTTAGTTGGAATAGAATCGATCCAAGGTTGAGTGAATCACTGAGCAAAGTTCAAGAAAGGCGGGTTTCTATGGATACAATACTTACCTACGTCGCAATCTCCAGCGCAACGAGGGATGGGATAAACGCCTCCGCCAGCTACATCACCACCTACTTCGTTTTCGTAAACACTCATAAGCGTGTCGGTCCTCGGCCGTGGGATGCAAAAGTCATCATTTCCAAAGCCAATCACGTTGGCATTACCGACACATCTTGGGACGCTTCCGCTGCCTCCGCCTTCTCGCTCAAAGCAAATAAATCCAATCGCACAGTCACTGTCGAAATCACAATCTGCGAGCGTACAAAAAAGGGGAAATCGTAGGATACTACTGTCAGCGAGAGTCAAAGATTCAAATATCTCTTCGAGCAATTATCGTACCTCCTTCGCACTGGAACAATTCATAATAGTCAAATTCTTGTTGTGGGTAAACAATTAGACGCTCGAAACCACTCCCAGGATTGTAGCAGTAGTCGAATCCAGGTTGGCCGCCTCCAATGCATCCTGGTACATTTTCACCTCCATTTCGTTCGAAACAGAAAAGTCCGGCGGCACAGTCGCCATCTGCAAATCAAAGTAATAGTTGTGGTATGAAAGCGTTAGAAAATTGTAATTTCAAAAGAAAAAGAGCATGGTTCAGGAGTCGTCATTTACACGCACCGTTATCGCAATCTCCAGCACAACGGCGCAATGGGTAGGCTGAAGCCGGCTGTCGTAGATTTCCAAGAAGCACCAATTGATTGCTTGGAGGAGTGACGCAATAGTTCCAGTCTCCAACACCAACTTCATCAGCATTTCCGATGCATCCTGGAACATTTCTTTGACCACGACTTCGTTTGTAGCAAACAAGGCCTTGTTTGCATTGAATGTCGAAATCACAAGCTATTTTGTAAAAAGGATCATGAAAAGATGGGTTAGACGTGCAGAATGATAAATAGTGAGAGAACACGAATCTTGAAACCCTAAGCAATCCATCATTGTTGTCTTACATGCAGCACACCTTTCAAGCGCAAAGAAACCAGTATTTCCTTGGTCTTGGAATCGCAAACATGCCGTGGGATTTGGACAAGAAGTGGGAGCAAAGGTAGGGGCAGGCGTGGGTCTGCGTGTTGGAAAAGGTGTCGGATTTGGGGTGGGGTTATTGGTTGGATTTCTCGAGGGTGGAATCGAAGGGAATCCTGTAGGGTTGATGGATGGCAAACCCGTTGGCATCCTAGAAGGCGAACTGCTAGGATTCTTCGATGGCCCCGATGATGGCAGTGGGGATGGCGCTCTAGAAGGCGAACTGCTAGGGTTGCTCGATGGCTCGGATGATGGTACTGAGGACGGCATGTTGCTAGGGGCCACGCTCGGTGCGCCGGTTGGTGCCCCTGAAGGTGTGCTTGTTGGGTTGCGGGAAGGAGACGCACTGGGTGCGCCAGATGGTGCCGAGGAAGGGTTGCTCGATGGGTTGCTGGAAGGAGTTGAACTAGGACTGGCAGTTGGGCCTCGAATCGACGGTCGCGAACTCATAGAAGGACTTCCCGTTGGCTCATGGGATGGTGATGATGAAGGCATGCCCGATGGTTCGTTTGAGGGCGTTGAACTTGGAGAGTTGGAAGGAGAGGTGGATGGGACCTTCGACGGGGAACTGGAGGGCGTAGCAGTTGGCATACCAGAGGGTGCTCCAGAAGGCTGCGAACTAGGATCCTTAGACGGGGTAGAAGTAGGTGCATTGGAAATTGACGGAGCCCTCGATCCCGTGGGTGTTACGGTTGGCGGAGGCGATGGAGGAGGTGTGCGGGGTACACCCTCGCCATTGTCATCCACAGGTGACCTTGTTGGTGGATCAGTGGGAGGAGGATCTTGTTGAAGAAGTTGATCGAAAGCTTGGAATGAAATCAAGTCTCTCTCGACTTCACTTGCAACCTCATTCGCACTAGCCGACGTCACAGCTGTCAGCAGGAATGCTCCCAGCACAAATTTTCTATTGAGAATATACATCGCGCTATTGATTCTCTTCAGCTTCCTGTTCTTATCGTATAGTGATTGGCAAACGCTTCTGTTTCAATCTTAGTAACGTCTGGGGGATGTACAATACTGTAAAGATTATTCACGTCGTCTACTGCTTTCATGAGAGTGCCGATTCTCGTTTCAGCGATTTTTTACACAATCGATCGCCACAAAATTTTAACGGGCCGTTAATTTGCACGCGTGTATGGTCTCGGGTGGTGTGTATTAGAGAAAATCTCACGGCGTTATCCGACGCCAGCCGACGACTAATGGATGGGCACGTGCACTTTTTCCGCGCCTCTTTGCCTCATTGGATTTTCAGACCAAACAGAAAAAGACAAACGGAAAACATGAAGCTAATCGTTCCAATTTTAATTTTGTTTCTCGTTCAAGCCGATGCTTCAAAACCCAACCATAATCTTCGAAAAGACACAGAACCGCGAAGAAGACATCTGATATCGTTCAGTGCCTTCGATCAACTGCTCGCAGAAGGTGGTGCTGAAATCGCCAGTGATGGTTCGTCTCCAACTCTGGCACCCGTGACGTCGTCGGCTTCCAATATGGAAGCACGAACTACGTTGACTCCCACAGTTTCACCAACCAAGATAACTACGTTGACTCTCACAGTTTCACCCACCGACAAGCCAACAACTGATGCACCCCCAACCTCTTCTCCGACTGACCGCCCGACAACCGATGAACCGTCAACGTCGTCTCCAAGCACCTCTGCTCCCACAACGTCCAAACCAACAGATTCTCCCCCAGTAGCCACTTCGGCCACTCCGACCTCTCCTCTCACAACGTCAGAACCTACAAAGAATCCAACCACACTTCCAGCGACGTCCATTCCAACAACAGCGGCAACACCTATACCTACTACAGCTACAGCTACAGCTACTCCTACTGCAACTGCAACTGCAACTGCGACACCTTCATATTTTGTCCAAGACAGAGTTGCATCCACCAGAACATCCTCCATTTCCTTGGAAGTGAAGGGAGAGGCAGCTCCGAACCAGGATACCCTTGATTCCATATGCAGCGCCACGCAAACCTATGTCAATACAGTCACCAAACGTAGTTTTGGTAAGAGTACTGTGACCACTTTGGATTGCAATGTGTCCATGGGACAAGTTCATGCCACTGCCGTAACGAAATTCCCCGATGATGGACAAGCTCCCGATGCCATTACCTATGACGACTACATTCAAGTCGTCATGATATCGGACGAAACCATCTCGACGCTTCCCTCAAAGATTTCCGAAGCAACCTCATCCTTGGGTATGAGCCAAGAAGTCAAGGCAGCAGTAGACACCTCAGTCCATCCACCAGTGCTCCAACTTTCTTTTGAAGAATTGCATGACTCAGCTGTTACTATGCGACCGACATTTACCGTTGGGGGCGCAATCATTGTTGCGTTCTTCACTGTTTTGTTGGCATAATCAAGGTATCGGCATGTGTCGGCTGAACGCGCAACTCACACCAGACTCTTGTATCATTTTGTTACAGGAAGATGTATTATACATACATGTGTGTGTGCTCCGTCTTTTGTTGGATTCCATATGACGTGATGTGGTGGAATCGCTAGTTTTCTTCTGCATTGTGTAATCAATAAGCTGTTTATTCATTAGGACTAGGGCTATTTTTTTAATTTTAATTTGGCATGTAATAGAAATGAATGGATGGGTAAATGGACACACTGCGTCTCGTCTTCAAGCTGACTGACCGATTGACCGATCGATTGGTCATTCATTTCAATCAAATAAACAAGCAATAGTTGCTGGGTTGTATCATAATGTCAACTCTATATCAACATTATAAAAGTGCAGCCTGTTTCAAGCCGCAGGTCATCCACGGGTACATTGCTCGCCTTCCTTAGTATTGCTCACCGGCGCCAACTCCAAGAAGAGCATCAAGCCGCTTGAGTGCTTGCTCAAATCGTTGGCACTTGTCAGAATCATCAATCACACACTCGTCCAACAATCCAGCTTCCACGCCTTCGTGCTCGCCACTTAGCACTCGATCAATCCAAACATTGGCAAAGTGTTCTGTTTCGTCGCCAAAGTCCTTGGCAGCGGCTCGCACATCGGCAATGGCGTCGGCGAGTTCTGGGTCACTTGGTGGAGATTGAGCAACGGCCAACGAGGTTCTTGATATTTGGATGTAGCTTGCTGTTGGAGCGAAAGCATCGACGGCAGCGCTGGAAGCAATGAGTGCAATGATGGTGGAAAACTTCATGATCGAATTTGTGAAATGGTTGTTTTTTTGGTGCAAGGTTTGTAATTGTAATAGGTATTGGTGTCAACAAAGAATCTGACTGCTATTACCACAGTACAGTATTGTAAGGAACTGTTCTCTGTAGGTACGAGTATGGTACCTGCGGTACTGTACTGTAATAAGCGAAGGAAGCCGAAGCCGAAGCGAACCCGCACAAGACTCCGACTTGATCGACTAAAAAATGGATCTTCGATTGATTCGATTGCTCTACAGTAACTAGTACGTACGAATGAATGAATCAGGGTGTACTTGTACCTGGCATCCCATATATGTTCCCCTCCATGGTGAGTGAAAGTGATTCGTCCTCGCGTACCAGGTACGGTAGTTCTGGAATCACTTTATTCTGAAGAAAGTGGATTGCACCACAAGTCATTCTTCTTCGTTCCCCAATTCTTTTTTTTGTGTGTTGCTTTTTTGTTACTGTACAGTAGGTGCATACCGGTATGGAAGTCAACCCAACTTCAAACTTTCTTGTTCAAACATGTTGTGAAAAGAAAGACGAACTCAGTGGTAACGTCGGGTGAATTAATGGCTGATCGTCTCTGGGCAGGAGGTTTACTCCATGTGACTCCATCCTGGCACCCAATCTAAGTAGAGGAGACCCATGAAGGTCCGAGCGATCGTCTGGCTCCAGAAAATTCGACTATTGATCGCCAGTGCCAAGCTGGCACGATTACTAAAGTTCAAAGTAGCCCTCGACGAGCAGCTTGCGGTAATAGATATTATACTCTCAGTGCGAATGAGGCTTAGGGGACTCGAAAATGTGGAATATTCACCTGCTTTGAAGGACAAAGACTTCAATGATCTGGCCAACTATCACCTGGACAATGACAAGCACGAAAAGGGTAAAAGGGTAAAAGGGTAAAAGGGTTCGTTCAGAGATGCAGAGACTGCGAACCTTCGCAAAACTATTAGTTACCAATGGATACACTGCTTTTGCTACAATGTTGGCTAGGTACACGAAAATCAAGTATTCAACACTCCTCATTGCGCTTCTAGGCGAATTGGGTCGGCCGACGTTTGCAAATCTGATGAAGCACTTTTTGAAGATTGATTTTGATGGTCTTTATGAGATGTATCATCCATTAGCATTGCCTCTCTCACCGGCATTACAAAGCCTGAAGATACAGTAGTGATTTCTTGTTTGGAAATGGGCACGGAAATCGTCCTGGAAACAACAAACAGTACACCGCGGATTGGTATTCAATTGCACTCAAGAATTTGAAGGGGGCAATGATTGTCAAGGGGCAAGTATCACACTACTGGGCATTGTTCGCGAATATCAAGCACGAGGCATTGCTTCTTGCTTCTTGGAATTGAAAGAAGCCGAAACGGGCAAAGGGTGTAAACATAGTCGGATGAGGGTGCAGCAAAGTACCCGTAACGACATAGTGCGGTGTGGAGATCAAGACCTGCAAAAGTTCAAACGAGCCAAGGCAATTAAGGAAAAGGCCCAACTAAAGATCGAACTGGACCTGGGAAAAATCGAACTAGCCAAGGCAAACGAGGAGCAAATGGTATACCGTTAGCTAAAGATCAATCTAGCAAAACTGTTTGACGAGCAAAAGGCCCAGCGGTAGGCCGGTCAAGACATGCGAGAAATCGAACAAGCCAAAGTACTCGAGGAGGAAAAAGCTGAGCAAAAGGATCAACAAGTCAAGTCTCTTCAAGAAAGTAAGAATATTTGCTCAAATGAGTAAGAGTACCAATATGTGACACCAGAAAATGGAAATATAGTTGAATACGGTACATCACTATCGGTACTATCGTACTTTTTGGTATATTCTTGCAGACAAATCCGACCGAACAAAAAATTGAGATGGAAGACAGAACCTATGATACTGTAATAAACTTCGAATGGTGGAAGTTGTTGCGAGTACCAAAATGGTAGGAAAGCACCGAAGAGAGCGTCCACGATATCTCGAACTGAGAAATGATAAGATCTCATAATATTTATGTCTACATTTTTTTTTATCAAACTTTTGAAATATACAAGTAGGACTACATGAAATTCAGATGAATGCCTCATCCCTTTGCGCAATAATGATGCTGATGCGGTTGTTGCTTCTCTTTGCTCGTCATGTCTTATAAGAGTTCTATATGCAGTAGACGTAGTCCCGCTCTCCTTCGAAGAATGATGATGAATGAATGACAAAACTAATATGTTTTTTAAACTTTTGAAACATACTGAAACTCCGGTACCGGTCATGAAATTCGGATGAATGCCTCATCCAATAGTCCTAGCCTAGCGCGCAATGACGATGCTGCTGCTGTTGTTGCTTATGTTTACTTACGTTTGCTCGTCAAGACTTATAAGGCTCATATGCAGTAGTCGTAGTCCTGCTCTCCATCTCCATCACACCCAGGCACGGAATCAAAACCATCTCTGTTGAAGCAGGTCAAACCAGCGGCACAATCTTCATCTGGTGCAAAGAAATAAGAAACAATGAGAAATACAGCGTTTTGAAAACAAAAATACCACACCATGAAAGCTTGCTTACCTGTGTCGCAATCTCCTTGGCAGAATCCAATGGGATATATTCCAGTATTTGCCACTTCAAGGTCATCGTAAACACTAGCAAGAAAGTTTTCCGATGGCCTGGGAATGCAATAGTCATCGGCTCCGCCTCCTAGTTCGTTGGCATTTCCAAGACAGTCTGGAACAACTCCATCGTCCCCAAATTGCCGCTGGAAGCACACCAGTCCATTGGCACAGTCTATATATATTTTTTAATTAATGAAAGTGAAAATGAAAATGAAAATGAGCGAATTATACACACATTTCTTTCGTTTGGAACAATTTACTTACCAGAGTCGAAATCGCAATCTCCTTCACATTGGTTTAGCTCGAAGTATTCCCACTCTTCCTCTGGATCACCAATCCAGTTGAGAGTGACTTCTGACGTGTTTGGATCGAAACAGTAGTCCCAGGTTGTACCTCCAAATCCGATACACCCATTTACCACCTCGTCTCCAGCACGCTCAAAGCACGCCAAGTTTCCCGCACTTTAGAACGACAAATATAATGTTAGTGACTCGATGTATGGTCAAAGTCGAAGAGTGCATTGTATTTAACGAACCAATCATCATCTACGTCGCAATCTCCCTGACACTTGCCAAGAGGGAATACAGATGCTGGAAGACCCTCGTCTCCAACAAGCACCAAGGTGTTGTCGGTAGGCGGCTTAATGCAGAAGTCATCAAAGCCATCACCAACTTCGTCAGCATTGCCTTGACATCCTGGGACACCGACGGTTCCTGCATCGCGGAAGAAGCAAATGAGACCGAACTCACAGTCCGAATCATCATCGCAATCTTGGGATTGAGAGAAGAGGAAAATGTGAGATGAGAGTGAAAAAAGTCTGACTGGAAACGATGAAATGGCTCACCTCCTTGGCATTCTGCTAGACCAAATTCGTCAAACAAGTCATCTTCGTCGAGGAAAAGGGCTGGAATGGTGGGGGCAGCATTGGTTGGAGGAGGAGTCGGAAGGTTCGTGGGTTGTGGTGTTGGCTGTGGTGTCGGTTGTGGCGTTGGCTGTGGCGTTGGCTGCGGCGTTGCGGGGATGGATGGCATTGTTGGTGGTGGTGTGGGACGAGGGGTAGTTGCTACTATTGGTGTCATCGCTGTTGGAGCTGGTGCTGTTGGTTGTGAATTTGGACGTGAAGTAGGGCGCCTTGTTGGTGGACGAGTTGGTCCTGGTGTAGGAGGTATGCTCAGTTGCATCTGCGACACATCGAATTCGGTCCATTCTTCATTCTTGGCATGGTTGGCATCATTGACGTATTGTCTTCCTCTTGTGTTTCCAAGTTTTGCTTCGGCGTTGCGAATAGTCTTGGCAGTGACATGGTTCTTATGCGAAAGCAGGAAAGTGCTTAACAGAAAGGATCGTTTTAGGAAGATCATGGTGAGCTGTCTTCACTCCGGCTTTGGTTATCAAGTAGAAAAATGAGAGGCGTATTGGCGATTATTGAAAATGTGAGTTCAATTGAAGCACAACGTGCATAAGCCGCAGAACATCCATTGCGACTTTTTTGGTAACGGAAAAATATTTAGCTGCATGGATCGACGTCGGTTTTTGGTGATATTTTAAAATAGGTACTCGTATGGATTTAATAGTTAGAGAAAAGAAAGATCATCAATGGTACTCACTATACCGGCATATAAGGTACTATTGCAGTTTAGAGTACAAGCATGGTACAAGCATGGTACAAGCAACGCTGGAGCTTTGATATGACACTTTTTTCTTTACAATTACAAGACATTGATTTTAGAGTGATGGAAAAAAGAGTGCTTGGTTCTTGGGCCAATCTTTCACACTTTTTGCCTCTTACTTTACCACCAGAAAGATCGTCCATTTTTGACACGGCTTTGTTTGCTGCATTGATGAAGCTAACTATTACCACTCAGTGGTGCTATCTCTTTCAGGATGTCTATGGGGTGATACAATAGTCGAAATCTTCTTCTCCTTCACCTTCGCACCCTGGTACATCACCCGTTCCAAGCCTGGTAAAGCACGTCAGTCCTTCTGCGCAATCCACGTCTGTAGTTTTAAGACAGTAAGCAAGTCAGATGGTTAGAAGAGTGATCACAAGGATCCAAAGACAAAACTAATAGCAAGCTCACCAGTATCACAGTCTCCAGCACAATTGGGGAGAGGGTAGAGTCCAAAATCTGCGAGATCGACATCATCGAAGGCACTGATGAGGTAGGTGTCCGATGGTCTCTTGATGCAAAAGTCTTCGCCACCAGTAGCGAGATCGTTAGCATTTCCATCGCATCCGGGAACAACACCATCGTCGCCAGCATTGCGTTGGAAGCAAACAAGTCCAAGATCGCAATCTTATTCGAAAAAAGAAGATGAAGATGAGCTATTTCGGTCACTACCAATTGCGACTTTAAAAGGATGCTGTAAGGTTTGCTTACCAGAGTCGAAGTCGCAATCTTGGGTTTGGGCAAACAATCAGATTGCAAATGTTAGAATGCGGACGTCGAGTCAAAAAGTAGAGCACCGATTATTTTCTCTTTACCTCCTTCGCATTCCTTCAATTCATAGTAACCGTTTTCTTCATCACCAACAAACTCGAGTGCCTTGTCTGGAGTATCTGGTGGAACGCAGTAATCGAAGTTTATCTCTCCTTCTCCTTCGCATCCAGGAACTGGATCAAATTCGGCTCGATAGTAGCAAATCAAATCCCCTTCGCAGTCAGAGTCTATAAATAATATAAATGAAAGCAGAAAGTGCTTTGAGCAACCTCAGGGCACCAAAAGCGCTGTACTGGATTTATGTCTTACCAAAGTCACAGTCTCCAGAACAAAGGCCAATTGGGAATGCTCCTTGATTTGCACCTTCGAAATGATCATATACACTCGACAGGTAAGTAGGAGATGGACGGATAGCACAATAATCTTCGGCTCCAGTTTCAATAGTGTTTGCATCTCCAGTACAACTGGGTACAACGCCATCGTCCCCTGAATTTCTCTGCCAACATATCAAACCGATCCCACAGTCTATGTTGAAAGAAGAAAATGTTCATGAGTGCATTCATCAGTATTGCACACAACTCTTTATACTGTTGCTGGTCACATATACTTACCAGAGTCGAAATCGCAATCTATAAGGAGAAAGATATTCAGTGACATCATCTCTGCATACAATATGCAATCTTGTTGTATCTAATCTACTCACCTCCTTCGCATTGGTTTAGTTCAAAATAGTCCCATTGTGGATCTGGAAGCCCAACAAAGTTGAGTTCTTTGTCGGTTGCGGTTGGGTCAAAACAGTAGTCCCAGGTTGATCCTCCGAATCCAATGCATCCTGGAACGATTTCATCACCAACACGATCAAAGCACGTGAGCCCTTCAGCGCTTTGGAACACAACGATGTTAGTACATGAATAGAAGGTCAAGCGAACGCCCAATGGCCTCGAAATCGTACCAATCGTCATCTATGTCGCAATCTCCCTGGCACTTGCCAAGAGGGAACGCAGAAGCAGGGAAGCCCTCATCGCCCACGATAACAAGCGTATCTTCGGTTTGAGGGGCGATACAGAAATCATCAAAGCCATCACCAACTTCGTCGGCATTTCCGAGACATCCTGGAACGTCCGTGGTTCCTAGATCACGTTGAAAGCAAATGAGACCAAATTCGCAATCGGAATCATCGTCACAGTCTGCAGCAAAGATTTAGTAGAACGGTTAGCCATATGAGTCTTCACACTGCGATCAATTTCAAAACAGGCGCTTACCTCCTTGACATTCAGCAAGTGAAAACTCATTAAAAACATCATCTTCGTCGAGGAAAAGCGAAGCTGGGCCAGTTGGTGGAGGCGTAGTAGGATTTGGAGTTGGTGGAGGTGTAGTAGGATTTGGAGTTGGTGCTGGTGTTGGAGGAGGAGTTGGACCGGGGTTTGGGGCAGTTGTGGGGTCCGGGGCAGTTGTGGGGTTGGGGGTTGTAGGCGGAGTGGTTGGAGGTGCAGTTTCTGCTTCGGTTGTAGGTGGTGGAGTGGGCGTAGGTGCAACAGTGGGTGGCACAGTTGGGACAACCGGAGCCATAGTGGTAGGAATACTCATCTGCTGTTGCACTGCAAAATTTTCCCATTGGTTTTCTAACTCGGCATTTGCTGATGCGGCATCAGCTCCAAACATTAGGTCTCTTCCGCCCTTCTTCCGTTCAACATTTCGAAGTGCCTTTCCCAGTGCCGAGTTGGCATTCAGCAGCATGAAAGCACATAGTACAATCGTTTTTTTCAAGACGAGCATCTTGCAGATGAATTGTTTATCTCTTTTGTATTTGGCCGGAAGCTGCCTCATGGACTTTTTGTTGACCAATCAATCAGCGATCCAAAGATTTTGTGATCTCGCACGTTGCGTCGGTTAGCTCGATAAATACTTAGAGAAAGTCTGAGATATCTTTCTCGTTGTTGTAGATAAATTTCATCCGTTTGACACGCGGGCCGGCAGTGAAACGCAGAGTTGCCCGCACAATTTCGTTGCACTGAAAACTTCAAATCAATGTCCAGCGATATTGTCATATTCTTTGTAATTTACGATGATGGCTTGTTGAAACAACTCTACCTTGCTTGAAATAGTACTTTTTGAGATATGTTTTATAACAATTAGCAATCAACCGCAAAATTTTCCGTACAAGCTGTAGCAAGCCCAAGTCCCAGTTCAACAAAATCTTGATGGCATGTTCCATGTTTGAGTTCCTGCTTGTGGCCTTGATTCATTTATTCATTCGTCCGCTGTTATCGGTGATACTTCCGCCTTTGATAAGCAATAGGTGAAGATTAATAGTGTTTGCAAAATGTCGAATATCGTCCGAAAATAATGGTAAGTCTCTTGTAGTTGTAAGATCTCCTTATTCTAGCTATGATTCCTAGAGCAGGGATGCAGAGACACTTGGCGGTATTGACCTAAACTGCGTTATGAAAACTGTTAAATTGTAAATAAAAAATGAACTTCTCGGAAAGTTATTACGAAAAAGTCTTCTCTAGACGGTACAGTTATTCATTGTGAAATTATCGCATGCGCAGTACAACTGTAAATAAAAAATGAACTTCTCGGAAAGTTATTACGAAAAAGTCTTCTCTAGACGGTACAGTTATTCTTTGTGAAATCATCGCATGCGCAGTACAACTTGTGCACTGACACGCCTTCTACGTCAATTTCTTTCGTCATGGCCATTGTTCTAAGGAACAATGCAGTAGCCATAAGCCTCTTCTCCTGGCCCTTCGCACCCAGGAACTTCTGTAGCAAGACTTGGTCGGTCGAAGCACACGAGACCGGTTTCGCAGTCCTCATCTAGAGGAAAGGGATTAGAACGATGAGAAACATATCCATAAGTTACGAATTCGCCGAACTGATGTGTGTACTCTCTTACCTGTGTCACAATCTCCAGCACAATTGGGAAGAGGGTAGATACCAAAGTCGCCAAATTCAACATCGTCATACCAACTCACGAGAAAGGTGTCAGATGGTCGAACAATACAGAAGTCTTCGGAACCAGTTCCAAGATCATTGGCATTTCCTGTACATCCAGGGACGCTTCCGTCACCTCCAGCGGAGCGCTGTCCGCAAACAAGTCCAAGATCACAGTCACTATCGAAGTCGCAGTCTATACCGAGAAAATATGATATGGTATGAGTTAGCCCAACGAATTGCAAACTCAACACAAGAACAAATCAACAGCTTCATGCTGTCTTACCTCCTTGGCACTCCTTTAACTCGTAGTATGACCATTCTTCATCTCCGATAAAGTCGAGCGACTTGTCGGGTGTAGTTGGAGGAACGCAGTAATCAAAGTTATCCTCTCCTAGTCCGTTACATCCAGGAACTTGATCAAATCCAGATCTGTAGTAGCACACCAAGTCTCCCTCGCAATCGGAGTCTAGAAAAGACAAAACGTTGAGTAATCAATGAGATCAAGATAAAAAACGATGCACGCACGAGGTAGAAACGAAATACACATACCGAAATCGCAATCTCCAGAGCACAGGGGGATTGGGAATGTTCCTTGATCTGCCTGTTCAAAGTGATCATAAACACTTGAGAGGAAAGTGTCGGATGGGCGGAGTACACAATAATCTTCGCTACCAGTTGCAAGAGCATTGGCATCTCCACTACAGCTTGGAACATCACCACTGCCTCCAGCTACTCGTTGGAAACAAACAAGTCCAATTGCACAGTCCGAGTCGAAATCACAATCTATGCGAAGATAGCAGATAGTCGGTCGGTCAGGTCAGGCCAGATCAGTGTTGCATGCAATACATGTAGTCTGGTGGTTGTTCCAATCTACTTACCTCCTTCGCACTGGTTTAGTTCGTAATAATCCCATACTGGATCTGGAAGCCCAATAAAGTTGAGCTCCTTCGTAGTGGCACTGGGATCAAAGCAGTAGTCCCATGCGGTTCCACCGAATCCAATGCAGCCTGGCACAACTTCGTCGCCTGTACGGATGAAGCAGGATAGTCCCGCAGCACTATGAAAGGCAATTGTTCGTTAGTAAATCTAGTTGGTGATCAAAGAAAACAACATTGTACACGTACCAATCTGCATCAGTGTCGCAATCTCCCTGACAACGTTGCAAAGGGAATGCAGATGTTGGAAAGCCTTCGTCCCCGGCGATGACCAAAGTGTCATCTGTCGTAGGCTTGATACAGAAATCATCAAAGCCATCACCGACTAGATCGGCATTCCCGAGACATCCTGGAACGTCGGTGGTCCCAAGATCACGTTGGAAACAAATGAGGCCGAATTCACAATCGGTATCTTCGTCGCAATCTGTTGGTTTCACGTGAGACGAGTTCAAGAATACAGTTAGTCATGAACATTGTCGAAAGGCTATGCCAATCGCTTCTTTTGAGTGTCGTTTGCTTACCTCCTTGACACTCAAGAAGGGAAAATTCATCGAAAACATCGTCTTCGTCGAGGAAGAGCGAGGCCGGGCCAGTAGGAGGTGGGGTGGTGGGGCTTGGGGTTGGTCCTGGGGTAGGAGGAGGTGTTGGGCCAACGACAGGAGCTAAAGTGGGTGGAGGAGTAGGTGGAGGAGTAGGTGGCAAAGTGGGTGGCGGAGTAGGTGGCGGAGTAGGTGGCGGAGTAGGTGGTGGAGTATTTTGTTGAAAACGGGTAGGTGCTGCTGTTTCGACGAAGCCAGGAACTGTTGGAGGATTGGTTGGGGGGCGAGTTGGTGGTGGCGTTGGACCGGGTGAAGGTATACTCATTTGCATTTGTTGCACATCCAATTCTTCCCATTCCTCATCAATAACAGCCTGTTTATCGGCATCGCCATGATCACCCTGGAAGAATCTGGCATGATTGCCAAGTTTCAGCATCTTACGTTCTGCATTTCTAATGGTCTTGGCAGAAGCCGAGTTGGCGTGCATAAGCAGGAATGCACCAAGTACAATTGATCGTTTTGAAAAACTCATGATGGTATGGTTGTCTCCACTATATTTGCTTCGTGTTTTGTCGCAAGAGAGACTTGAACGATGGATTTGTGGTTGTCATGTGTAGTTTCAGCGATTTTAGGACGACTGAGATTCTTGATTGGCGATTTTGGCTTTGGGTTGTACCTGGTGGTACTTTACGAACGAAAAACACCGTTTTTGAAAGAAATGCGGCACTTCGTTATGTGGGGTCTGCGCACCGGTCGAGCTTTCTGCGATAACTTTGCAGGTGTACTCGCAACCAAAATCTCAATACCGCACTGATCTGGCTAATCAATCTGATCTTCCCTCCAACCAATGATCACACATCAATCATTCCAATGAAGAACATCATGTTCATTCATGCATTGTTAGTATGGGGTAGCGGTATGGCTATGGCTAGTCAGCAGCTACGGCGGGGCAAGCAGTATTTGAAGAATCAGAAGATGCAACAATTTCTCCGTTATGTGGCGACAGAACAAGAAGCTGACGATTTATTATGGGAGGACATCGAACTACAAGCGGCAGCAATGAGTATGCCAACTGTTGCACCCACAACGCGACCTCCAACTTTTAGACCAACACGGCCACCCACTAGACCACCATCACTGCCTGCCACCAACCCGCCAACGTCACTCCCTGCCACCAACCCGCCAACACCATTTCAAACAACAACGCGCTTGCCAAATTTGGAGCTGATACCCAATGATCAATTCAACGAGTTTGGTTTATCGGAATGTCAAGGAGGTAAGACATGTATCGATACCAGGAAATCAAGAGCAGTGAAATATTTCCGATTGCCGTAGTTTCATCATTGTACAGTACTCCAACGACACTACTATTATGTATGGAATGAGCATCTCCATATATGGCCTGTTGAATTTTCGAAAGTTCACAACAAACGCCCTCATATTCGCATTATTTTGTCCATAACACTTTGCCAACGATCCATAGATTGTGACAACGACGAAGACTGTAACTTTGGATTGATCTGTCTGCAACGTAACTTGGGCAACAAAGATGTTCCAGGATGTTTTGGAGACCCAGATTCGATTGGCAATGGCTCGCTAGACTTTTGCATCCAACCTCAAGATATCACCACGTTAGTTATTGTAGGTGACGAAGGTTTTCCAACGTCTGTGTTCCCTCTCGATCAATGTCATGGAGATTGCGACTCTGATACAGATTGGTACGTTGCTCTATTGATTGAAAGCATAACATTGTTCATTGACGAATGATTGATTGATTCATTGATTCATTGATTGACTGAATTACTTACTGTACTCCTACCATTCTTACTCATGTCGCTTATTCTGTTCCAAAGTGCTCAAGGACTCACATGTTTCCAACGAACCCGAGATGAAGCCGTCCCAGGGTGCACTGGAAATGGAGCAACGGGCCTCGACTACTGCCACAATCCAACACTTTCTTCAAGATCTGGTGATGATTCCCCTGTCGTTGGGACTACTAATGGCACGCTTCCAATACTGGATTTCATTGGTGATCGAGAGATGGAACTATATTCGTTACAAGAGTGCCAAGGTGACTGCGATTTTGACTCTGGTAAGCAAAGATAGATTGTTTCCAACCAAGGCGCCATGTGCAGCATTGAAAAGAATTTACATCACTCATTTTCCATTCTTCGTTCATTCCTATTTTCATTCTCCACAATATAGATTGCGAACTTGGTCTAGTTTGTTTCTTTCGAAGCTTTGGAGACGGGGGGCATGTGCCTGGATGTTCTGGCAATGCCGATGGTATTGCATCGAGGAATGAAGATTTCTGCATCAAACCTCCGACAGAGAACTACTTGGTGATCTTGGGGGACGATGATCACTCAGAGGCCTATCCATTGCCCGCTTGTGCTGGAGATTGCGACGAGGATGTCGACTGTAGAGATAATCTGGTCTGCGTTGTTCGAAGGAACACGACTCAGATTCCAGGTTGTGAAGGGATAGGAGAAAAAGGTTACGACTATTGTGGTGAAGCATCACAGTAATGGGGGATATAATATAAATACAGCTGGGTAGCAGGTATCATACCCTGCTTATTGACCCAGCAGCAAGGTGCATCATGAGTGCCTGCATTCAAAATTCATAACATACACAATAAACAGCATTTACAGATATGAAAGAGAATCTGCAGTAGTACGGTAGTCGTCGTTTGAGCCAACCATACCTGGTACTGGTACCTAATACCTAAGGGGTCATCATTCATTTTGCAGTAGGTCTGTTCGGTCTGTTCACCACGAGTCAATGGTTGCAATCCTTTCCAATCCAAACGTGACACGAATTTTAGATGGATTCGAGAGGAGGCGAGACTAGTACTAGGCTATGATAAGAATGAATCAGAGCGGCGTAATGCACAATCATCCTAAACAGTTTGGAGAATGCTATCGGTAGACATGGCGCAGTAGCAAACCAGAAGCCAAACGCCAAGTTTTCTTCTTGCGTCAAAGTTTTTCTGACACGAAGATGACAGATACAACCAGAAGCCAAACGCCAAGCTCTGATGACACTGCGATGATGTAATGTGTGATGGGTGATGGGTGAAGATGATCCTGAAATGTCATGATTTGATTTGATTGATTTGATTTGATTCAATTGATTGATTTATTCGACTCTTGCCTTTGATCAGAAGCCCTTGAAGTAAGTCCCGCAGAGAAAGACTGCGTCACCCTAGACACTTAACCGATCTGATTATCGCGAACTCCGCTGGCGTCATTCTCTAAGCCATTTCTATCGAAGACTTCACTCACGCAGGATTCTACGTGTGACTTCTGATCAGTTTCACATTTTCCGCTGACTTTCCCCTCCTCGTACCAATCAGTTGCTTCTCGTTTCGAAACCTGTCTTGACACCTGTCACTTCTTCTCAGCCATCGTCAGCATAATTCTCATTTTAACCACGAACTCTAACACCAATACCAAACACAGTCCAGAACAGCACAGCACAGCACAGCACAGCACAATACATTTGAAGCAAATTACATATACATTACAATCATCGCTCATATCAAACGAATACTCAATCAGAAGAAAATGGCCAACAATAGAAATTCAGTTTACGATCCTTCAGGAAACTTAAGGATACGAAAGCCCCACCCTCATGATGTCCTCTCAGGCCGTGGTGGAGGCATCAACTCTCACCCTGGAAACAAGGTCTTTCGAGAATGGGTCCGCGTGCGAAAGGAGGCTTACAACTTGGCTGTCACCAAGGCAGAGAAGGCTGAGGTGGCACATCAAGTGATGAATCTGGTTCAGAATCAACAACCACCTGGACGCTTTCTGCAGCGCGACCCGAACAGTACTACTGCCTGCAGTTTATGGGTGGAATTAGATGCCAATCGAGCACTAGCCAAGACAAGTCAGGCCTTACGGGAAGGAGCACCGCAGATTCGGGCGGCTCACCGAGATGTGGGTTGGAAGGCGGACCGGGCTCGAAAATCGAAACGAAAGAACAGGCCAGCAAAGACCCCATCGACATCAGTACCGGCACCAACTCCAACACCAGCAAGCAATCCAAAGTTTTCCTTGACAAGAACCAAGATGATAGCGCCTGCAACGGAAATGAATAAGGCCATTCGAGCACTACAAGACAATGTGGATGAAGCTAAGCGGCTTGCGAACCAGCAACCCGAATCATCCCAGAATGTTCCACCACCGCTCATGAGCAACGAAGACTTTGAAGCCAAGTTTTCTAGACAGCCAAAGAGAGGAAAATTCTTCAATATGCAAGAGTCAACACCTACTCTGACGTCAGTTCCAGTGTCCTTGAATGCTGTCCCTGTCAATTCTTCTCCAGCACCAACCAATGCAAACACAACTATTCCCATGGCATTGCCTTCTGCACCTCCTGTTCCTCTTAGGAGCGACTCTTCTAGTAAGCTACTTCGAACGAATAGTCTAGCGCTATCAGACTTTTCGAACGCGGAAATGAAGGACGAAGATCTGAACCAAGACTTTGTCAATCCCTTTGATGATGAACACGAGATAGAATGCATCAATCCTGCTCCGCGCTCAACGGGGAGCGCTAGTGACATCAAAAAGCTAGGCCAACAACAGCAGCAACAGCAACAACAGCAGTCCTATAATAACAACAATGGGAGAAGCAGTTCAAACACAAGGTACGTTTCACCGGGAATTGGACGCAAGCACCCAACCACCCCGCCCAAGCCTCTAAAGGCAAACTGCTTTTGCAGCTGCGATCGAGGAGAGTGTATATGCTCGGACCTTGCTGATCATTTCCTGCATCGAATGGATGGCTTACAGCTTTATCTTCGCGAAGATCAACAGGGATCGGAAACGCGAAATCCATACTCGAACAGCAGCTAGCAGCAATTAGCAGCAGGTAGTTGTTAAGAACGAGGCTACGAGGGAGGCAGGTGGAATGGGGCGCAAGGCATTCGCAAAATTGCGCCTGGTCGTACCAGCAGCCGTCTCACAGTACCCCTAATCTCATCGCTTTACCCTCGTTTGTTTTGTAGATATGCTACAGAGTTTTCTGATCTAGGGAACGAACCAGCCTTGCTCAATGCTGACTTTGGAGAAAGCATGAAATCGGTGTGGGACGCGACCCATCCAGGTTTGACGTCTTCCGAAAAGGGAGACTGGGATATGCCCACACTACTCTTGCCCCGGCGAAATAGTAGTGAAGCATTGAAGAGGCTCTTGCGGTCGCCACTAACACCAAGAACGGCGCCAGCTAAGCAACGAGATACTGGAAGACAGTAAGGCTTTGGACGAGATCAGCATTGATCAGCATTGATCAGCATTTGATACAATGATGATGATTGATGCCATGTGACGACAAGCCATACACTGGTACAAACCAAAAGGCAAATCAAAAGCTCGATGAAACGAGTTCACAGAAATAGTCGCAACATATAAAATAAGATAAATAGAAGATCCCAGTGTGATCAATTACCAATTATACATGCTATTTCAACAGAGCGAGCTTTCGGCTTCTTCCTTAGGCGACATCTGTTATTCTCACAACAGCTTGTTTGGTCGATAGTGAAAACGCCAAATACTCATATTTCCATCCGAAACGTTTGCAGCATTCCCTCCAAGCCTACAAACACAACAAACCAACAAGCAATCGAACAAACGAACAGACGAACAAACGAACGAGGGACAATAGTAGCAAATGTCAGTGAAAGCTTACAGAGGACGACAACATAATACAAATGTAGCTAGCCATACAGCCATTCAGCCATTCCGCCATACAGCCATACAGTACGTACCCGGAATTCATCCTGACGCCAGGTTGGATGACAAACGTACTCATCAAAGATAAGAATCGTTCCTTCCACAATGCGTCCATGCATAGCCTCCAACACGTCCAATGTAGAAGTGTAGAGGTCACAATCGATATTAGCGTAGGCTAAGAAGGCGTCCTCTCCCATTTGTTGGAGGAAAGGAACCAAGGTTTCCTTGAAGAGCCCTTTGTGAAAAAAGACATTTCCCTCAATGTTGGTGGGCACTACTCCGCCTGTGGAGTAACTTCCCTTGGGTTCATCACCCCACGAATGAGGAAGTCCAGTAAAGGTATCAAAACCGTGCAAGTGAATGTCCAATGGCAGGATCTCCTGTGTCATTCTCAATGATCGTCCCGACCCAACTCCAAATTCGCAAACCATTCCATAAGCGGGGTTACTGTTCTTTCGTTGCTGTTTAATGAGGGGCATGGCCGCATCCAAGGCCAACCGGAGCATGTCGCGAGTCCCACGATGCAAGTTCAAATGATGAGGAGCAACCTTGCGACTGTGCCATCTGACATAACCCCAAGAGTCTACCAAACAGCTAATGGGAGATTCTTGTCGTTGGAGATTGGTCATGATATCATCTGCTTCTTGGGTTTGTCCCAATCGTTCCAAGACAACGGCCAAGGAAAACAAGGTACTGGCCGAGTTGGGAGTCAGTTCCAATGCTCGCTGATAGGCTTGTGCGGCCAATTCCAAATGCTTCAAATCGGATTCTTCCCTACTGCCACCATCGGCTTGCAACGAGTCTCCCAATCCGACATAGGATGCTGCTGACGGATGTTGTGGATCCAAATCGATCGCCATTTGGTATAGATTAATCGCTGCCTGGGGATCGCTCAAGGCATCGTGATTTAGGAAGCCCAACCGGACCAAGTTGTACGTTAGGATGGTCAAACAATCACCTTTGTCGAGATTGGTAACGTGTCCAAAAGCATCATCCTCCAGATAACATTGAAACAAGGTGGCAGCTGCATGAAAAGCCGAATTGGCTGCCCTCGACTGGCCTCCCTTTTCCATTTGAACCCCCTGTCGAAAGGCCAGATCCGCTTCTCCAAGTGGAACAGCGGAAGCTGCTGCAACTCCTTCCATTGGTCCACCGTTGACCAGCTCGCTCATGGTGATCTTTTGGGGCGGATAATTTCCAATACTGTAACTCATTTGAGTATTGCTGTTGTTAGTACTAGTAGTACTGCTAGTACTGCTACGATTGTCACTATCATTACTCCCATTGTTGTCATTGCTGCCGGCCGCAGTACTTGTGGCAGCAGAAGCCAAGTAGAGAGACACAGATTGGTCGTTTTGTCTACTAGTGTGACAGAACTTGCAATTTGTGTTGGTAGCAGTAAAAGCAGTCGATGAGAGTGAACATGACGACAAGAGTATAGAAGCGATGGTCAAAAGGGAAAATGAATTCATTGTTGTTATGGTCTGGGGTTGGCTGTCCCAAACACAGCTTTCAAATACGATACAGTAGTTCGCTTGTGATGAAAGATGGAGATGGCGGTTCGTAGTGATATACCGGTACCGGTACCTGCTGTACCGTACGATACACCACTTGAAGGTGATGGATGGGTTGATGATCGAATTGATTGATTGATGCCTGATCTGCAATACGTCATGAGAGAATACAGAATCCGGAATCTGATGCGAAATGGAAACGGATGAGGGAACCAAAAACCAAAGCTGAAATCTCACAAAATACTGTATAAAATACTGTATTAATACCTGTTGTTTGATACTATTATTAATACCTGTATCATAAATACCTGATACCGGTACAGTACTGTACTTGTAAAACCCACCCATAGGTTCATTCATTCATTGATTCACTGTATCTTCACTCAAGAACCAGCAACGCAAACATGGGAAGAGGAGGTGTCATTCAATATGATTCCAACAAGACCTCAGTTCCTATTAGTACAGCGACCTCACAGTTTGATGATGAATTGATGAAGCGCAACATTGTGACAGCTGAGCAAGTGTATTTGGCCAAGGGCGCAAAATCATTGGATGAAGCCCAACGATTGGCCAATGAACGAAGAGAGGAACGAAAGGAACAGCCAAGTCAGGTCTATGATGTTTCCTCCAAACGTAATAAGGACGACGACAATGATGACAAGGAATATGACGATTTGTTGGATGATGATGATGATGATGATGATGAAATCGACGACGATCCCTTCTTTGCGCGTTATCGACAAGAGCGACTATCACAATTGAAACAAGAGAGTGCTGACGAGGTTGCCAAAAAGCAGAGCCGTCAACAGCAGAATATTAACATGCCAACTCAAATTCAACGAGAGGAATGGACGACACGTGTCAATCAAGCTTCTCATCAAAACTGGGTGCTGGTGATATTATGGGATGATTCCAGTATGCGAACACCTGACATTCTACAAGATTTGGAGCGCCTGCAACGAGAACGAGAGCATTCCGATGCACATTACACACAAGACGACGACGACGACGACAACGACGACGACGACAACTCGTACAGTGAGGAGGCTGGGGGAGGACACGGCCACAAATCATCGCAACAGCGTATTGAAATTGTCTATATTGAGTACCAGCAAGCTAATCCACATTGGCCCAGTACAAGAGTACCAGCCATATTTGCTTACCGAAATGGCACGAAGCAGCATGAATGGGTGACACATCAGGCTGGCAGATTTCCAACTCGCGAACAATTGCAAATCATGCTTTTGGAATGGGGTATATGATAGCGATAGTCATAGCGATAGTCATAGCGACAGCAATGGTGCCTTGATTAATTCTATCGAACGAGATACAATAGAGACCATGAGACTACCAAATAAGAGTTGGTTACAACCGGGCGACATTTTGAAATGATCCCTTGAAAGGGAATGAACAGAGTCGTTTTCAGGAAGGGTGAATCGTTGAAGGGAGAGAAAATAAGAAATAAGCCATCCTCATCTCCGCGTCCAGAGAAGATAGTACAGAAAGCAACGACCATTATCCCTCCTAGAGGGACTGCAAATTGAAGGATGAAACCAACTAGTCAATGCAAACTATAGTATTCTTTAAAATACTAGACCAAGCCAGTATAATATTATTGTTATAATAGTAACCTCCTACCTGCCTGCCTGCCTGCCAATCTATACCGTTGTAGAGGAATACGACTGTAGGATGACTGTAGGATGGATGCATGCATCCATGTTATACAATACAATACAATTTAATTTCAAAATCAAGTCAAGTCAGTTCTTTTAACTTTCGCCATGTTCTTCATCGTCGCCGTCTCCCGTTTTGGTGGTTCGTTGTGGCTCTTGTCGCAGTGGATCACAACTTTTGATGCCACAGCTGGTGGCCAATATCCCACCCCAATGCAGTTTGAAATAGTCTCCCTTTCGTTTTTCGGCCAGCGCCTTGGCCTTTTGCGAATCTCGTTTTCGGTCCAATTCCTCCTCCAAATGTCGTGCTTCTCGTCGCCGTTGATTGTCCTTGATAATGAATTGATACGTCGTGAGTTTCTCCCGCTTTAGTTTCTGATGAAAGTTCCACAATTGTAGCATGAGACTCAGAGCAATCAAATCCATGACGATAAAGGCTCCCATTCCAATGGTAACTCCAAGGGTTGTAGCATCTTTGCTGCTCTGCAAACTACTATCACTAGTCAATCCAAGCCATTGCTCCGACAATTCTCGAGTGGTTCCCTTAGGATTGGCATACATATCAATAAGGAGAGCAATCTGAACAGCCATATGTGAGACCAGCAAGGAAATGATACAGTTCATTGTCTTGAGGAATAAATGATAGTTCTTCTTTCCGACACATGTGTTGAGCCCTACAAAGGTGAGAAAGCAGCAAAAGCTGTGAGTGAATCAGTCTGCAAATCAATCACAATATAATATAATACATGTATTGTATATATATATATACATATTACAATTGCAATATCATGCATTGCTCAACAGTAATCCACAATCATGTCTACTTTTCACTTCACTTCACTCAGTTCTCTCAGTTCACTTCTTTACTTACACATGCAATGATGATCAAATCCTTCCACACACTTTTGACAAAATTTGCAATGCATGGATGTCTGTATAACGTCTGCTTCGCAAATCCAACAATGCTTGATGGTATCATCCGTGGTACGGGTTGGTGCTTGATATTCGACCTTGTCATTCTTTCTGTTTTGTGGATTGGAGAATATTCGCACATCCGATGGATCCGTCGACATGGTCACATAGGCATAATAGGTGGCAGCACCCGCAATTCCAAAGACCACCAGCGTAACGGGAATGGAAACCGCGATGGGCATCAAAGGAGACGCCACGAGACCAAATTCTACCAAGAGAAAGGGAAGAAAGACCCATGTGGAAACTTGTGCCGGACTGTAGGGTGACTGCAAGCCATTTTCTCGAATCTTTCTCTCGGATTCCGCCATGCTTTTGTTTTAGTTAATATTTGTGTTGTGATGTTGAATTAGGAAATATTGAATTGTATTTTGAATTGTATTTTGAGTTGTATTTTGAATTGTATTTTGAATTGTATCGCAATCGATGTTGTCGTGTGTCTCGAACGCTGTTGTTTAGTTTAGTTTTGTTTTGTTTTGTTTAGTTTGTTGGGTACAGTATTCAGCAATCTCTACTGCAATGTACTGCTGTACAGTTTTGGAGTTATGATAGTCAATGCTACCGTACGGTACAGTATAAGGTCAATCAATTTTATATTTGATTGCTCGTCTTTGGCCGTAAATTATTTTATTGCAAATACGAAAGTTCAAAAGTGTACAGTGAGGCAGTGGGAATTCCCCCTTTTCATTTTATTTCGTCCCCGCGATATTTAACGCAATTTCCCACAACTAGTTGTGGGAACAGATTTTTGCCAAAAATTCCCACAACTAGTTGTAGGAATCTTAAAAAATAGTTGTGGGAAATTCCTACAACTAGTTGTGGGAATTTCCCTCAACTAGTTGTGGGAATTTCCGTTGCTCAGATGTCCGTTATTTTTGCCTTTAAATGTATCACGAAATATCACGAAAACAATTAGAGTTTTTGGGAAACATCATATGTAGTTGTCTATTTTCTAGTCAGTACATATATCAAACGTTGTTTTGTGCGTAGAACAGACAGTTTTCCGTAGAACGGACAGTTTTCCCATAATTCCCAATAAAACAATTAGAGTTGTGGGAAACTTCCCACAACTACAATTAGAGTTGTGGGAAACTTCAAATTTGTCTCAGTACATATCCTACGTGGTTTTCTGTGTAGAAATGACAATTTTCCCACAACTGTTGAGGGAATTCCCACAACTAGTTGTGGGAAGCAAAATTGAGTTGTGGGAAAAATTGAGCTGTGGGAAAAATTGAGCTGTGGGAAAATCTCGCAACTAGGGGAGAAATCCGGGGATTCCCACTGCCTCAGTAGTGCATTTCGTTCCACCGTTTGCCTTTTGAAAAACCCTTGTTTTGCGGGGGTGAGACAGACGCCGGCTGGCTCGCACCTGCAAGCATGCCCGCCTGAACCATTTTACTCCAAGTGTTCAAACGAACGACGACAAAACAGATAGATAAAACTCAAGACGCGAGACAAATTGAAAATAATTATAAAACAAAACAAAGTCATTCTCGTTTTGGAACCAACCTGAACCCAATCGAGAACACTGATTGCTCTACAAGTACTTTCTACATAGGTACAGCGCAAAAGAGCAATACAAACAGAGCTTCCTTCATCGTTCTCGTTCCTGTTCTTGTTCCTGTTCTTGTTCTTGTTCTCGTCCTCCACAAATGTCTTATCAGGCGCCGTCCTCCAACATTACTTCTCAATTGAACAACGATACTTCCTTGCGTGACAGCGTAAATCAAGCAGCCAAAGAACGACGACAACAACGACGAAGAGTACGTCAACAAGACTTTGATAAAGGAAGCAACAGCAACTACAACAGCATCAGCAATAGGAGCATCACATCACCAGACAACAAAATGATGATTTCCTCCTCAATACACAGTGCTGATGATTCGGATTCGGCAAGACGAAAGACACGAAAGCACGGCAAACCGAGCAAAACTTATTCAGGTGACATTCACATATCATCATCCTCCAACAACAGCAGCAACAACAACAATAGTGGATCTATTCTTTGGACGGTCCTCGTTGTCGGATTGATCTTTTGTGTATTGGATGTGGGATACATCATGTACTTTGTGGAATATCATCCAGATTTGTGGGCCGATTTGCCCAACCGATTCAATGCTGTCCTTCCACCCAAGTTGACTCCTCTCAAAACGCAAAAGCCAGTCTTGAATCGACAGGTAGAATCCAAAGACGGAAGCCTCAATGCCGATGCGGATACCGCCAAGATGATTCAGGAAAAACAACCAATTATCAAATTGATTCAAGATGCCAATGTACCATTTGATCCATTGGTGGACACGGAACTCTTGAATGATCTTCCGACCTGGAGTGAAATTACAGGAATGTACGGGGAGAAACCTGTCATTCATGGATTGGAAATGTGTGAACCATTTCGGACTCATTCCGATCCTGCTGATCATTTTGTGGTAAGTTTGTTGTTATACATATAGAATGTATACATGCATACATGCATACATGCATACATACGGTATGGGCAGAGATTATTGTATTGCATTGCATTGCATTGCATTTTATTGTTTGGATACTTTTTGTGATGGGTTAGACTAACAACTCCCATCATTACAGAGTACGGCAGGTACATTCAACTCGGGAACAAATCTCATGGCCGAACTGCTGATTGCCAATTGTCGCATGACAGAAAGAATGAAGAAATATGGTGCCATCAATCGGGGAATTAGATGGCAAGTGCCATGGGGAAAACATACGCCACCCGGTGATAATGAATACCGACAAACGCACAAGACAGATAAGGATAAGAATATTGACGCCAACGATATTCTTCCAGCTGTCACCATTAGAGATCCATTGGTTTGGTTGCAAAGTATGTGCCGGCACCACTACGCTGCTCGATGGCCGCATACTGAGAACCATTGTCCAGACTTTACACTTCCCAATATCAAGGCGGTTGTCCATTACGCTGAAATGAGCAAGAGCCACGATTCCATCTTGCACCTATGGAACGATTGGTACACGGAATATCGTACGGCAACCTTTCCACATTTGATTGTAAGGTTTGAAGATTTGGTCTTTCATCCCGAAGATGTTACCAAACAAGTTTGCGAATGCGCAGGTGGCCAAATGCGAAAGGATAAAAAGTTCATTTACATTGTCGATTCGGCCAAAAAGGGATTGGCTGCTCATGGAAAGAACCGAACGGGATACGTGGATGCCATTGTCAAGTACGGAAGTGCTGCCCGACGATATGACGGATACGAATACAAGGAAGATTTGGAGTACATTCGAAAAAATGTCGATCCAGAACTCATGAAAGCCATGCAATATCCGGACATTGATCCCAATCATAATGTGTAGTAGCAGAATGAGATTGCCTTAGTACTTTAATGTACATTACACACCAAGGTAATAGATACTGTATTGCAAACAGCTGAACTTCTGAACTCCTCAGCGTTTCTCGTAGTGTGTAACTATAGATAGTACTCTAGTGACATGTCTCCATGATAAAGTTCGGCGAGTCTGGTGTTTTCTAAAAGAAAGATACAAACGCCAAAGCGGAGCATTCCAGAGGTTGCTAATCGTGTAAATATTGTAGTCTAATAAGTTCTGTGTGTGTGCTAATCCACTACTAATCGTTATTTTGCCTATACCTGGGTAATGGCATGTATTCACAAACAAACCCAAACCAAACGTCGCATTCTACTACAGTATGCAAAGTTCCATCCATGCATCCAGCAGTTACCACTCGGAAACCTCCAAAGTACACTCGTCCACCGAATGGAAGCATTCATGAGGTCCCTCACGAAGTAAACCACACAAAATATCTTCCAAGCTGGTATTGGAATTCTCGGAAGATCCCAACTTGCGACGACAACCACCATAGATACCTAGCACCATGTTGTTGGCCTGACATTTCTCCCACTCATCCATTTCGTATGTGGGTCTCTGGGTAGGAGCAGGAGTGGGTGCTCGAGTGTATGTATTCATGTCTTCTTTCCATTGGTCGTAGTAGGCTCTACTATCGAAATAGTAGTCATCATAAGCGGGCGCAACGTAGTCATCATCATCATCATCGTCTTCTTCAGAAACAGTAACAGCAGCAGGAGCGGAAAAGCAAAAGCGGCAACGAAAGGTTTCAATGATGGTCCAAACGTTAAAAAATGAATAGGATAGCCATAGAGAGCGATCACCGCGCAAGTTTCGACCACCATCGTGTTGGTGAGTCCCGTGTCCATTTTCCACAAGAATGGCGCCAATCGTGACCTGTTCTTCTCCATGCTTTTCATCTTGCCCCTGGTGCTGGTCTTGGGCAAGCTGAATGGCCTTGCGAAGAGCCGACTCGAAATACATTGTCTCCTCGGCGTTGAGATCCTCAAGGTCCATGTTTCCAAGCTTGACCTGAACCTGCACGGGTTGACGCTCGAGAGTTGGTTCAGGGACCACGTGGTTGTTGTTCTTGTTGTTGTTCTTGAAACTTTTGTCGGATTCGGATTTGTACTTGGACTCATTCGGAGCAGTGTCGGTGTCCTCGATATCCTTTTCAATGACTTTGTTGGAAGCCATGGTAGCTTCCATTTTGAGTGCCACTAGTCTCTGTTTATCAGAACGGCCGCTTTTCTTGGAAAGCTTGCGAGCAGAGGATGATTCGCTTGCAGCAGTAGAAGTGCTGCAAAGAATAGCTGTCAAGAGAAGGGAGCAGAGGAGCTTCATCATTCAATCGATCCGTTTGGTTCGATATGATTGCCTGATCTTTTGCCAAGGTCAAGATTGTGAGACTTGGACCTTCAAATTCCATCATTCTGAAAGAGACCCAAGACCGATGAGAGCAAGCTCCATTTCGACCGAGTTGATTGTCGTAGAGTTGATACTGTAGGCTACGGATTTCCGTTTCAAAAGCCGTTTCTCTTTTTTTCGTGATGCGAAACGTCGGTTTCTTTTTTAGGTCGAGTAGCTCCAACTTGAGTAGTGCTTCGTCAATCAAGCCGTTTCTTGTTGTCGTGAGGAAGTGTCTGTCAGTTTCTTTTCCGCTTCGAAATCAGAAATTTGCTCCAGATTCCGTACTGGTGGTACTAGTACCCTTTTTCCTATCAAGGCTCAAGGGTGAACATGGCTCTGAAGGATTTCACCGAACGGTTCCGAATGTTCTCAAAGTTACCATACATCCATGATCAGTGTCTCGTTTCTAGTCGGAATGATAGTCCTTCAATTATATGAGTTGTTTGAGGGCTGACTGACTCAACGACTCGGCCTCTGCATCAATCATCAGAATCCCAAAATTATATGGGCTGCTCCAAGCATATTGCGTCGACACAAGAGCGAACGCACAAAGCTTGTCACAATGATATAAGAGGTGACGATGGCGAGATGGGGAGAAGATGTGTGCTGTTGTTAGCCGGCTTTGAGAAAAACCATGATGAGACTGCAGAAGTACCTGAACTGCTGAACGTCTGAGCTCATCAGCGTTTCTCGTAGTGTGTATAATGTAACTAAGATAGTACTCTAGTGACATGTCTCCATGATAAAGTTCGGCGAGTCTGGTGTTTTCTAAAAGAAAGATACAAACGCCAAAGCGGAGCATTCCAGAGGTTGCTAATCGTGTAAATATTGTAGTCTAATAAGTTCTGTGTGTGTGCTAATCCACTACTAATCGTTATTTTGCCTATACCTGGGTAATGGCATGTATTCACAAACAAACCCAAACCAAACGTCGCATTCTACTACAGTATGCAAAGTTCCATCCATGCATCCAGCAGTTACCACTCGGAAACCTCCAAAGTACACTCGTCCACCGAATGGAAGCATTCATGAGGTCCCTCACGAAGTAAACCACACAAAATATCTTCCAAGCTGGTATTGGAATTCTCGGAAGATCCCAACTTGCGACGACAACCACCATAGATACCTAGCACCATGTTGTTGGCCTGACATTTCTCCCACTCATCCATTTCGTATGTGGGTCTCTGGGTAGGAGCAGGAGTGGGTGCTCGAGTGTATGTATTCATGTCTTCTTTCCATTGGTCGTAGTAGGCTCTACTATCGAAATAGTAGTCATCATAAGCGGGCGCAACGTAGTCATCATCATCATCATCGTCTTCTTCAGAAACAGTAACAGCAGCAGGAGCGGAAAAGCAAAAGCGGCAACGAAAGGTTTCGATAATGGTCCAAACGTTGAAGAATGAATAGGATAGCCATAGAGAGCGATCACCGCGCAAGTTTCGACCACCATCGTGTTGGTGAGTCCCGTGTCCATTTTCCACAAGAATGGCGCCAATCGTGACCTGGTCTTCTCCGTGCTTTTCATCTTGCCCCTGGTGCTGGTCTTGGGCAAGCTGAATGGCCTTGCGAAGAGCCGACTCGAAATACATTGTCTCCTCGGCGTTGAGATCCTCAAGGTCCATGTTTCCAAGCTTGACCTGAACCTGCACAGCTTGACGCTCGAGAGTTGGCTCAGGGATCATGTGGTTGTTGATGTTATTCTTGAAGCTTTTGTCGGTGTTGGATTTGGACTTGGACTCGTTGGAAGCAGTGTTAATCTCTTCGACACCATTTTCAATGGCTTTGTTGGAAGCCATGGTAGCTTCCATTTTGAGTGCCACTGGTCTCTCTTTGTCAGAACGGGTGCTTTTCTTGGAAAGCTTGCGAGCGGAGGATGATTTGCTTGCAGCAGTAGAAGTGCTGCAAAGAAGAGCTGTCAAGAGAAGGGAGCGGAGGAGCTTCATGATTCAATCAATGTGTTTGGTTCGATATGATTTAAGAGTGCCTGATATTTTGCCAAGGTCAAGATTGTGAGACTTGGACTTTAAAATTTCATCATTCTGAAAGAGCAAGATCTATTTCGATAGAGTTGATTGTCGTAGAGTTGATACTGTAGGCTACGGATTTCCGTTTCAAAAGCCGTTTCTCTTTTTTTCGTGATGCGAGACGTCGGTTTCTTTTTTAGGTAGAATAGCCCCAAGTTGAGTAGTTCTTTGTCGATCGAGCCGTTTCTTGTTGTCGTGGTGAGGACGTGTCTGTGGGTTTCTTTTCCGCTTCGAAATCAGAAATTTGCCCCAGATTCCGTACAAATGCCCTGTTTCCTTTCAAGACTCAAGAATGAAGGTGGCTCTGCAGGATATCATCGAACGGTTTCGAATGTTCCCATAGCTACCATACATCCATGGTCACGCTCTCGTTGCCAGGCGCAGTGACGGTCCTTCAGTGACATGAGTGGTTTTGAAGGCTTTCTGACTCACTGACTCAGCCACTGAATTAATCATCAGAATCCCAACATTCTATGGGGAGCTTCAAGCATATCATATTGCGTCGACACAAGAGCGAACGCACAAAGCTTGTCACAATGATATATAAGAGGTGACGATGACAATAATGAGGAGAAGATGTGTGGTGTTGTTGTAGTCAATGATGAAACTGCAGAAGTACCTCTCTCCTCAGTAGGCTAACCAACTTTAGTAATGTGTTTTCGACGTGGTAAACCCAACGTGGCGGGCTATATAAATCGCATTGGTGTCAAAGTGGCAGGTGTCAACAAGGAACTTCGCTTTGCGAGAAGTCTCATTTTTGGGCATTTCTGGAAGTAATTACAATTTTGCTTGCCAAGCAATTCAAATCAATATTAATATACAGCATTATTGACAAGCCAAGATGAGAACTACTGGACATTTCCCCCTTCTTATGAGCCTATCGTTGCCCTTGTTGAGCAGTGCCTTGATGGTTCCGCAGCAATTGCATCTGTCACCTGTAAATCGGGCAGCTGGTTCTCGTTCTGTGGTTTCAGCCTCGATTTTAGAAGATTTTGAATATTCCGATGCGAATGCTAATGGCAACACTGAAGCCGATGAAATGGATCAGAAACTCTTTTTCAAGGTCCGCCAAGAGTTGGTCCAAAAGTATTTGGATCAAGGCGATGATTTGGCCAAAGCGGAACGAGAAGTGGATTACTTTTTGAGTGACAGGGCGCGTTCGCAACAGTACATTGAGATGCGAAAGTACAACTTGAGTCAACTTGAGGACGGATTGGGCCTCGATTTGTTTATGGGATTGCAGTTTACCTCGGCCTTTGTCATTGGTTTCATTCTGCATTCCCTGTCCATGAACGCTGGGTCCTTCTTTTAATACTTCACTTTCCCAGTGTACCCAAGCTGATGGCAATCATTATTGTGTCCTTCTTGCTAATTTCAATGGACTATGATACTAAGGATCAATCACTACTGAATTGATTCCATCGTTCACAGTCTAGCTGGAATGGCAATGACAATGCCATGTGACAGTATCACCAACCGGTACATACGATAACAGAACACCCTTCATTCATACAGTACCGGTACTGCTTGACAAATCATGATATTGTGAACATGACTGCTGACATCCTCTACTGACACGGAAACAACTACTTTGCAAAAGACTTGCAAACAGCAGCCATGGTAGGATTAGAATGAATACAAAAAATAAAAACGCAACCGAATTGGCCTACAATCAATCTGTGCTCTGCTTACTTTTGGTGACAAGCAAAAATTATGTTATAAGAAATAGTTTGCTAGGACTATGTATTCATATTGCAATTCTACTCTCTCATGCTCCATGGCACAGTTCTGATACACAATACTATTGTTGTTCACTATTCCTGTAGTTCCTGTATGTACTGTATGTGGCATTATGTACGAGAAGTACCGGTATCTTTGTTCTCCCCGCACGTTTGGAATTTTCCGCCTCTGTTCTCACAGCGGTCGGCGGTCAGCGTGTCAATGATAAAAAAATTGGCTGTCGGCATTGGTCTGTCTGTCAACGTGCGTGCACATAATTCTGACACCCGATCCATCGTCACCCATCATCGAAAATGCACCAAAACGAACTGACATCAAAAAAGCCGAACTTGAATTAAGGTGCCTACAGGTACAGTACCAGTACACAACGGGTGATTGAAGGATGACAAAACGTCCAAGCAATACTGTACTGTATGACATTATATCGACTGATATTGTCTACAGATAATAAATGGCTACTCTAGTGAAACCACGACTGTTTTGCCTCGCCTCAATGATGACAGTTACTGGCAGTTACTACATTAATTTCAAAATGGCAATCGAAACTTGTCAACAACGAGCCTCGAAACGGCTCGCTAGCAAAGGAAATTGGTACTGACTTTTGCTGAAAGAAGAAACGGCTAGATCGACAGAAGATTACTCAACTTGGGGCTACTCTACCTAAAAAAGAAACCGACATTTCACATCATGCAAAAAGAGAAACGGCTTTTGAAACGGAAATCCGTAGCCGACAGTATCAACTCTACGACAATCAACTCTATCGAAAGCGAGCTTGCTCTCGGTCTTGGCTCCCTTTCAGCATGATGAAATTTGAAAGTCCAAGTCTCACAATCTTGACCTTGGCAAAATATCAGGCAATCGTAAATCATATCGAACCAAACATATTGATTGAATCATGAAGCTCCTCCGCTCCCTTCTCTTGACAGCTCTTCTTTGCAGCACTTCCATTGCAGCAAGCGAACCATCCTCTAACAAGCAAAAGCTTGTAGCCCACAAAATGGATCCTGCTGCTGTAAACATTACCACCAACCAAGTCTCTGAAGAGAACAGTATCGATGACAACAACACTGCCTCCATCTCCAAGTCAAAGTTCAAGAACAAGAACAACAACAACAACAACCACGTGGTCCCTGAACCAACTCTCGAGCGCAAGCCTGTGCAGGTTCAAGTCAAACTTGGAAACATGGACCCTGAGGATCTCAGCGCTGAGGAGACCATGTATTTCGAGTCGGCTCTTCGAAAGGCCATTCAGCTTGCCCAAGACCAGCACCAGGGGCAAGATGAAAAGCATGGAGAAGAACAGGTCACGATTGGCGCCATTCTTGTGGAAAATGGACACGGGACTCACCAACACGATGGTGGTCGAAACTTGCGCGGTGATCGATCTCTATGGCTATCCTATTCATTCTTCAACGTTTGGACCATCATTGAAACCTTTCGTTGCCGCTTTTGCTTTTCCGCTCCTGCTGCTGTTACTGTTTCTGAAGAAGACGATGATGATGATGATGATGACTACGTTGCGCCCGCTTATGATGACTACTATTTCGATAGTAGAGCCTACTACGACCAATGGAAAGAAGACATGAATACATACACTCGAGCACCCACTCCTGCTCCTACCCAGAGACCCACATACGAAATGGATGAGTGGGAGAAATGTCAGGCCAACAACATGGTGCTAGGTATCTATGGTGGTTGTCGTCGCAAGTTGGGATCTTCCGAGAATTCCAATACCAGCTTGGAAGATATTTTGTGTGGTTTACTTCGTGAGGGACCTCATGAATGCTTCCATTCGGTGGACGAGTGTACATTGGAGGTTTCCGAGTGGTAACTGCTGGATGCATGGACGGAACTTTGCATGGAACAATGCATGGATTGCGTTTGGTTGGGTTTGTTTGTGAATACATGGCATTACCCTGATATAGCCAAACTAACGATTAGTAGTGAATTAGCACATACAAGACTCACTATTTCATATTATGCACACTAGTAGTCCTATGAATCACTGCATCGGTGCTGACGTTTTCGACGCAGAATGGGCTGCCGTATTATCAACTTTGAACATCAATGTCAAACTTCCATCCAAAATCCTCTTACAAAAAGCACTGCACATTCCTTTCGCGCAGCCATCGCAATATCAGCAGACTGCGCTTCAAGAGCATATTTGGCAGTACCGTACGCGTACTTCGGACTGTGACACTTCCAGTCAGCAACCTGAGTTGTTGATCTGCAAAACATGATGCTGGATCTTGATAGAAAGTGAAAGGCACAATCCATGCTGTCCATTATCAAGCACCGAAAGCTAAATCCCTGTTAACAACTCAACCAACCAACCCAGCGGCCTCGAGATACTGTTTGGCGACCTCTCGAATCGATGGAGGATCGATCTGCGAAGCAATAGTATCGTATTCCGACCTGAGGCGTTGGAATGCTTCGAGTGCACTCGTAATGTCAGAGTGGTTTTCACCAGATCCAAAGAAGACACCTCCATTGCCAACTACTTCGCCGTGGCTAGACTCGTTAAGTGCAATGATGGGAAGACCACTTGTTGATGCTTGAACTTCCGAATTGCTGAAGCATTCGTACCATGAAGGTGCCAAGAAAGCATCGACACGAGTTCGTAGAAAGATACCCAGTTCGCGCTGGTCCATTGGTGGGTAGAGTGTGAAATTTCGCTCTTCAAATAATGTTTTGTCAAAATTGTCTGGAACCCTCCCTACAATAACCAATTCATATTCAATGGGGTCCAAGAATGGAACAATCTTCTGAATCAAATCAAAGTTTTTGCGTTCTGCAGTTGACCAAACAGAAGTTCCAACGCGAATCCTCCCATTCGAGGGAACGTGTCTCGCCCGGGTGGGCGGAAAGAAAGTAAACGGATCGGCAGCATTCCCAATTATCACTTTTCGAACTCGACTTGGTACCTTCTTGTAGTATGAAACGTGCTTTTCTGTTGCCCGACGACTCCAATCACTCTGGAAAATGAGAATATCGCAGTACTGTATCACTGTCTTTAAAAGTTCTTCGTCTTGCTGAACTTTCCGCCGATGAAGTGCAAAGGGGCCATCAGAACGCATGATGACTCGTGTATTCTCCCCTTTCGAACCAACCTTCAAATACTTGGGCAACAGCTTTGCTGGGTACTGATTCTGATTTAGTATGTGCAGATGAAAATCTTTTGGGGACATTCTTTTCCTATTGACTTGCTTTTCCCCATGCTCATTGCTGATAACAAAAACTCGGTGCCCCCTCCGTCTGAATTCATCGTTGAGCAAGTTCATAAAGATCGCGCTCCCCCCTGTGGCACTACCATCTGATGGTGATCCCCAGAGTGCAATATTGTAAATCTCCCGCACTTTGTATATATTGGCTACCGTATGTGCGCTGCTGTCATAAGGAATTCCACCGCGACAGCAGAAGACGTCAGCTCTCCCTCTCGAAAGGTAGTCAAGGCTGTGTCTTTCCTCCATCTGAGTCCGCCCTGCCATGACATAAAAGCTCATTGAGCTGACACTGGTTCCAACAAAAAACTCGCTGTGAAATAATACTAGTTGCTCGAAGAAAGCCAAGATTTCTCTGTGCCCCTTGGTGACATTCATGATCTCAGGCGCCCAATCGGTCTTGGAAACAATGGTGTAATTCACATCGGCAAATGCTTGTCTGTGCGAATCAATGCTCCCGGCAAGTGCAATATACAACGGCATGTCTTTCGGTACTTGACGGCTGTTGTCAACGAATTTGATGATCGAAGCTGGGGTCCTTTTCAATTCCTTTTTCATATCAGCTTCAATTCGGAAATGAAGAGCATTGTATGGCCCTTTTGTTTTGATTCTATTCTCAAAGCATTCTTCTAATAATCGTCCTGGCTTCATCAATGCATATGCAACAAGGCTTTGTAGCTCCTGAAACCAATCGTAGGCAATTCGGGAAACCCGCTGTTCCATTGGAAACGGGGATTTTCGCGGCGAATTGACACGCAAAAGTCCTGGAAGGTTACTGCTTCCAGCAAGTGCATACTTGGTGGTGACCGTCTGCATCCTTTTGTATTCCATCATTCGTTTGCTCACTATTTCTTCTAGTTTATCAGTGGCGTTTGGATTTGTTCGGGCATCCAAGAGATCGCCAGTGAATACAATATTCTTGTAATCGCTCGCTTCCCTCACAGTTGTATTCTCCAATCCTGCACCACAAATATCTCTGACTTCGGCTGGAGTCATGACACAAACTGAGTGATCCTTAGAATTCATCATCGTCGATCGGAAAAAGGTAATATTTACCAAATCTTCGAATGGAAGCAAGAAACTTCCTTGTTTTGGATGGGCGACGTATGAAAAACTTTGCAGTCGTTTCACCTTGGGAAATTTGATGACGGAATTATAATTGGACTCAAAGTGTGGAAGAATCATTGTAGCGTTCTTCAGTTGTGCAGCTAGCCCGAGGAAAACGACTAATTGGTTCACTTGATTGTTCAGACCTTTGAACCTTGGGGATGGCCATATAAACAAATCCGTTCGGCAACATCGATCCAAGTCTTTTGAATGTGAATTCAATTCAGAGCGATGACTGTTTTGAAACCTTTTTGCTGTCCGCTTTTCGTCTGATCTTCCATAGTTGAATTGTGTACTTTTCAGCCGAAGAACAATGAATATTATCAAGACGAATACCAATCGCACTTTACTACATGGGAGAAATCTTGATGATGACATATTGACTGCGATAAGCAAGGTCGAAGATTAAAAATTAAAACAGTCACTTCCTCATAACAATCCACAACCAACGGTCGGTTTGTAGCTAGTTTGGGACGATCAGTGGTACCGTAGTTCGACGCAACGATGACTTTTGTGTGTCTTCAAGTACGGTTCGGTTTTGGAAGAATGAAGGAAGTGCAATCAGGAAGAATCATCAATAACCATCAATCGGTTGCGAAAGTTTGAAGTTGACGTGATGTGTACATGTTGGAGTGATGTGCGTGTAGATCGTGATGACCGCGATCTGTTTCTCGACTGATTCGAATACAACAACCAACATCAGGTCTGATTGACTGATTGATTCATTCATTCGATCGCTCCAAACTGCTTCTGATACTGTGATGTACAGTATCACGTGATCTTAAAATTCTCACTGTCACCTTGGATGCAATCTCAAAATGCGGTCATGTAGCCATGGAAGCAGCATACAGTCATTGACATTAGGCTCCTTTATCTTCCTTGGATTCCTTCTCTTCCTTTTGGACTGGTATGATCAGAAGCGAGCAGTCAAGCAGCTCAAGTCGGAGCAGAGTACTTTCAAAAACCAGACAATCCACTTGGAGGAAGATGCACGAGATAGGTCTGTACGGGATGGACCACCAGTTACATCGGACAGTGATTCAAATATGTTACCACGGTCGTCAATGGATACAGAGGAGAGGTATGCAGACGGAAATCACATTACTGAGAGCCTTACCGCTAACATTTCATGGATTCCTGTGGATGAAGACGAGCGACAACAGTACATGGGCAATGGAACTTGTTTTGGGCCTTTGAAGCACTGCTGCATAGGACAGTGTCGCCAACCATCCAATGTGATTCCTTCCACCGACAGTCGTCTTTTTCGGAAGCCGAACGTTAAGCTTTCTAATCTCTCTGATTTGCTCCATTTGGTTGAGACAAAAGTGAAGAAACCCCCGGAAAGTGCATGCAGACTCATATTCCTCGGCGATTCGCTGATTGGAGATCATACGGCTGCCGCAATTTGTCAACTGTACCGTTTGGGCTACCAAGCTGTGAAATGCATAAACAAGGAACAATTTGGGAGCGACAAGAGGTATGGGGAGAACACGTTTTGTAGGAAACGAAGACAAGGACCAGGACCTTTCTCTTTATTTCTTCAGAGACAAGATGAAATTTGCCCCGACGTTACGCTGCAGGTGATGAGGACACAGGATTATAACCACGAAATATCACTGGAGCCAGAATCAAGTGGAATAATGGTTTGGAGTGATGGTGTGCACAGAAACAAGCCTGGTGAAATCCGGGAGTTTATGAAAGAGAATTTTGTAGACATGGTCCGCAGCATGCAGGTTCACTTTCCCAATTGGCAAGTTCTTTTTCTCGAGCATGAACCCCAACACTTTAAGACATCCGATGGTAATTGGCAAAAAAAGGTAACAATGTGTCATTCTCTGACAGTTACCAATACAAGCAATTGGCGAAATCAAGAGGCAGCGCAAACCATCGAAGAAGAAAACTTGCCTGTTCGTATTGTCCCATTGTATGCACAAATGTTACCGCTCTGGGATTTACACATTGGGAAAGGCGACTGCACTCATTATTGCTACATGCCTTGGCGCTTTGATGTGACATGGCATGGAATCATTGAAGCTGTCGAAGCAAATCTAAGGAACAGCTGAAAAAAAGAAGCCCAACGAATGAAGCACACCACGTCCACGTGGACAAAACATCTTGCAACTAGCAGTAGCTCCAGCTTGATTCATTCATGATGCACCAGATGCACAACATAATAATGTCCCACAAAGGATCCCCTAATTTCAAAAACACAAGAATGGGAAATCAAAATAATAAAGCCTTTGGCGCCAACACGCTCTCAAATTGATACTTTCCAAACGAAAGTCACGCACAAGTGACGATGCTGAGGAGAAAGCGAGGGATCAGAGAGAGATCATCGAGTCTTGTATTTTACCTCTTCACTCTTCAATGCACAACAAAAGACTAAACTTCACTTGATATTTTGCAAATTGAAAATGACGATTCTTCAGGTATTATTTTCTACTAAAAAAGGGAAAAATTTGCAAATTCAAACTTGACCACGTCTACATAAACGGATTTTATAGTCAATACGTTGCGACCCCAACCTTCTATGCCAAAAAAGCCTAGCTGTAAAGATCTTCTTCGTCATCATCATCGTCGGCAGCAGCGGCACCTGCTCCAGCGACAGCACCCGCAGCTTCTGGGAAAGCAAATGTTGCCAAGGATCCGCCAGTGGCTCCAGTGACAGCAGCCCGAGATTGTTGCAACGTTTGAGCAAAGGAGGCATATTGAGCCAAATCCCGATCACTGACCGAGCGACGAGCTTGACGAACAGCAGACTCGAAGTGAGTAGACAAGATTTCGGGCATCAAGTCGTCTTCTTCTTCATCATCGTCATCTTCCATTTCGCCGGATTCGGCCTTGATGCGTTGTCTTTCAATGTCTCGTTCAATTTCTTCTCGAATGGCCAACTTACAAGCTGACTGACAAATTTCTGTCAAATCGGCACCAGTAAACTTGTCTGTTTGACTGGCCAAGTAAGATAGATCGACCTCCTTTGAAACAGGAGACTTTCTAAGAGTAGCCCGCAAGATAGACAATCGCGATTCAAAGTCGGGCATTGGAATGTAAATGAGTTGATCCAAACGTCCCGGACGCATGAGTGCTGTATCAATGATATCGGGTCTGTTTGTAGCTCCAATGATAAAGACATTCTTCTTGGCACCCACACCGTCCATCTCCGTCAAAAGTTGGTTCATGACACGATCGGCAGCACCACCACCATCACCTTGGGATCCTCCACGTTGTTGGGCAATGGAATCCAATTCATCAAAGAATAGGACACACGGCGCCGATTGTCTGGCCTTTTCAAAGACATCACGAACATTGGCTTCGGATTCTCCAAACCACATGGTCAATAGTTCGGGTCCCTTGACGGAGATAAAATTGGCCTGACATTCATTGGCAACAGCCTTGGCCATGAGAGTCTTACCGCAACCAGGTGGGCCGTAGAAAAGAACACCCTTGGATGGACTCATGCCAAACTTTTCAAATTTCTCAGGATGCTCCACAGGGTATTGGACCAATTCCTTGAGGTCTCGCTGTAAGTGTGAAAAAAGGAGGGAGGACGGGGGTTAGATGAAAGAATTTTTAAAAATACGAAATGGATTCTTCACCAATTCAATAAAAAAAGCAATCCTTACCTTGACGTCTTGGAGACCACCAATATCGTCCCAAGAAATGTTTGGCACTTCGACCACTGTCTCACGAAGACTCGATGGATTCGATTGTGAAAGAGCATGACGGAAGTGATCTTGGTTGACGGCCATACTGTCCAAAATTTCGGCATCAATTTGTTCATCTTCGATATCAATGAGATCCATCTTTTCACGAATGCACTGCATGGCAGCTTCAGTACAAAGAGCAGCAATATCAGCTCCAACAAAACCGTGAGTCTCACGAGCAACGGATTCTGGATCAACATCCTCATCTAACTTCATGTTACGGGTATGAATACGGAAAACTTCCAACCGTCCATTTTCATCTGGGACTCCAATGTCAATTTCGCGATCAAATCGCCCGAAACGACGAAGGGCGGGATCAATGGCATTGGGACGATTTGTAGCTCCAATGACGACAACTGATGCACGTTGCTTAAGCCCGTCCATGAGGGTCAACATTTGCGAAACAATACGACGTTCGACTTCTCCATTGGTCTTTTCACGTTTTGGGGCGATGGAATCAATCTCATCAATAAAGATAATCGCTGGGGCATTCTTTTCAGCTTCTTCGAAAGCCTTGCGGAGGTTGGATTCCGATTCTCCGGCCATTTTGGACATAATTTCGGGTCCATTGATCAAAAAGAAAAAAGCTCCCGTTTCATTGGCCACAGCTCGGGCAATCAACGTTTTTCCCGAACCGGGTGGTCCATACAACAAAACACCACGAGGTGGCTTGACTCCCAAAGTCTTGAACAGAGTGGGGTGGCGAAGAGGCAATTCAATCATTTCTCGGATTTGTGCCATTTGCTTGCGGCATCCACCGACATCGTCATAGCCAACATCGTCCATTTTTTCTTCATCCTCTCGCTTGACAGGATCTCCTTCACAGTGAATGACTGTATCAGGAGCGACAATACAGTAGGGAGCCGGATCTGTCTCCACCACTTTGAATTCCACAGGGTGCATGGCAGATCGCACCAAGAACAAATCGCCCTTCTTGACGGGCCGATATGCCTCGAGAAAGTAAGGCTTCAGGTAGACATCGAAGAGATTCCCAGACACACCCTCGATAGTATCGTCAAGCGGCAGAATGTGAATTCGCTTTCCGTAGGGAACGTCCCCACACGAAGTCACCGTCACAACATCGCTTAGTCGCACTCGAAGATTCTTGCGGACCACCTTGTTCATGCGGACATTCGAGTCGTCACAAGTCTCGTCGGCCAACACAATACAGACGGTATCACGTCCTTTCTTTCCCTTGATCAAGACGGTGTCACCGCGAAAGAGTTCCAACTGTTCCATCTTGGCAGGACTCAACGAAATCACAGAATTGTCGTCGTTCGTGGCATCGTCCACAATCAAACGATTGGGAGAACGCTTCTTTCCAGAGCCTAGCATGGCGTCTTTCATTTCTTCGTCTTTACTGCAGCGTTGTATGTGTTGTATGTGTTGTACGTGTTGTACGTGTTGAGGTGTTGATATATGAGAGAGCGAAGCATTGGGTGAGTGAGCGAGTGAGCGGGTTGCAAAACGGCCAAGAGAAGTTTGCTTGGATTGTGGATTGTGTTGTGTAACATCACGGCATTGCTGTTATCATACATCACTGAACATCCTTCAATCTCGTATCCTCGTAATCTCGTAGTCTCCCATCCTTGCACTTACGCCATTCTGTATTATATTTGTCAAAGAACGAATGCCGAGCAATAGAATTGTGTCTTTTTCGGTTGCAACAAACACAAAAATGATCGTGTCATTCGGTTTTCGGTCGCTCTTCGAATTCCTTCCATCATCGTCGGCACGAGGGTGCGGGTTTGCTGTAGAAATATGTAGACTTTAGTACTTTGGCAAAGGAAAGGCAAAGAATGGATCCGAATCGGACTACTTGGACTAGAATAGGATTCACTAGCTAGTAGATTATTGTTGTAATAATGTATGAATATGCAATCGATCTTGGAAATAGTATGACATGTTGTCTGTGTGTGCTATTTGTTAATCCACTACTAATCGTTAGTTTGGCTATATCAGGTCATGTCATGTATTCACAAACAAGCCCAAACAAACCCAAACAAGCCCAAACAAAACGCAATCCATGCAACGTTCCATGCAAAGTTCCATCCAGGCATCCAGCAGTTACCACTCGGAAACCTCCAAAGTACACTCGTCCACCGAATGGAAGCATTCATGAGGTCCCTCACGAAGTAAACCACACAAAATATCTTCCAAGCTGGTATTGGAATTCTCGGAAGATCCCAACTTGCGACGACAACCACCATAGATACCTAGCACCATGTTGTTGGCCTGACATTTCTCCCACTCATCCATTTCGTATGTGGGTCTCTGGGTAGGAGCAGGAGTGGGTGCTCGAGTGTATGTATTCATGTCTTCTTTCCATTGGTCGTAGTAGGCTCTACTATCGAAATAGTAGTCATCATAAGCGGGCGCAACGTAGTCATCATCATCATCATCATCGTCTTCTTCAGAAACAGAAACAGCAGCAGGAGCGGAAAAGCAAAAGCGGCAACGAAAGGTTTCAATGATGGTCCAAACGTTAAAAAATGAATAGGATAGCCATAGAGATCGATCACCGCGCAAGTTTCGACCACCATCGTGTTGGTGAGTCCCGTGTCCATTTTCCACAAGAATGGCGCCAATCGTGACCTGGTCTTCTCCATGCTTTTCATCTTGCCCCTGGTGCTGGTCTTGGGCAAGCTGAATCGCCTTGCGAAGAGCCGACTCGAAATACATTGTCTCCTCGGCGTTGAGATCCTCAAGGTTCATGTTTCCAAGTTTAACTTGAACCTGCACAGGTTGACGCTCGAGAGTTGGTTCAGGGACCATGTGGTTGTTGTGGTTGTTCTTCTTGAACTTTGACTTGGAGGTGGAGGCAGTGTTGTTGTCATCGGTACTGTCCTCTTCAGAGACTTGGTTGGTATCAATGTTTGCAGCAATAGGATCCATTTTGTGGGCTACAAGCTTTTGCTTGTTAGAGGATGGTTCGCTTGCTGCAGTGGAAGTGCTGCAAAGAAGAGCTGTCAAGAGAAGGGAGCGGAGGAGCTTCATGATTCAATCAATGTGTTTGGTTCGATATGATTTAAGAGTGCCTGATATTTTGCCAAGGTCAAGATTGTGAGACTTGGACTTTCAAATTTCATCATGCTGAAAGGGAGCCAAGACCGAGAGCAAGCTCGCTTTCGATAGAGTTGATTGTCGTAGAGTTGATACTGTCGGCTACGGATTTCCGTTTCAAAAGCCGTTTCTTTTCTTTTCGTGATGCGAGACGTCGGTTTCTTTTTTAGGTAGAGTAGCTCCAAGTTGAGTAGTCCTTTGTCGATCGAGCCGTTTCTTGTTGTCGTTAGGCCGTGTCTGTCGGTTTCATTTCCGCTTTGAAGTCAGAAATTTGATTCAGATTCCGTAGCCATGATACTAGTACCCTTTTTCCTTTCAGGACTAGAGAAAGAGGATGGCTCTACAGGATATCACCGAACGGTTCCGAGTGTTCCCAAAGCTACCGTACATCCATGGTCAGTGACTCATTTCCATGCGGAATGATTGTCCTTCAAATATTTGAGTGGTTTGAGGGCTGACTGACCAGCCGCTGAATGAATCATCAGAATCACAACATTCTATTAACTGCTCCGAGCATATTGCGTCGACACAAGAGCGAACGCACAAAGCTTGTCACAATGATATATAAAAGGTGACGATGATGAGATGAGGAGAAGATGTGTTGGTGTTGTTACTCGCTGTTGCAGAAAGACCATTATGCGACTGTAGAAGTACCTGAACCGCTGAGCAAGCAAAAAGTTGCATTGTTTTCCTCATCGACGAAATATCGTTGTTACTGAGAATCCAACTTATCTGCACACACTGCTTCACTCGTACAGAACCAGCGTTTCCAGATCCTGTTGCAGTAACAAAGATTCCATTGCTTTAATATTTTTCACAATCTGAATCAAGTCAGGAGGTATAATAAGCCAACCAGTGCTCCTAACCACAGTAACAAAACAATAACAAAACAACCAGAAGATCTGAAAACAGAACAGACGTTCCACACAAATCAGAACAGATACTGAATATACAACCAGAGGGCAAGTGTGCTTATTGCTGAACGGATATGAGGTGGATTGGTCGGTCAGTCACACTTTTCATGGTGTGGGCAATTCCTACACTGTGTGCGGCAGAGCGGCCGGGCATTAGCATGGGCGTTCAATACTATCATGAAGTTAGTCTGGCTGAAGTTCGTGAGGCGAGTGATAGGGATAGAAAAAACATCCTGACAAGCTTCCCTGGTGAAGTCGGTCGTAACGATGTTGTTTACGAAATGGCGCACAACCACTTTAAAACGTGGAATAACACACATACGTGTAACATCAATGTCGGTGAGATACGTTGTTTCGAGGTTCCGACGAGGAAGCTTAGGAGCGAGAGAGGAAGTGGAAGGAGATTAGATCTAGACACTGAGTTCTACTACGACATCGCAGTTGCCAACTGGGATAGTGACACAATAAACCTGAGGATGGATCATTTCATGCTATCTCCTCAACAAGTCGACTACGTTCATATGAACTTAGGAGCATACCCTCATACCAATTGCGTCAGCGGTGTGCCTCCCCACAGCAAAAGGTGCAGAGTCGATGTTGGAGGATATCACGAAGCGTTTCTGTTGAACGATATTGGGACGGTGAATCCAACTTCACGGGCGGATGTGATGCTAAATATCTTTGACAAGTATACAACAGGAATCAGTAGATCAAGGTTTACACTGACAGTGTATTCGGTTGATGAGTCAGCAAGTTCGGGTGAGGTAGAAATATTCTCAGCTAATGATATTTGCACGGAACCTTTTTCGGATTTGACCGTTTCGGCGGATTTTCTCAGCTTCGCTATCGCGCTAAGTGGCTCGACTTGCAGTTCAGGACCACATATACAGTGCTCGCCGGTGAACACCGTGTACAAGGACTGTCTTGGGTACGACTTCATCGCCTGTGCAGTTGACATTGATAACACAGCGCCGACAAGCTCGACTACTGCAACAGCATCGTCGGCACGAGTGTCTTTGGGGGTATCGGGCGGCAACTAAATACACCCATAGTAAAACACGCTAGTAAGTCTGAATATGTTAGAGAGAAGCAAGTAAGAGTAAGTTAATTAATAAACCACTAGTCGATTCAAGACTCTAAAATAATCCCGTGAGGTTCGACACGGATTGTTAAAATACAAACCCTGGAAATAGCTAATAGCGAAAGCTAAAAATTCGGAGCAATAAATGCGATGAATCTAATCTGCCTAGGAATGGACCGGCTGTGGAACTCGCCCGGCTACTTTGCTACGGAGTCCTCAATCAGCGGAACAATTTTGTGAGTGCAATCGAGCGCGCACGCATACCAAGCTGGTGGCCGTTGCTCAATTTTTGGAAAAGGCAGCCTGGAAGTTGATTGGGCGGTATGGTGTCACATGTGGCTTTATTCAAGGCCATGCGACCATATCGTGCGGCAGCTGCACAATTGAAGAACCCTGAAACATTGGACAATCAAGCCGCCCTTCTTTGGGCAGTTTTATAATGTCATCGAGTTGTAGACAAATTCATGGTGAACTTTGAAGGTCATCCAGCAATCGTGCGTGAGATGAGTCTTTTCATGCTCACGGAACGTGTTGATCCAATTCAGTTTGCGGCTGTAGCTGAGCAAAACAAGTAGGTTAGTTGAGAAAACACAGCCTTGGCAACAAAGAGGGTTAAGGTCCTTGAGGAGTCACAAAATGCTATGAAAAGGCAAATCGACAAAATGAATTGAAGCAAATGAAGAAGAAGAGCTGAAGTGTTGGCAAGAACGCCTCTCCAGGATTGCCTTCTGGCCAAACTTCTTGTGTCGGACGGAAGAGGAGAAGCGTTGGAGACTTTTCAGCAATTAGCTAGAGTTGCCATGGAGTTTTGAAGAGAAGACGGTTGTCTCATTCTACAAAGACTTTGGTCCTTCAAGAATCCTCAAGATCATGTGGGGACGTGACTGACCCTGAACCTTGTCAAGAGACCGTTGGTTGTTGTGAGGAATCAGCAGCAACTACATCTGATCCACCCACCAACGTCAGGTCAACAAGTTCTCCAGGGTACTTCAAGAGTCAGGAGTTAAACCAACCAAGTCCTACAAGTTGGTCCAAGAATTCATCCACGTCCTCGACAGGCACCAACACTACCAATGTTCCTCAGCGCAACGCCAACTTTTTGAAAATGTCTGTGTCGCAACAGAATGTCAATGAGGCCACCTCCACATCTGAGTCAGATCAGTGACTAAGTCCTACCCAAGGGGGTTTGACGCTTCATGGTGTGGCATCAGGAGTCGTGAATTGTGGCCTACAAAACAAACTTCCTTGTGTTATCTTCTTTGGGGGTGCATATCCGTTGTGGTTGGCATTTGCATCACAGTTGGGATACAAGCCAGTAGCAGTCATTCTACGCTCTGATAGGTGGCTATTTGCAGTGGAACAGTCTATCCCAGATGAGGTGTGGTGCTCACCCACATGGTCCCCCCTTGTGGAATGACCCATTTGTCATTTAGGTGGCCATTCAGCGGTAGTACTAGCATTCATCAATGGTTGTGTCACACAAGAGGTACTTGACCTCTCGGAGATCTTTCAGGTGCACACGGTATTGGGGACAGCGGGAGCACGTCGTCCGGTTAGGAGATGGACATAAGTGGTTGCGAAAGCTAATCACGCTGAGGTCGGAGGTGTAACACACACCACATGTCAAGTGGTGGCGTGCACCCTGAAAGGAACGGCTGTTAGTGCAACACCCCTACCCCATCTCCCCACTACAGTGAGTCGGGATCTTGGCTCTGTGTTATCTGATGAGGAGGGAACTGGAATGCTACGTGCGCCACCTGGGTCACAGCATGTTCCAGAGTTTTTGGTGGTAAATGTCAGGCCACAATCCCATACCCCAGTCTACCATGGTCAAGAGTGGCTTCCTGCTAATCTTTCTTGCTTGATTCAAGTTCTTACTCCTTCCATCTACCCTGGGTCCACCAACAAGTGGATGCTTTGGAAACTAATGGATGGAGAGTTTCTTTCAGTGCACAACTACCCAGAACGGTTATTGGGAGTATTGAGTCCGTTATTGGAAAGCAAGTTTTTGATACATCCGGGAAAAGCTTTGTTGTCCACAGCTTGTTCTGCATGCGATGCCTTGCATCAAGTTTTGAGTAACGGGGTGTTAGAAATAAGCAAAATGTGCTCCATCATGAGTGCCTTTAGCGCTCAGAACAAACTCTGCAATCTAAATTCGTAATCGGCTGTACAACACTTTCACAATAATAGTTCTCCTGTATTAGGTATACTTTGAGTGCAATTGTTCCTATTTGTTTAATGTTTGGCTTGAATTCCTTTTCCTTTGCCTTTGCCTTCCTTGGTTTCTCCAATCAAGTTGGAGCGCACTCACCGCCAGTTGCACGCTTCTTCGGAGATTCGCTTGCATTCTTCAGGATTGTCTCGGGGGCCTTTAGATTCAGCCATGCCTTTGGAGTCAAAAAGGCCGTGTGAAGAGCCTTCGAGTTGTCTAAGGCCTAAGCTAGGCCAGGAAAATTACAAAAGATCTTCCATTAGAGGGTGAATATTGGACAAGACATTGTGAAAGAGGTGGAACGAGACATTCGTGAACAAAAAGGTAAAAAGTCTGATGATGAGGAAGTACCAGTTTATCTTTGGACTGAGCATTACATGGAAGAGTCTACTATCTCATGGACTATTGAAGACAAGAATAAGATAGAAGGGGCCATGGAGGTTTTGAGGGAGAAATTGTTCATGCCTTGGTGGAAGAAGAGAATCTTTTGGTCTTATCTGGATTGGATGGTAACAACTGGAATGAGACCCAAAGAGGATTTGGGAAGAGGATGGATAACAAGGATGGCAAGCCCAAGTGGGAGCTTTTTCAGGTGGAAACACGGATGACAAGATCAAGGGCAAGAGAACAGAAGAACAGCAGACCCATGCAAGGTTGAAGCAGGCAGTGATGCAATCTGTCGCGCTTGGAATTCAACCTGGTGGGAATGGGATGATGTGTCAAGGCCATTTCATTAGAGATGGCCAAGTTGGTACCAGGAAGTCATTTGGGATGGTTTGAAGGTGTACCTAGACGGCAAGGAGCCCTCCTACCACATGCCGCAGAAAGATGAAAGAGATCCAAAGATAAAGGAGGCAATAAAGAAGAAGCTTTCAAAGTGGTGAGAATGTGATGGTACATTTTGAAGGGTGTTGTCATCTCCTTGACTTCCTTTTTTGCAGTTCAGAAGGGAGACAATGACATAAGGTTGGTTTATGATGGCACAAAGAGCGGTTTGAATGATGCCATGTGGTGCCATGTGGGTGCCGCGGTTAGATTTACCAATGATTGAGACCCACCTACAGTCTATCGAAGAGGGCACTTTCATGGCAGATGTCACCATGGGAGAGTGCTTTCTGAACTTTCTGCTGCATCTTTCTTTGCAAAAGTTGGCAGGGGTGGACTTCACCAAATATTTCCCAGGCCCAAGTCAATCCACAGTTTGGGATTGTTGGCATTGCACGTTGATGGGAGTGAAAAGCTCCCCCTATCAAGCGGTGCAAGGAATTACGGTTGCGGATGAAGTGATCCATGGACAACCAGAGGACTCCCAGAATGTCTTCCAGTGGTCCAGAGTGCGTTTGAACTGTCCTGGAGATAAGGACTATGATCCCTTGAAACCCTGGGTTTCCAAGATCAGAAGTGATGGCAAGATTGTAGCAGATCTGAGTGGATATGTGAATGACTTGCAACCATCTGGTCCAAATTGGATGGAGGCTTGGCACATGTCATGCCCAACGGCCAGTATCCTGAATCATCTTGGAATCCAAGATGCCGCGCACAAATGCTGAGACAGTAGTCAAAGCTCAGGAGCTTGGGCTGGTTCTGTAGTGGTTACACAATAAGACGGAGTCTACGTGATGGCTGATACAGAAAATGGAAGAAGGCAAACCTGATGGTTGAGGAGGTTTTAACGTCAGTCAAAAACGCCCTGGCCGAGTCAAATTGGAACCGATTGGAAGTCATTTGAGGTTTCTTGAACTATGTGGTCAGTACTTATCCACCGCTCAAGCCTTATCTCACAGGGATCCATTTGACGATTGATGGATGGAAACCAATCGGGATTCAGAGGGATGGAAATTAAGGATAGTCTACATGGCCAGGGCCAACAGCAATGGGAAGATGGGAGCAATGTCTCCAAAGGTCTTTATCACGATTTGTCAAGTGCACCAGTAACGGTCAAAGCTAAACCAAGATGAAAGGAAGATATGAAGTCTCTTCAATATTTAATGGACAGTCCACGCCATTACCTCGGCAGGTCAGAAGTAGGGCAGGACGCAAGGTGGTGTACTGTTTTGGAGATGCGTCAAGTAATTATAGAAGTTTTGTCGGTCCGACGAAGTTCATCCATTGGGCGAAGGTGTCCAACGAAGTTCGTCCATTTGGACGAAGCCTCCACGAATGGAAATGAATGTTTCGGCAGGCTCGTTTTCAACGAAGCCCAAGCTTTGCATTGCGCAGAGTTTGTCATCGGCATGTCATCTCTGTCATCTCCGCTAGACAACCTCCACGACATCTCTGAGGATATTGCCAGCAAGCCTGCCATTTGCTTCAGGCCGCTCCACTTTTCTCCCCATGGTTTGACTCATTTGAATACATGCGTGTTTTCGCGCAGTCACATCGACCATTAAATTTTTGCTCTTTGCAAAACAGGACAAAACCATCAAAACTACCTTCGTACCCATGCCGTCGTCGAAAGCAAAGCAGTATGAGTCGCCATTGACCATGGCAGCTTCTTCAACGAATGAAGAAATCACCGATGAAAAGAAGAAAAAGAGACGAGAACTAAAGTCTCGGAAACGAGCTCGAAAGGAAGCTGAAGAAGATTTAGAAGCAGAGAAGCTTACGGCGATGTTATTTGGTGGCAATGCAAGTCTTGGAGCATCTCGGCTATTCGCTGTAGAAGAAGAAGCAGCCATCAATGATTATCATGGTCAGCATCAAGGTGATGGCGAAGATCTTGGTTTCCAAATCGACCGTACTGGGTTGGATGGAGGAGTTGTTGAGGAGTCTCCTTTGGAACAACAACTGAGGGGAGCATCAGCACTACAAGCGTTTCAGACCAAAGACGACAATGCGGAAGAAGAATCTCCGGCTTGGGTGGACGACGAGGACGAGGCTGAGCTAAGCTTGGTAGAATCCAGTAATCGATTGCGAAAGCTCCGTCACTCCCGAGAAGAAACAGAGGCAATCACTGCTGATGAATTGGAACAACGACTTCGAAAACGCTATGAAGAATCTACCCAAAAGTCAGCAAGGATAGATTGGGCAAATCCAAGTCATGTAGAGGAGGTAGAGGATCCAATCGCTAAATTTTTTTCGACGGCTGGAACTCTTTTGAAATCTACCCGAGACCGATTGCCGCCAAATATTTTGAAAATTGTGCGCTGTCCAGATGCAAATCAGGCTGACTACAACCAATCCGTAGTCAGGGCAGTCAACTTTCACCCAGGTTCGGACCCGGAGAAGCCTTTGTTGCTTACAGCAGGACTTGACAAGACTCTGAGGTTCTTTCAGGTTGGTGCTGAGAAGAGTGAGAAGATCCATGGTGTCCACTGTAAGTATTCCGTCCATGCAGTTTGGTCTCGTCCAACACGGCTCTTTGTGCTCACGTCGTGCCTCACTTAAATGCAGTCCCAAGGTTGCCGATCTACAACGCTAACTTCCTTGGAAGCAGCGGAAATGTTGTTGTCAGCGGACGTCGCCCGTTCTTTTACATCTATGATGCCGTTGCCGGAAAAGTTGATCTTGTTCCACGAATCCAAGGACGGGACGAGAAATCCTGGGAAAGTCATGTCGTTTCTCCAGACGGAAAGTTAATTGCCTTTGTTGGAAACGATGGGTACATTGTACTGGTGGATTCACATAACAAACATTGGGTTGGAGATATGAAATGCAATGGAAGTGTTCGAGCACTAAGTTTCACACCTGATGGAAGGTACATTTTAGCGAGTGGTAGTGACGGAGACATCTATCGGTAAGTTTGGAAAGTTGCAGATCGGATACGAATGTTGCTTTCGTGTTTGTCTTACGTTGCGTGTTGCTCTCTTGTAGATGGGATGTCCACAGTCGACGCTGTGTCGAACGTTTCTCCAATAACGACGGAACAGTCAGTGCATCGATTGCGGCAACCTCCAAGTTTATGGCTGTTGGTGCAGAATCCGGTGTTGTGAACTTTTATTCTGAACAACAAGGCATGTCATCAAGCAAGACACCATTAAAGTCCATTATGAATCTGAAAACATCCGCTGAAGACTTGAAATTCAACCATGATGGGCAGATTATGGCAATGATAACAAAGCGGGAAAAGCATGGATTGAAACTTCTTCATGTACCCACTCAGACAGTGTTTTCCAATTGGCCCACTTCCAAGACGCCCTTGAAGTATGTTTGGAGCGTTGACTTCTCCCCCAAGTCCAAATACATTGCGATTGGAAACGACAAGGGAAAGTGTCTGCTGTATCAACTTGGTCATTACCACGAAACCTAGTAGCTAGGCGATGTGAGCAATAACTTATTGTAGCATTGAAAAACTTCAACGAAGTATATTATTCACACATAATATTCATGTATGACTCTCATTGAACACTGTATGTATTATTTTACCTTGAGATGCACTATAAAAAAGAAAGTTGCAGAAACGTGGTGAACTGCACTACAAAATTAGTCGTACGCATACCTTCTATTTGTTGTACTTCATGTTTAGTGCTGAAGGTCCTTGTGTACTGTACGGTATGCCAAGTGAATGATACACTCTGTTGATGAAACATGAATGCCATTTTGTTGTTTGTTCTCACAATAACATGATTCCAAAGATATCAGATAACGCATAGTGTACGAATTTTTCTTTGTTTCTAGAATTAATTTACTCTTCTTCATCTTCTCCAACGTTACGGGTGTAGATGCGTTGCGATCGGGAGATCAGAACAGGTCTGATAGATCCAGCAGCCTCCAAGTCGCGAAGAGCTCTTCGTGCCAAACCTGCGTTAAGCTTAAGCTTTTCAACAACGGTACTGACGGTAATTAGCTTCATCTTAGGAACCTCTGCGTGGAATCTGTCGAATTGTTCCTTGCTGAAGAGGACCTTGTTGTCGACCTTATCACGGGCCTTTCCCTTGGACCATTTCTTCTTCTTTCCCTTACCACCGGCCATGGCGGCGGCCATTTTTTGCTCCTTCGACTTCTGTTGGACTTTGGGCGGCTACATTATTGAATGACAGATAAGAGGATTCCATTAGATGATGCATACGGTGAATTGAATTGAATTGAATTGAACAAACCAACGAAGCAACATGGACATGGTAGATTGGGAAAACTTGAAAACCTGATGCTTTCCGAAATCGGAAGCGACTACTGCCTGCTTTCAACTACATTCCCAAACCTCCTTATCATTTTCGCTCTCCCTCTTTCAATTCATCTTTGAAAACATACCATGGTGAACTACTATTTCAATTCCAAATACAAAGAGTTGTTG